TATAAATTGAGCTGAAGAAGTCCTCTTAGAACTATCAATCATTCTTATATTATTGATCTGGAAGCGGTGCGGGCAGTAGGTAGCCACCACTTTCCCTCTCAGTGTCTAGATACTCCTTCTCGTTAATAGAAGCATACTTGATACATACACTGTAATTGATATTGTAATAGTCAGTAATTGATTATAATTATGATTCTGTAATTAATTGCATGTATAGACATCGTTAACGTAACCTCAACATCGTCATACGTTAAATTTATGGATCTGTTTACTTTATGGTGTTACGAAAAACTTTCTAACTTCAACGTAAATAAATTCAAAAAATTAATTTATTTACACTCATCTTCCGATTTTTCCCATGTTTCTGCAATGTTTACGAAAAACTTAAAACATTTGCTTATAATTGATAACATTTATCTTATAAATGTAAGTTAATCGAGAACTATAGAAAAGTAGAGAATTTATACAGTCATAAAGAAAATTGGATGTTAGAAATGTGCACAAAATTATTGACTGGAAAATTTGGACTTTGGACCCAACCTCAGAGGGATGAAGCTCACGGTTTGTAGTCACCAACCCAGAAGAAGCGGATAGTGGCTGAAGAAAGTAGGACATTTAAGAATTGGTTTTATACCAAGCCGATGGCGTGATGCAAAACGGTCCTCTGAACAACGAACAACCAAACGAACTTTTCTAAACAAGACCGTTGAGACGCTACCAATATCACTACTCTTTCTGGCACTCTCCTCCGGTCCTCAATGATCGAAAATTTATTAAAACGCACATTTAACAAAACAACAATTCATTAATACAATCCAAACTCAAATTAATTAATAAAAACTGTACAATTAATTAATAAACTCTCTTGAAACCCACGTGGAAAGGTTTTTTCATTCAGATCTAATTAAAACAATTTTTAGGGGAAATTATTATTTTTGGAAATTTTACTTTAACTCAACCCCAGGAATTTATATATAAAAAGTTTATCTGGACATCTGAAAATCAACTGACGACCTTCTGATAATTCACGTAGGTTCCGGAAGAACCCTTCTTTCTTATTCCCACTGAACAGCATTTGAAAGAGACTAGGAAAAGGTCGCTGACCATATGACGTACACTGACAATTAATCATGCGCAAAATCATTCAAATTCAGATTTCATGAAAATCACAACTCTCAAGACGGTGAACGAAAGAAAGATATTATCAAATACTTTAATAGTGTCTTTCCGGTTTGCCAATCAGAAGAAGGGATAGGTCATCCATTGTTGATCCTCCCTCTAGGGCGGACTTTGTTTGTAAAATGATTGTCCTTAATTTAAAAAAAAAAATTTTTGCAAGAAAATTAACCATCCTCGTCCGCTATGTTAGTTACTATTGATCAGTATAGACAGTATGAGAATTTACCAACTAATGTGGACATTCCCTGTTAGCCAACGTTCAACCACGAAACAACGACTCCAGTAACTATTGATTTCTTGTGTACGCCGAAAATACCTAATTATTTGTTTACATATTATTTATTGTTTTACGAGATGTTTAATTAACAATTATACGGATATTCAAGTATAAAATATACTTCACGTTACTAACAAGATGAAACTAAAGAGAATTAAATCCAATGAACCCACATACACTCTCACGCATATTGTAAGAAATGTTATTTCATTATGTCAAGAATTACTTGCTTAAAACAACAGAAAGGGAAATCAGTTAATTAGCACTTTTAGAGTAACTACCCTGTAATTACGACTAATACAGTATTGATAATTCATTAATGTAATTTTTCACAATCACTCCTCTTTCTTTTGTTTTAAAATCGCTACACTCTTAAAAGCAATGCTCCCATCTCTTTCCCAGAACAATAGACAAGTAGGAGAAGGAACCACTACCCTAATCTATTTTTCTTCTAATAGACTATCTCTTAAATAAATTTCTAAACAGTTTTTAACTTGAATTTGTGCAACGAATTTGAATGATTTGTGTTTCTCGATTCTGTTGGCTGAATAACAATCCCGAAACAATTATTATCCACCGCTATATCAAAGCCACTTACTCTGATGCTAGCTCATTATTGGACTTTGATAATATAACAGAATACAAATCCCACAATCAACTAATCAAAATGTTATTTGATTGATAGACGCATATCGTACAATGGTAGGCTATTCTGTTAATCTGCATTTACAAATTTACCCTAAAATTAAGTCATTTATTATGTACTTAGAGAATACACTGTAAAAAGTCTTAAGGAAATTTTCCTAAAGTTGGTAATTTTATTTTACAAAATCCTTGGCAAAAAAACTTCATTTAATGCGTCAAAAATACAGAATTTAAAATGAAAAATACGAAATCTTGTAATTTTGCCATATTAAATGTGTCGATTATCAAATCTCCGGCGAATTTAATACTTTTACTGTAGGTAATAATATTGCCCACTATAGATGTAGCGAAATGACAAGTGACGGTGAAAATACAGCAGATGGGAAAATTCCTAAATGCGAACGTTAACCTTACTAGTTTCTACATGTCAATTATCCAAAATATGGAACTTTTTTTTCCTGGAGAAAAAGGAATATTGCCGTTTTTAATATGTCACAATTACAAGTTTATGTAAAAGTGACATATTAAAACTAGGTAATAAACATTCCTATTATCAGTCTAGTAAAATTCCCTTAAGACTTTTTACAGTGTATCTGTAGATGACATTAGGTTAATTGGAAACGTTTTAAACTGTTCTTCCCTCCTCATCTTAACGTTTCTCCTCCTGGGTCCTGGCTATAGTAGTCGTCACGTTTCATTTGTATTAATTATTGAATAGTTCTGTAAATTGTTCTACTCTCCTGTCTGAAATTAATTTTATGGTTTCGAGAATATCCTCACGTTACACTTCTTCGTTTAACCTATGATAATTTACCTATAGATCCGGCAAGAGACCTGATGGCATGTGGACCAACTAGAAAATCGCATTAGTAAGAAAAGGACGAAGATATATGTCTATTCTTTTCTTACTAGTGAAATTTTTTAGTTAGTCAACATTACTACGTTACCAATTTTTCAGACTTTTTAGACCCCCTTCGTTACCATTGCGTTACGTGTAATTTTTTTAATTTTAGGACCCCCTCCCCTAAAACCTCTGCATATACCTCTTCTACCTCTTTCTTCATGTGTAAAGGATTCCTTAATTAAGAAAACTTTGCGTCTCTACTTTTAAAGATTTAAATTTTTAAGATTTAACATAAATGTTATATCATTGACAAAAAATTGAAGTTTGTGATTAATGGATTATCACTTTTCTGTCTATCTTTAAAATTAATAGCTTCTTGTAGAAAATTCGAGTATGGTAAGAAGAATATTAAAATCAGTTTTAATTAATTAACGGTCTTCTTAAACAGGTATAAAAAAACCCTCATAATTTTGCGATTACTTTTAGAGAACATTGCAATCTATCATCATTTTAACTTTTAGACGGATCTAACGAATCGGAAACAAGTTTACCAACAACATGTCAACAGTAAAGTCGAAATAAATCAAAATTTTCAGTGGAGAGTCCGCTGGGAATAAATAGTTAAAGGGGTACGACTTTTAAGAGACGACGTCAAAAGTAATCCACGGCTTTTTCACGTTGTATCTTTATAATCAATATTTATAGTTTTAGAGAAAATTATGATTGACTCAAATTGTCAAATGTGCTTATCCTAAAAAGCTAATTGAATAGGTTTCAGTATGCCAATAGTCGATTTATTCACCAATAAGTAAAAAATTAAAAGAGTTATAATACACAGTCTAATTAGTCAATCCTTACCTTCATTAAGATATTCGATCAAGTAATCCACTAACGCCATGAATAAATTTTTCCGTCACAATATTAATATTAATATCTTTGTCGATTACGTTGGTTCCATAGTAGACGATGTGGCTACTAGGTGGTCAATCACTGCGTTCCTTTATCACCTTCTTGGTCAGCTTAAAGTTTCTTAAAAAACTTTTCTCTACTTACGAATAAGATGATCTATAAATCGCAAAAAAGAATACATAATGTGGGAAAGTTTAAACCCCTTGTCGCTGTGTCAAAAAATACACTCAGAAAAAGAATACAGAATTATTTAATTCTAACTTAACCTATATACACATTAAACCTATCCTAATACCCTAATACTTTTTGCCACTTGTACACTTATGTTATCCCAACTTTATCGTCTATTCTGTTTATTCCCATCCTGCTTCTCCTCTCTTTTAAATTTATCATCTTATTAGAGAGTAAAAAGTATAAATTAACCAGTTATTTTTTTTGGACTGTAGGTTTCTTGAGAAATTAGCCACTGTGCATCACCTTAAAGCCGATAAATTTTTTTTAAAACATCGAGATTTTATATGGGTTGCGATACCATTGTAAAATTGTTAGAAGTGAATAAATATTTATAAAAATGGTGATACGACCTACAAAAATGCATTATTTTTGGAAAATAAATATGCATCTAAATGTTGACTTTAAATTTTCATTTCTTCAACTATCTATTATTGAGACAACAATGAGGAAAGTTTTTCAATTACAATTTAGAAACTCACTGGTTTAAAAACAAAAAAAGTTTGTGATTCAAGAGCTTTTCTTTGCTGAGTTTATTTTAATAATTTATTTACTGAGCTAAGCTTGTCAGGAGGAATAATAAAGTTCTCAACTTGAGAATAGTGAGTAAAGTTTTTTAATTAAGATTTCAATATTTGTAATTACATCTATAAATAAAATTATGAAACTATTTTCAAAATCATTACAGAATCAAAATAGAAACTAACAAATATATAAAATCCTCATTCACTTACGGCTTACATTAGTCTGAACGAAATATATTACCTTATATCATCTATTAACTAAGTACTGACAATAAGTCCTTCAAAGAATCTATAAAATATTTTCGAAAGTTTAAACTTTCTTTGAAGAAAAATGAAAATTTCTTTTTAATATTTTGAATACTTTAACTTATAACAAATTTTTTTGTTACAGAGAATACGACTAAGGACGATGCAACAGCTTTTGGAAAGGTTTTAGTTGGATTATCATGGGTGTTAGTTGTTCTTACTATGCCATTTTCCCTTTTCGTTTGTTTTAAGGTGAGAAATTCAATTTGCAATTCGTTTATTAATTTACATCTGAGTTATTGTTTGTTTATTTTATAACCAGTCAGATTATTATCACAATTATTTATTATTAACATAATTTCCGAATATCCTTGGAATGTCTGTAGAATATCCTAAAATATCCAGATGCTCTTAAGGAATCGTAAATTATTAATAAATTACTATGAAGTATGTTTAGATATTTTTAAATCTAGAATATTTTTTGATGATTTTCAGGTTGTACAAGAATATGAAAGAGCTGTTATCTTTCGACTTGGACGACTTTTGTCTGGAGGAGCAAAAGGCCCTGGTAATTTATTTATAACATACCAATTATTTAAGATACCTTATTTTGTATATAATAGTTGTACAAATATAAATTTGTCTTTGCTTTAGGTATATTCTTCATTTTGCCCTGCATCGATGCTTATGCAAGAGTGGATCTTAGAACTCGAACTTACGATGTCCCACCACAAGAGGTATATAACTGAACTTTTTATTTCATTTAAGATGGGACCCTAGTTTAGAAAGACTAAAAATAACTATTGTTTAAGTATTTCTTAAGGCAGAAACGAATAACTTAGACTTTAGGGAAACCATAATTGTACAAGACTGATTCATTCCTATTTAAAAGTACTTAACCTCCACGATCACAAACCTAAGATAATTTACCTAGATCCGGCAAGGGTTCTGGTGGCACGTGGACTAACTAAAATTTCCCATTAGTAAGAAAAGGACAAAGTTATGTCTATCCTTTTCTTACTAATGGGATTTTTGAGTTAGTCCACGTATCACTAGGACTTTGCCGGATCTAGGTAAATTATCTTAGCACAAACCCGAACTATATCATCAGTTACAAAATAATGGAACAAAATAAATCCGATGATATTGCTGGGGTGATGAAACTCTTTGGCTTGCAATCATCGAGGTTAAACTCACTTGAGTACGGTTCTGTACTATGTGGATGACTGCGCCTCCACTATCGCTGTAGCCCAGTGTTTTTACTACTTTCGAGGCATATCAAGCGGAAAGTTTGACGTCAAGGTGTAATTAAGTGCACTCGTCGATTATTGTGCAGTACACACCATTAGAACTTGACTGTCGATAAAACCGGTTGTACTCAGGAGAGGTTTTCTAGTTTCCCTCTCGTCTGATGAGAAATCCCATAATAGCAAGGTGATTCAATCAAATGCGAGTGTATAAATAATTACAATACGATTTGCAATATTAGTAGTTGTATTCAGTTATTTGGGTTCCCAATCTCTGTCTAAAGTTATCCTGTAAATAAATTAATAAATAAACGTCTAAACAAACGTCTTTGTTCTTTTTAGGTTCTAACCAAAGACAGTGTAACTGTTTCGGTGGATGCTGTTGTTTACTATAGAGTTCATAATGCGACAATTTCGATTGCTAATGTTGAAAATGCTCACCACAGTACAAGACTTCTTGCTCAAACTACTTTACGAAACACAATGGGTACACGACCTCTTCATGAAATATTGAGCGAACGGGAGACTCTTTCTGGAACCATGCAGGTAGAATTTTACATTAATATTCTATCATTAAAATTGTAAAGAATAATAAACCAAAAAAATCGTTGCACAAAAATTATTTATCAAAAGTATATTTTTATATAATAAACTTACTTCGTGTTGCAGGCATCATTAGATGAAGCCACTGATACTTGGGGCATTAAAGTCGAACGTGTTGAAATGTAAGTCTTAAACCTGATGAATTCAAATAATAACAACAAAATAAGAATCAGTTGTTTCCGATTGATTTCTAATAGAAATTATTTAAACATTTTAAGATTGTATTCTGTATTAATAATCACTAATTTCTTTAATTTTATAATCTAGTAAGGACGTTCGTCTCCCAGTTCAACTCCAGAGGGCTATGGCTGCAGAAGCTGAAGCCGCACGAGAGGCCCGCGCTAAGGTATGACGAGTTTTTTTAATTCAAATCTTATTCTTTGTTTGTAACTGGAAAGATACGTTACTAACTGGTTTATATTTGATCAGGTCATTGCCGCTGAGGGAGAACAGAAAGCTAGCAGAGCTCTCCGAGAAGCTTCAGAAGTTATTGGAGATTCTCCTGCAGCACTTCAACTTCGCTACCTTCAGGTAAATAAATCCATCATTTTTTGGAACAATATCTTCATTTATAAACCCAGTGGACACTGGGACGTCTTTAGGACATCCTTAGGATGACTATATTCGTTTAAAGGATGTCTAAAAGATATCTTATATCCTAGAGAAATTCTTAAGATATAAAATGTCTTTATTCCGTCGCATTCACTATGGTATTCAAAATAAATCTGAAAATCACTGTACGTGTCAAACAGTGCAGTTGACAATAATGACTTATGACTTATGACTTATTCGAATTATTATTTTCTAAAAATTTTAATTAAAATTCTTCTTTAAATCAATTACCTATTTAGAATAATTTTTTTAAAAATTCTGAAAATTATCAAATGTATTTGTTTACAATTTAATTTTACGAAATTTCATCGATTATTCGGAAATTCTTCAATTAAATAAATATATATTTGAAAATAAAAACTTCGAATAATTTCAATTACACTTTTTGAAAAAAAAATGTCTACTGAATTGTTAGTTAAAAGTATGAAAAATTCCGATTTTCAAAGATTTCAATTTGAAACTTTTTCAAAATTTAATTATTTCTAAAAATTCACGCTATAATGCTTTTAATATTCAATTATTATCTAAAATTTTAACTAAGATTCCATATCAACAAATTTTTTAATAATTGAATTCTTGCGACGAATTTTAATAAAATTTTTAAGAATAATTACATTTTTCGAGGAATGTGATTCAAATTGTATATTAAAAATAATTGAATCCATGTAAAAAATTTGATTTTTTATTTTTATTAGCAAATTCTTCGAGAATTCAATTATTTAAATATAATTAAATTAATAATAATAATTTATGAGTTAAAATAATTAGATTTCTGGAAAATTTTGATTATTTATGAAAATAATTAAATGTTTGCGTAGAATTTTAAGAAAAGTTTTTTTTTAAATAATTGAATTCTTTTGAAAAATTTGATTAAACTAATAGATATTGAGGAAAATTTTTGAAAATAATTGAAATTTTGCCAAGAATTTTATTGTAATTTTTGAAAATAATTAAATTTTAGAGAAGAATTTTATTATTTATAAAGATAATTGAAATTTTGAGGAGATTTTAAAAAAAATGTTGAACATTTGAAAATAATGGAATTATTGCGAAGAAATTTATAAAAAAAATTGTAAATAATAGAATTCCTGTTGAAATTATTTTATTATTTATGAAAATGATTAAACTTTTGCGTAGAATTTTAATAAAAATTTTTTTTAAATAATTGAATTCTTTTGGAAAATTTTATTCAAATCTATATTATATGTCATTAAATTTAGAAAATTTTTTGCAAATAATTGAAATTTTGCCTAGAATTTTATTAAAATTTTTGAAAATAATTGAATTTTGAAGAAGAATTTTATTATTTATAGAAAAAATTGAAATTTTGACGAGAATTTCTTTAAATTTTTTAATATAATTGAATTTTGAAGAAGAATTTTATTATTTTTGAAAATAATTTAATTTTTGCAATTATTTGAAACTTTTCCAAAAATCAAAATTTTTTTTAGTGTTTTTAACTAAAATTCCTCGTTAATTTTTTTTTATTTTTAATAATTAATTAAATATACATATTCCAAAATTTAACTAATTTCAGAATAAATAATTTAAATTTCGAAAATTTTTGCAAAAATTTAAGTTCTTTAGAATTTCTTACAAAATTTATTCAAAATTGAAATTTTATAAATTTTGAAATAAAAATCTTTTGAAGTTCATCTATTTATGAAAATTGTATGTAATTACTTTCATAAAATTTCATATAATCAATAAATAATTATCATGATTATTTTTAATATATATTTTTCTAATTTTTTCAGACTTTAAACACAATCTCAGCGGAGAAGAATTCCACCATCGTATTCCCGTTGCCGATCGATATGATAACGTATTTCATGAAAGCCAAAGAAGCAATGTCAGCTTAAAACACAATTCGACATTCAAAAAAGCATCGCACACAAAATTTGCGAATTTTCGTACTAGATTTTGGGATGAATTTTTTAGAAAAAAAATCTCCTTTCAAAGATTCAGAGAATAAAAATTATCGCATCAAAGATTGGAGATTGCGATTGGAAATTTAATAAAAAATTTTACAGACGATAAAAAGACTATTTCTCAAGAATATATAGAATTTGTTACATTCGTCCAAAGAATCACTGCATTTTAAAATAAAAATAGTGATAAAGAAAAATTGACTTAATAGAAGATTATCTTCAACAATTAACTTGCCGAATAAAACAACCAATACAATCGAATTTAAAAGACAACAAAATATGGCCTCTTTCCATCTAAAGGCGGAATAGATATTCATTTTTCGGGTAAATTTTTAAAATACTCAAAGAGAGAAATGTTCGTTATTTCTTCTTTTCTTCATTTTCTTCGAAAACGAAAATTTCTCCAAATTAATTTTTTGTTTACAAAAAATTAGAAGCAATTATCAAAAAATATTCTTTCGAAAAGAAACATTTTTTCTGAGTGAACATTGTAAAAAAAAAATACAAGAATTGTTTTACGCTTCAGAAGTAAATTTGCCTTTTTGATAAAAATAGTTTTACGAAAATAATTTTAAAAAATTTTTTTCAAATAATTTTTTTCTTTTTTTTTTTTTTTTGAGTTATTATCGAAATTTGTGTTTCTCTTCAATCGGAGAGAAGAAAATGTTTTTTTAAAATCATTTATCACAAGTAAAATATTTATACATAAATAAATGTGATGTATGAAGAAAATAGATATTAAATCTAAGTAAAAGAAAAATTCAGTAAAATATAAAAAATCATAATTATTCATCTTGTTGAAACTTGATCAAAGATTACATTTATACGTATATATTAAAATATTACGTGTTAACATCAGGCGTGTATTTCAAAGTCTGTATATTAATTAATAAGTGTTGGCTTTTATATACTTTATTTAGTGGAAATAGTGAAATACGAAAAGTAAAAAAAAAGTTTTTCTTTCCTTTTTCTAAAAAATAAAAAAAAACACGAAAATTGTTTGTTAAATCACAAATATGTTTGGATTTCGTAAAATAATTATTTTACCCCTTAAGAATGGAATCTTCTCTTAAAACTATTTATTTAGAAATTAATAAATTTAAAACTTAAAATTAAAATTAATTAATTAAAAATTAAGTTTTAAGAATTGAATCAATAAGTATAATTATTCAAATTCAAATTAAATTAAAAATTTAAATTTAAATTACTTTTAAATAAACATGTATTATAATTTTATAAATAGTAAGCACTATATTCTTTGATTTTTATAAATTTGAAAATTCTTAAATTTTTTTCACTCGACATCTGTCCTTTTCTAATTTTTGTTATTTATAAATATTTAGGTTTATTTTTGTAAAAGTTTAATTAAATATTATCTAATTTTTTTAAATGACAACGGACTCTAAAAAAACAGATATATACATATAGGTGTGTATATATATTAACTTGTATGTAACATTGAATGTATATATTTGAGCTCTGTACTGAAACAATTGCAAATTTCGTTATAGTTAGAAAAAAAATTTTTGAAAGCGTTTATATACTCTTTTTACTGGGTTGCAAAAAATCGAGTCAATTGCCTTTTTCCAATGCATTTTGTAAATTAACTGCTCAGTAATTTGAAAGTTAAGAAATATTATAGCTGTCTAAGTGACTCGATTTCCTGGACCAAACATAACTTTGTAAATACTTTTAAAAAAAATAAAATAGATGCGAACTTTCGTAAAATAATTTTTAAACACCTGTATTCATAAAAATGAGTTTAAAAAATTTTTTGGAAACGAAATTTCGCATTTACTCTATAAAATGATAATTTTGTTAATAAGAAAAAAAACAATGGAAAAAAACTGGTTTATCCAACCAATTTTTATTATAAATTCTGTACGATGATCTTAAATTATCTATTTTCCTACTTCAGTTGTGTGTATATTATAAAAGAAATAAAAACTTTTAGACGTACTCTTTTTGTAATTTTCTTTCATTGACCACTTTATTGCTATAAATAATACTTTACATTGACTTGAGCGGTCAAGGAATGTTCCTTACAGTTAATAATTATATTTTCGAAATATAAAAAAGGAAAGTAGAAGAATTGAGAACAAAAAACAAAGTGAAAAAATTGAGAAGAAATGTAGAGTACAAAAAGAGAAGTGATTTAGATTAATTCTTTAAAAAATCTATTCACCATTCTTGGTAGAATGGTCTGAATACTTTTGTTAGTTGTCCCTTGTTTCCGGTTCCTCGTCATAAGCGGCCATAATTTTTTCCATTATTTCCCAAAGTTTGTCCCTCGTTAAGTCCTTGCAGAAAACCTGTTAATAAACAGCTTCAATTAATTTTTTTTCAATTAAGAAATAAAATCAAACGATTTTATTCATTATTATAAGATTCAAAACAAAACTAAAAATAACAAAATAACTGAAATTAGAAACTAGTTAAAAAATAAAGAAAAAGACAAAATTTTTAATAATTTGGATACTTTTTTATAATTTTGTGCCGCTAAAAACTATTTTTTTTCTTTTCTTTTGAAAATTTGCAAAACATGAAATCCACTAATGGTTTAAATAAAAACTTTAATTATTTTCTTTTTAATCATAAATTCAGGAATCACAAAATTCAATTAATTTTACAAATATCGAAAATTTTTTTACTAATTTTAACATTAAAAGGTAGGTACAAAAATTTGATGTTATTTTTCCCTTATTTAGAGCCTAAAATTTTTATTATTTCCCTAATTCTTATAAAAAAAACAATTCAAGGGGAGTCATATTATAAAAAAAATTATTTTTTGAAATTTCATTAAAATTCTTTAGAAAATCCAATTATTTTTTATAGAATTTCAGAAAATTTCAATTACTTCAAAAATTTTCGTAGAATTGTTTATAAAACTTCAAATATCTTTAATAAATAGAACTAAAGTACTTTAAAAAAAACTAATTCTTCCCAATTTTGAATAAAATTATTTAAAATTTAAATAATTTATAAAAATAAATAAATAAATTATTTATAAATAATTTTAATTTAAATTATTTTTAAAATGAATATTTAAATATTATTAATTTCTTCCAGACAATTATTGATAAAAATTACAACTATTTTTAACTACAATTTTTTTAAGTTAATTTTAATTTATAAGTAGAAGAATCTTAATTTAGAATTTAATTCTTTAGAACAAATTTAATTGTTTTTAGAAATAAGAAAAAATTGAGGTACTATTCTTTTAACATACATTCTAATTCTTTAAGCGCAAAAAAGCCGCTTTAGTCGATTGAAAATAATAAAAAAAAAGTCGATAAAGTCGTTTATTTAATTCAGTGTTGGCACAAAAATTTAATTTTCCATTTTCCTAAACTCCGAAATTTTAACAACTCTAAAAAAGTAAATTTTAAATAATTTTAATATACTTTGTTCGAAGATAATTGAATCTTAAAAAATAATGATAAAACAATACTAAGAATCAGCTTTTTAAAAATTTGTTGTAATGCAATTTTTCGAAAATGATTGAATTTCTTAAAACAATTTTTATATAATTTAAAAAAATAATAATTAATTTTTTAAAGAATTTTAATAAAAAACTTTGAACTTGATTGTCTTCTCCAAAATGTTAAAAATAATTCTAAAAAATGTGAATGTTATTATTTTTTTTTAGTATTTGAATACTTATTGAAAAAATGTAATAAAAAATATCAAAAATAATTTAATTTCAAAAAATTAGAATGAAAAAATTTTACGAATTACTTGTTTTAAAATTATTTTATTAGAATTTTTAGAAACTAAATTTTTATTAATTATCATTTTTAAATTTACACTTAAAGATTTATTATATTAAAAATTTTGAGAATTCAATTATTTTCAAAATTTGTGATTAAAACTCTTGAAAAGTTGATTTTCAAAAATTATTTAATTTTCAATTTTCAATTCAATAATATTTAAATTTAAATTTTCAATTATTTCAATTATTTAACAAAATTTTTATACAATTCTTCACAATAATTCAATTACTTTTATACTAATAATAACATTTTTTCATGGAAATTCAATTCTTTAAAAAAATATTTGATAAAATTTTAAGCAAGAATTCAATTATTTTCATAAATAATATAACTCATTGAAGAATTTCAATTATTTTTAATACTATATTAAATTAATCAATAAAAAAATTCAATTATTTTGAGTCATTTTAATAAAATTCTTTGGAAAATTCAATTATTTTCATAAATAACAATATTCATCGCAAGAATTCAATCATTTAAAAAAAAAATAAATTTCTTCTTGGAAATTCAATTATATTCATAAATAATAAAATGTTTTTTAGGGATTCAATTATTTTCAAAAAAATTTAATAAAATACCACACAGACATTTAATTATTGTCAAAAATTTTAATATAGAATTGTTTGCAAAATTTAATTATTTTTGAAAACTTTTCGCAATTCAATGATTTTCAATATCTACTATTTTCATCAAATTTCTAAACAGAATTCAATTATTTAAAAATAAACAGGAAAATAAAATATTGAATGGAATTTTTGTCAGTTTTGTGAAGTGACTAAAACGAGATTTTTTGGTCGTCAAGTTTAATGTTTCGATAGCTACTTTTTTTAGTTTGAAAGCTACTTTATGCTACTTTTTGAAAATTAATTATCTAGTGCGAAGTCTGCGATTATTGTAATTTGACAATCGAAATAAGAGTCGAAAAATGCCTTTCTCACATTTTGACACTAATTTTCTCAAAAACTTGACATGCTAGAGCATTTTTTTTTTGTGTATTCGTAATCAGCGTGATAAATTCTATTGAAAATGACAAAAATTATTCAAGGTTCAAAATCAGAGAGTATTATACTGTCGGATAGTGTAATAATTAAAAAAGAATTTGAAAATTTAGATAAAAATTGAAAATATAAAGTTATCTTACGTTGAACCATGGCTGTTGATCGCATTCATCCATTAGAGGAACGACAACTCCGTAAATTTGTAACGAAAGATTAATGCAAGCAATGGCAGTGAGATTTGGAGGATAATCAAGTACAGAGGGTGAATGATGGAAATCTTGCAGCAGTGACATGCTGGTTTTAGCTACAGGATATTTGGACCATTCCTCCTCGCCGAACCAAGCTTGCAGAGATCTTAAATAATGCAGCAAGTACTGAAAAGAAATTCTCAGTTTTAATATTTTAATTTATGGAATCACATTAGTTATTGAATTGCCAATTAGACAAAGATCTTTGCCGCAGGTTAATGTACTTACTCTGTGCGGATGATCGGGGCTGACTTGAAATTTTAACATGCGCATTATGAGAAGTTCAGCTTGAACAATTGCGTCCCGCATACTCCAATACTGATCTCCAAGTTCGAGTGGCTGCGAGCCTCTATGTAAAGTATTGTAGGCAACGTTCATTACGTCTCGAATTTTTAATGAATCGTCTTTCACCTTACCGCCAAGGTAAAGGCACGTTGAAGCAATCAACTAAAAAAATATAATTGTAATAATGCACTGGGATCTCGTCTTAAAATACTGTAATTGTAGAGTGAGTTTTGTTTTAAAATAAAAATTGGTTTTTCGTGATGAAACGCAATAAAATACTCACGTAGTTATCATAACCACTTGAAGAAGCTTCTCTTATAAATCTATGATATAAAATTGCAGCTGTAGCTATCGTCAACGGATGAGCTTCTAATTTGTATCCTGTGAAATAATTCCTTGTTTAGTAGAAAAAAACTTGTTGCTATTCATAAATAAAAAACACCGTTTTTATTTAAAAATATTTCAGAATATAAATATTTTAAAAAAAACCTATTTCAGTAACTTATAAATATTTAATATTTAATTCAAACAATACTTATAAATATTCAGTAATTTAAAGAATTAAAAGCAGAAGGTAACATAACCTCAAAATACATACCGCACTCGAAAATGAATCTAGAAACAGTAAAAGTATCATTCGCACCACTATAATCGATGGTGATACTTTTTTGTAAAGTGTTTCTTTTCTCCCTCTGCATGGCGAGAACGTCAATAACATCCTTCATTTTTGAACTACAATATATTATTCTTTTGTATACAAAAAGATTACGAAAAAAAATGTCAAAGGCAACGAACTGATAATGATATTAGGGAATTGAATAAGAAAACGCTTTCAAACAAATCACAATAAAAAAATTATCACGAAAAACGAGTGTGTAATTTCTTAGGTGTTGAAAATAATCCTAAATAAAAGTTTTATTTATAAGACAAAAAAAAAGACTTAAAAGTGCAACATGCCACACAGCAACATTGAGAAAATACAAATTAAAAAAAAACGCGTTTCATGTGCGTGTTTACACAGAACAACCTAATACCTTAAGGTTTCAGCACTGTTTGGTTCGGAAGGGTTCATATTTGTTTTGACTATTAAAACTATCGGAGATTTCAAAACTCACTTTTGATCTTTTTTTGATTATTTTTTTAAAACATTCTTATTCTTGTCGGCGATTTAGTTATAAAAATATTGTTTTTGTAAATAGAAAACATGCGAACTGTTTTTATATCAACACCGGTTCACACACGCGAACACACTCACAAGGAGGACTGTTACGTGCGGATTTACGTTATTTACGCGCAGGCGTAAGATCCGCGATTTGATTTGATGTTCAATCTTGGTTTAATCCTTTGAAAAGGAAGGCGGAAATATTTAAATAAAACAAGTTAATTTCCGTTAAAACGGAGGGAAAAACCTCGAAAATAAGAAGGATCAATTAATAATTAATAATATTAATTAATCATTAATCCAACTAAATTCGCGAGTAAACCCAATACATTTATTAAAGTCAAAAACATTACACAAGTCGAAGTTATTCTTATAACTATTTTTGGGACTACTCTGAAGTACATTACGAAAGAACTCCAAAGTAGAACTGAATTCGTGAGGGAGCATTTATCCCTTGGTCCATGGCAGAATCTTTGCGCATGCCCTGTTATAGAGTTTGTAAAGTCTATGAAGTTTTTAGAATCACAACACTAACACTGCACTGCACTAATACACGTATAAACATACTCTATGTATTGAAAACATGTATCACAACAAGAGAACATAACCCTTTTGCATTCACACTAATTACACAATTATTAATTATTTACATCATATCTAGTAACAATAAATCTCTTATACTGCACTCATCATATTTAGATATAAACAACAATTATAACGATAACCAATTTGATAATGTATCATAATATAATATTATTATTATATTAATACGTTACAAATATATACATAAATATATATATATATATATATATATATATTTGTATATATCCTATACCATAATATTACAACAATCAATCAGATAAAGTTTACTAATAATATCATTTTCAAATAATACATTCATGCTGTACTATTAGCAACAATATAATATTGTTGTTAATTGTTCATAACGTTCATATTATACAATTGATAATTAAGTTTCGTCGCATAATGAAAGTCTATGTGTACGTGACTTTTCGAAGTCATTTCTGTGGTCACAAGTATGGTAAACACATGTTGCATTGTCCTATGGAAAAGGACACTTGAGATATTTTTTATATTCCTTCAAGAATTTCTCGGTTTTATGACTCTAAAGAAACTAGAGATTACATTTTCTTTCGCTATTCCACTTGATTTATGACAATTCTAAGAAATGTTGATTTTCAAATACATTTTTGGAATTTGGAAACTATTAAACCGTAAAGTATTATATTTTACAATAGTCAAACTTTCTTGTTTAGTCTCGTCAATATTTGTCAAAAGTCGTAAGAAAATCCTAAAATAATTAGATTATTAACGAAATTTTATTGTTTCGCGCTTCGATAACTCGTTAATCGATATATCGAAAAGTTAACGAGCGAGATGGCAGTCGCTCGTCACACCTTCCCCCTTAAAGAGAATTTTCGCAAGAAAATTATAAAAGAAATTTCACTTGGGTATTTTTAATTTGTCTATAATAACCTGAAATCTGTTTTATGAAACAATCATAATAACAAAATTGAGATACAATTATCAAATTGACTCTAAAACTTGTCTTTTAAGTTCAAGAATAGGAGAAAAGATCTACAAATGAAGGAAAAATTTTTCTTTTTATTTTACTGTAAATATTCCAGAATATTCAAAATAATTTTATACAAGACATCAAAAAGAAATAATTTTCTTTTTTACTTTTTCACAGTGAAAATTTTTGAGGGGGTAAGAAAGAAGGAAAAAGATGAGAATTGAAATGGCATGGTACGAGCAAGTCCCAGTTGCTCGACACCCCCTTCCCCCTTAAAGAGGATGGTGAAAAAAAAGGTCTTGCATTGCAGGTAGTTGGCCTGCTGACACTGTGAATCGGTTTTTAAAAGTGTCATTGACCTAGAAAAATGTTTTCGTTTTCGCTAATGCTCTAGTATTTATATTCTCTTTTCTAATTTTCTTTTATATACACAAGATTTTGTCCTTAAAATTTCTACTATAAATTACCTTTATAGAATTCAGTTTTTATATGGAAATCACTATGCTCAAGAAAATTCTCAACATTATCTTAACATTGCAAATGTCAACGGAACCAGTGTCTTCCGGGTCTCTGACATTATAGTATGATTTCAGGCTGGTCCCTTCCTCATCAGTACTATCTCTGTCCTTGATTGGTAGACCGACACTGTCCGTACTACAATATTTAACAATATTTTCAAATCACTTTCCGAGAAATCAGATAATAGTTCGACTTTTTGAATTGTTTTCTTTACTTTTTTTTCATGAAAAGCAAAAAGTTGAAGAGAGAGAGAGAGAGAGCTATAGAAAATCCAGTTTCTTATTATAAATTTTATTAATGCAACGATTCCACATATCCAGGGATTCTCTCGACTGTTACGGGACTTGATTTTATTTTTGTTGTAGTCTCTATGGCCATCATTACTCAATATTCAATCCATAACTTGACGTTCTGTCCGTAGACTTACTTTGTCAGAGTTAATTACGGGATTCCCGCAAAGTGACTCCAAGACTACACCCTTCATCCTTACTGTCCTCAGTCATTTTCTCTTTCCCTGAAATCGGATAATTCGTTCATTTCATCAGAATTTCATTCAATAATACTAATTGACTCCAAGCAATTGCGTGATTCTATCCCGGCTTTTCGTACTTCGTCAAGTTTTGTACAGATTATTTAAAAAAAAGAACACAGGTGTTTTTGTTCATAGAACGTGTCACCTTGTGTAAAAGAAATGCAAACAAATTGGTTTGTTTCATTGTCAAGTCGTTTGTTGTCGATTGGTATACCATGCCAGATAGAACACACAATTCGCAAGGGTCTCGCGGAAATTATCAAGATTTAAATCTTTCAAAATATACTAAAATTATCGATAACTCTTCTCTCTAAACTACGAAATTTCAATTTTACTGATTTCAATACGTTCTAAAAATTTTTAAACTTCTTGTACGGAAAGATTAAATTTTCCTTCTAAGTCTCGCGGATAAGGAATATTTTCCTTCGTTCGTGTGTTTTAAAGGTGGAAAATCGAGGATAATTTCCCCATTCTGAAACCATAAGGAGGCAGAATTCTCGTGCAAAAATTCCATTCCCAAATTTCAAAATGCAAAAATACCAAGATCTTCTAATATAATATGAAAAATTGCCTTTCTGCCATATACATGTAATATAACAGACACTCAATTTTTCAAAAAGCACCCTTTCCAACACCCGTGAAATAGAAAATAATATCTTTGAAGCGCTCTAAAAACAAGAGAAAGAGAGATGCCCTTTTTCTGTGCAATAATCACAAACAAGCAGTTATTTAGATTTATTTTCGCACAAAGGACCTCGAGAAATATTAACAGTTTGCTTACACGTAAAAGCAGTGCTTATCTTTTTATAAAAAGAAAATTTGCATTTACCAACCAATTTTGTCAATTTTATCACGTATTCTCGTGACATTATGGGCTGAATATTTCGGACAAAGATTTGATAAAATGAAATTATCGCCTGTCAAAATAGGGAAAACAACTGTAAAATTAAAATAAATAGCATCATTGCCTTTAAAATTGTCTGACCTAAAATATTGTAAAACAGTTCGAAAATATGTCTGTCTTGTCATGTCATTTTTACATTGTTATAATTTCCATTCTTCGAATTATCTTATTACAAATTGTAGAAAATTCACAACCATACTCATTCGCCTTTACATTTTATAAAATTAATTTACACCATTTGTCCCTTCTAGGCTTTACCTTAAATTAATTATATACAATCGTAAAACAATTAATTTTGACAACTTAAGAAAAATATTAAAAGTCTAATTAATTCGACATTTTAAATACAACAATCCATTATTTAAAATAATAACAAAGATGTTAATTCACAGAATTAAAAATATTTAGAAAAACTAATTCGAAAATATTGTAGTTACAAAAATTGAGAATTAATGTCATTTTATATTATTAAAATATTTTAAAGTACTTCGTATTATACAACAATTGACTAAATAAAAATATAAACATAAAAATATATAAAATATTTCTTAATTTATACCAATTCTAATTATTCAAAATTGAAAATAAACCATTTTTATAATTTTAAAAATATCAATATTAAATTTTCTATATCTTGAATAATTCGACAATTAAATATTTAATAAATACAATAATTATTTGCTAATAAGTTTGACTATATACTAACTATATTAAATTTTTAACTAACACAACACATAAATAATTTAGACTCAACAAAACAATAATATATTAATTATTATAAAACACATATGTCAATTATGAAATACTCAATTATAACAGAAATAAAAATGCATCTAAATAATTTATTAAATAGCAAAAATAAGAAAACTAATTATTTCAGACGGAAATTTTAAAACTTTCTCAAAAATTTCTTAACAACACCTTTAAATGCTGTAAAAATCAAAACTCCAGAAGAGACAAATTATAAATTTATAATTATATACACTAATCATACCTTTATTTCACTTTTCTGAAAACACTAAATTAAACACATAAAACGAAAAGACCATATAATTTCAAAATTTGAAATTTCTTTCGCGCACAAACTTTTTCACTATATTCTTCTTATGTCTGCAAAAATTCTTCTTGTTGTCGGTTAACGTTGCAGAAGTCCGCTCAAAAATACTAAAAATCCAATTTCTGGAAAAATTAATCCGGTATCACCATCTCTTCAGAAGTACAGAACTCAGGAAAGCAGGATAACAGGATACTCCCAGTTGAATAAAGTTCTTAAAATTTATTTTTATTATTAAAATTGACACTCGTCGACGTCCTAATACAGCAACAATATTTAATCCAGCACAACAATTTGAATTTGTAGTTTGGTTCTCCAGATGAATTCCATGATGTCCAAAGTAAAAATTTCAATTTTCACTTCCAATTATGTCACTAATTAATTTATAAGTCCCAAAATTTTTAATATGTTCCATTGTACACACACTTTTATCCAATTTCCACAGTTTATAGTTTATTATAAATAATTTATTTTACAAATTATTTAAAATTTCCACGCTGTTAATTTTACAACCCGTAAATTATTTATTTTCACAATTATTGTTTAAAAGTTCAAATTCACGAAAAGTTCAAATAAAAGTCACAAAATTTGCAAAAATTTAAATTTTTCCGCACCAAGATCCCGACGTTGAGCCCCCAATTTGTTACGTGCGGATTTACGTTATTTACGCGCAGGCGTAAGATCCGCGATTTGATTTGATGTTCAATCTTGGTTTAATCCTTTGAAAAGGAAGGCGGAAATATTTAAATAAAACAAGTTAATTTCCGTTAAAACGGAGGGAAAAACCTCGAAAATAAGAAGGATCAATTAATAATTAATAATATTAATTAATCATTAATCCAACTAAATTCGCGAGTAAACCCAATACATTTATTAAAGTCAAAAACATTACACAAGTCGAAGTTATTCTTATAACTATTTTTGGGACTACTCTGAAGTACATTACGAAAGAACTCCAAAGTAGAACTGAATTCGTGAGGGAGCATTTATCCCTTGGTCCATGGCAGAATCTTTGCGCATGCCCTGTTATAGAGTTTGTAAAGTCTATGAAGTTTTTAGAATCACAACACTAACACTGCACTGCACTAATACACGTATAAACATACTCTATGTATTGAAAACATGTATCACAACAAGAGAACATAACCCTTTTGCATTCACACTAATTACACAATTATTAATTATTTACATCATATCTAGTAACAATAAATCTCTTATACTGCACTCATCATATTTAGATATAAACAACAATTATAACGATAACCAATTTGATAATGTATCATAATATAATATTATTATTATATTAATACGTTACAAATATATACATAAATATATATATATATATATATATATATTTGTATATATCCTATACCATAATATTACAACAATCAATCAGATAAAGTTTACTAATAATATCATTTTCAAATAATACATTCATGCTGTACTATTAGCAACAATATAATATTGTTGTTAATTGTTCATAACGTTCATATTATACAATTGATAATTAAGTTTCGTCGCATAATGAAAGTCTATGTGTACGTGACTTTTCGAAGTCATTTCTGTGGTCACAAGTATGGTAAACACATGTTGCATTGTCCTATGGAAAAGGACACTTGAGATATTTTTTATATTCCTTCAAGAATTTCTCGGTTTTATGACTCTAAAGAAACTAGAGATTACATTTTCTTTCGCTATTCCACTTGATTTATGACAATTCTAAGAAATGTTGATTTTCAAATACATTTTTGGAATTTGGAAACTATTAAACCGTAAAGTATTATATTTTACAATAGTCAAACTTTCTTGTTTAGTCTCGTCAATATTTGTCAAAAGTCGTAAGAAAATCCTAAAATAATTAGATTATTAACGAAATTTTATTGTTTCGCGCTTCGATAACTCGTTAATCGATATATCGAAAAGTTAACGAGCGAGATGGCAGTCGCTCGTCACAGGACAATAAATGAGACGCCATCTATGTAAACAATTACACATGCGCAATGTAGACAAGGATATTTTTTAATAATAAAAATATGTACCGAAAACAAGATCCTTTTGTTAAAGTATTCGAAGTTGTAATAAAAGTTTGATAATACTTCTATTTTTTTTTGTTAAAATTTACAAAATAGTACCTAGTTTTTAAAAAGTGGGGAATATTTTTTGGAATTTCGCGCCTTGTGTATTAACCCTTGTTCACAGGGAGCAAGCGCAATACATTTTATATGCGTCAATTTGGCAACATTGTAGGGCTGTCGGCTCCGTATTTTAATGCTGCCGCGTGGTGTTTAGCAAATAAATGAAATAAATTCTTTAATAAAAAACAATAAGTGAAAAAGAATTACCATTGTTTTTGAGATAAAATACCGGTACAATGTTAGTACTTTTCGAAACCCCTGCGGGGTACGCTATTTTTAAGGTAAGAAAAGTTTATTTTCTTTCTGTATTCCGAACTTAACCTCTAATTTTCTAGACACGTGGTCAGTAAAAAAAATTGGAAATTATAAATAAAACTTCCTAAAAACCACAAATTTTGTTATTAAATTAAATTAATCTCGTAATTTTATTTATTTTCACGAGTTCTTCTCGCTTTTCAGTTATTGGATGACAATAAACTGGCAAAAACAGATAACCTTTATCATGATTTTGAAACACCAGAATCTGCAGGCAGAGTGTAAGTTTCTTTTTTTATATTATTGTTAACACAAATTCTTAACAATTTTAGAAAGTAAATATTATTTATAAATTGTTAATTGCAAATTATTAATTGTAATTTTTGTTCTAAACTGAAATAAACTTTCATAATTCTTTATTTTGGCGGGACTTACGGAATGTTTACATTTTTTTTTTCTTTTTTGTAATCATTCGAATAAAGGTATTATTATTCATTTTAATTTTAATCAAATGTTATTGAGTGAAATTTATAATTTAAGAAATTTCAATCCTTTTGAAGTATTTTTCTACAATTTAAATTAAATCGGAGTCAAATTTTAATATTTAATATTAAATTTAATATTTTTAATTATATTAATTTAAATTTGTCTTCTTTCAAAATTGCGTGTAATTAAAAAATTTGAAGCCATTCAATTATTTTCTGGAATTTTTAATAAAAATTCTTTTTTGCATCAATTCATTTTTAATAATAATTTTTTTAAATAAAAAACTTTGAGAATTCAATTATTTAAAGTAAAAAAGAAAATTCGACTAAAATAACGCACTGAAATTCGCTTGCTTACAATTCAATTTTACAAAATTTCAAACAATTTGAATAAAAATTTTTCGAAAAACCAACTTCTTCAGAATATTTAATTATAATAATTTTAAATTTTTATTTTGTTTCCTAACTTTTTTAATAATTTTTCTTTTCAAATATTTTAAATTTTAAAATTAATGTACTATTAAAAATCATTGAATTCTTGCAAAAAATTTTATCAAAAAATTTGAGAATAATTGAATTCCTTCGAAGAATTTTATTATTTATGAAAATAATCAAATTCTCGAGAAAAATTTTATTAAAATTTTTAAAAATCCTAATTAAATTCTTTTGAAGAATTGATAATTTTAATTGAAAACTTTTAAATTAATTTAATCTTATAAACAATTTCTTTCAAGTTTTTAAAATAATCGTATTTCTTCATATTAAATTACAATTTTTTAAAATAATTTAATTCATTCAAGGAATTTTATTAAAATATAGAAAATAATTAAATAATTCTTTTGAAGAATTCAATTATTTATGAAAAAAATTTAATTTTTGACAAGAATTTGTTTCAAATTTTTAAAAAATAATTGAAATCATCCGAAGAATTTTATTATTAATGAAAATAATTGAAATCTTCCAAAGAATTTTATTTTTTATGAAGATAATTGAATTTTTAGGAAATTTTTTGAATTCTTGCGAAGAATTTTATTAAAATTTTTGAAAATAATTGAAATCCTCAGAAGAATTTTATTATTTAAGAAAATAATTGAAATCTTCAAAAGAATTTTACTTTTTATGAAGATAATTGAATTTTTAGGAAATATTTTATTAAAATTTTTGAACATAATTGAAATTCTTTGAAAAATTTTATTATTTATGAAAATAATTAAAATTTTGCAAAGATTTTTTATTAAAATTTTTGAAAAATAATATAATTGTTTCGATGAAAATTTAAATTCTTTGTAGGAATTTAGTTAAGATAGTATTAAAAATAATTGAATATTTAACGATTAAATACGAAATATGACGAAAATTCATTAGAAAAATTTAGCGAATTTGAAAAGAGCTCAATGCTCTCTTCGTCGAAATTAATTTATTAAATTGAAAAAATTTTAAATTAAAGAAAATAACAAGGATTAAAGGAAATGAAAGACTTTTTAACTAGAAAACAATAAAAAAAATTTTGTTCAAAAACGTTGATCATTAAAATTTGTTACAAATTTTTCAAAAGAAAATTATTTGAAAATTTGCAGACAGATATTTTTTTTCAAAAATCGTTAATTGTATACATTGTGAACTTCACTAAAGTAATTTATTAAAATTATTTTTATTTTTTCTTACTTTTTATATTTTCAAATATTCAGCCTCAGAATACTCGCAAAATTTGAAACAATTTGAAAATTTCTTGTCAAGCTAAAACAACAACAAACTATTGTCATTTAACATATTTACGTTGCCTGGTAACGTCTTCAATCAAGTACATTGCGTTCCCTTTTGAATATAGAATCAGGAATCACAGTTTTCCCTTTTTTTATTTCTTAAACTAGCCACACTATCCGCGCGGGCATGTTGTATGGAACTGCTTATTTTAAACAATTTAAAAAATTTTAAAGAAATAATTATTATAACCTAACAAAGAGATTTAACTAACTAAAATTCAAATAATTTCACTCAATGGTCTCAATTTAAATAGAATTTACATTACTAGACTTAAACTATGAATAGAACAATTCCAATTAGTATCTGGGTCATCTTTTGCATTGCTTATTTTATAAACCCATTTTAATTTAAATACTTTTCTAAGAAATAATAATTATTACACACTAAAAAAAGTTTTACTTGAAATAGCGATAAGTTTCTCTAGAATAACGAAAGTATTAATTGAAGCACTGAAAAATTTCGCTACTAAAGTGAAATCTGTAGTTCATCCAGCTAAATATTTTTTGCCGTGCATAACGAAAAAAGAATTAAATTAACATCAGATTTTCTACATTAAAAAAAAACGAATTCAAATAGAAATTAATCATTTTAAAATTCAACCAAATTCACCCCAGAAATCACTGAATTCGATAATTTAGAAGAAAGTCAGACAAAAGCAGGGTTCCTACAGAATCTGGAAAATAATGAAAATGGTATAGAATTTTTAAAAGGCTTCAGGAAATCAGGGAAATCATGGAAAAGGCCTGGAATTTTTAAAAGTTTCTAAATTTTTTCAGTTTTCCATTTTTTCTCTTTAATAGAAATTCAAATAATAATAAAGCTAAATGGTATAAAAGAGAAAAAAATGTTGAATTTTAAGAAATTCAATTTTTCGGATTTTTGATAATTTTTGATTGAATTGATAAAGCTAAATGGCATAAAAGAGAAGAAAAAATGTTGAATTTTAAGAAATTTGGATTTTTGAATTTCTCATAATTTTCGATAATTTTAGATTTTTTACCAAAGAGTCGAGACTATTAAATAAGTAAAGTATTTTCTAAAAGCACAAAAATAATGAAGCTAAATCCCATAAAAGAGAGGAAAAAATGTTGAATTTTAAGAAATTCGGATTTTTGAATTTTTCAAAATTTTCGATAATTTTAGATTTTTTACCAAAGAGTCGAGACAATTTAATAAGTAAAGTATTTTCCAAAAGCACAAAAATAATGAAGCTAAATCCCATAAAAGAGAGGAAAAAATGTTGAATGTTAAGAAAATCGGATTTTTGAATTTTTTCGAATTTTTGATAATTTTAGATTTTTTACCAAAGAGTCGAGACAATTTAATAAGTAAAGTATTTTCTAAAAGCACAAAAATAATGAAGCTTAATCCCATAAAAGAGAGGAAAAAATGTTGAATTTTAAGAAAATCGGATTTTTGAATTTTTTCTAATTTTTGATAATTTTAGATTTTTTACCAAAGAGTCGAGACAATTTAATAAGTAAAGTATTTTCTAAAAACACAAAAATATTGGAGCTAAGTCCCATAAAAGAGAACAAAAAATGTTGAATTTTAAGAAAATCGGATTTTTGAATTTTTTCGAATTTTTTATATTTTTAGATTTTTTACCAAAGAGTCGAGACAATTTAATAAGTAAAGTATTTTCCAAAAGCATAAAAATAATGAAGCTTAATTCCATAAAAGAGAGGAAAAAATGTTGAATTTTAAGAAATTCGGATTTTTGAATTTTTTCGAATTTTTGATAATTTTAGATTTTTTACCAAAGAGTCGAGACAATTTAATAAGTAAAGTATTTTCTAAAAGCACAAAAATAATGAAGCTTAATCCCATAAAAGAGAGGAAAAAATGTTGAATTTTAAGAAAATCGGATTTTTGAATTTTTTCGAATTTTTGATAATTTTAGATTTTTTACCAAAGAGTCGAGACAATTTAATAAGTAAAGTATTTTCTAAAAGCACAAAAATAATGAAGCTTAATTCCATAAAAGAGAGGAAAAAATGTTGAATTTTAAGAAAATCGGATTTTTGAATTTTTTCGAATTTTTGATAATTTTAGATTTTTTACCAAAGAGTCGAGACAATTTAATAAGTAAAGTATTTTCTAAAAGCACAAAAATAATGAAGCTTAATCCCATAAAAGAGAGGAAAAAATGTTGAATTTTAAGAAAATCGGATTTTTGAATTTTTTCGAATTTTTGATAATTTTAGATTTTTTACCAAAGAGTCGAGACAATTTAATAAGTAAAGTATTTTCTAAAAGCACAAAAATAATGAAGCTTAATTCCATAAAAGAGAGGAAAAAATGTTGAATTTTAAGAAAATCGGATTTTTGAATTTTTTCGAATTTTTGATAATTTTAGATTTTTTACCAAAGAGTCGAGACAATTTAATAAGTAAAGTATTTTCCAAAAGCACAAAAATAATGAAGCTAAATCCCATAAAAGAGAAGAAAAAATGTTGAATTTTAAGAAAATCGGATTTTTGAATTTTTTCGAATTTTTTATATTTTTAGATTTTTTACCAAAGAGTCGAGACAATTTAATAAGTAAAGTATTTTCCAAAAGCATAAAAATAATGAAGCTTAATTCCATAAAAGAGAGGAAAAAATGTTGAATTTTAAGAAATTCGGATTTTTGAATTTTTTCGAATTTTTGATAATTTTAGATTTTTTACCAAAGAGTCGAGACAATTTAATAAGTAAAGTATTTTCCAAAAGCACAAAAATAATGAAGCTTAATCCTATAAAAGAGATGAAAAAATGTTGAATTTTAAGAAAATCGGATTTTTGAATTTTTTCGAATTTTCGATAATTTTAGATTTTTTACCAAAGAGTCGAGACAATTTAATAAGTAAAGTATTTTCCACATTAAAAAGTTTGACATTAAAAAATATATGAAAAATGCCAATACTTAACCCACAAAATTTAATTTTCAAAACAAACAAACGAATGCAGATAATTTGCTAACGGAAAGGAAACTTACGATTACTATAATGTATATATTAATAAAATCTCTTGAAACAATTGCAATTTTTTTAAATAATTATAATTTCCTAAAATTCTGTTAAAAATAATTGAATTAAAGAATTTTATTGAAAAACTTGAAAATAATCAAGGGAAGTTTGTCATACTATTTTTAAAATAAGTTTTGTTAATTTAATTAACAATTAAAGTTTTAATACCTACTTAAAATTTGGAAAGTATCAAAATAGTAGCAAAATTTAAAAAAGTAGTAAATAGTAATTTTTAGTAAATGATTGCAAAGCCTAGCATAGTATTTCTGTGTATAATCTCTTTCACTGAAAATATTTTTAAGAAAAAAGTAATTTTCTTAGGTTACATTGTTAGCTAATTTAAATTTGAAACCATACTTATTTCTATGAAAAAACGTATTATTTATTATTTTCTTACTTTCAATTATCTTATTACAATTTTCAATGAACGCTGTTATTAGTCTATCTTATTTCAATTCTTCCTCTACTTCGTCTTCTGAAGAGCTCTCTTTTAAATTCCCAGAAGCATTGAGTTTTTGTTTTCCTTTTAAGAATTTAACCGTATTTTTCAGGAATTCCAATTTTCTTCTTTTACGAAAATCTCTACTGTAAGCAGCACTATTTCTCAATTTTTGATGAGTGTAAAACCTCATAAATTTCTCCCACGACTCATCGGAAGCAAAATCCTCCCGGGAAATGTATTCCGTTCTAAACGCATGAATGAAACGGATTTTCTTTATTTTTCCATCATTCCTGAACGGTGATTGTTGCCTACAATTGAAATAGATAAATTAGATTAAATTTAACAAGTGAATAGATTGTTTTTCAGAGCTGTTAAAAATCCGATTTTTTTATTTAAATACGATTTTTTTTATTTAATCAAATTTGTTTTGGAACTTGGTTTTTTAGTTAAAAAGATGAAAAATTCAAATTTTTAAAGATTTTAATTTAAAACCTTTTCAAAATTCAATTATTTCTAAAAATTCACGCTATAATGCTTTTATTATTCTATTATTCTCTAAAATTTTAACTAAAATTTCTCAACATTGAATACTCATAAAGTATTTTATCAAAAAATTTTTAAATAATTGAATTCTTGCGACGAATTTAAAAAAAATTTTTAAGAATAATTTAATTTAATAATTTAATTTTTACATTTTTCGAGGAATTTGATTAAAATTATATTAAAAATATTTTGAATCCATGCAAAAAAAATTTGATTATTATTATGAAAATAAATTTATTTATTTTTATTATCAAATTTTTCGAGAATTCAATTAATTAATTAAATATAATAAAATTAATAATTATAATGGAATATTTCTTTAAATTGAATGCGATGAGTTTTACTATTTATGAATGAAATAATTGAATTCCTAATAAAAATTTTATTATTTTTTAAAATAATAATTGAATCCTTGTAAAAAGTTTTATGGAAAATAATGTAATTATAGCGAAGAAATTATAAATAATGTGTAGGTAAATAATTGAATTTCTGGGAAATTTTGATTATTTATCAAAATAATTAAATGTTTGCGTAGAATTTTATGATTTTTTTTTTTTAATTGAATTCTTTTGAAAAATTTAATTAAAATACTATAGATATTCAAAATAATTGAATTGAGAAAAATTTTTGAAAATAATTGAATTTCAAAGAAGAATTTTATTATTTACAGAAATAATTGAAACTTTGACGAGATTTTAAAGAAATTTTTTAATATTATTGAATTTCTGAGAAGAATTTTATTATTTTTAAAAATAATTTAAATTTTGACCAGAATTTTTAAAGATTATTGGAAATAATTTAATTTCCGGGAAGAATTTTATTTCTTTTAAAAATAATTAAATTTTTGACGAGATTTTTTAAAATTTATTAAAATAATTGAATTTCGGAAAAGAGATTTTTTATTTATAAAAATAATTGAAATTTTGAGGAGAATTTAAAAAAAATTTTTGAAAATAATTGAATTTCAGAGAAGAATATTTTTTATTTTTCAGAATAATAGAATTTCTGCGAAGAATTTTATTATTTATGAAAATAATTGAATTCCTGAGAAGAATCTGATTGAAATTTTTAAAAATAATTGAATTTCTGAGAAGAATTTTATAATTTATTAAATAGTTGAATTTTTGTTAAGAATTTGATTGAAATTTTTGAAAATAATTGAATTTTGACGAGAATGTTTTTTACATTTTTGAACATAATTGAATTTCTGCGAAGAATTTTAGTAATTTTGAAAATAATTGAATTTCTACAAACATTTGTAACTTCTCCAAAATTCAATTTTTTTTGTAGGTATTAAAAATAATTGAAATTCTGTGATGAGTTTTATTATTTTTGAAAATAATTGAATTTCGGAGAAGAATATTTTTTATTTTTTAAAATAATAGAATTTCTGCGAAGAATTTTATTATTTATGAAAATAATAATTGAATTCCTGAGAAGAATTTGATTGAAATTTTGAAAAATAATTGAATTTCTGAGAAGAATTTTATTATTTGTTAAAAATAATTGAATTCCTGAGGAGAAAATTGTTTTTTTTTTATTATTATTTGTTATTTATTGAAAATTTAAATAAAAAATTAGAAAAATAATATTATTATTATTTATTATTATTATTTTGTAAATAATTGGAATTTTGAAGAGAATTTTTAAAAATCTTTGAACATAATTGAACTTCTGCAATTATGTATTTTTTCCAAAATTATATTTTTTTTTGTGTTTTTAACTAAAATTCTTCTATGAATCCACTATTTTTAATAATTAATTAAATATATAGAAGAACGTAGTCAAGGTCGGTCCACTTTTTGACTTATTTTGATAACTTTTTTTAAAAAATGAATTTGTTAGTCAAGGTTGGTCCTTAGAGTCAAGGTCGGCCCATGTTTGAAATTCAAAGGTCATTACCGTTAAAAAATAAATTAACATTTTTAGCGTAACGAATAATTTATTCTTTATTGTTTACAACGTGGAACTTAATAAAATAATTTGTGGTAAACTTTCTTCAAACTATCTGTACATAAAGCTAAATATTTTTTTCTTATTTCCTTCAAATAAATTTTGAAAAAAATCGTATGTTTCTCAAAATAATGTAAAGAACAAACAAACAAACAAACAAAGAAAATAAGTTTCTCTCATTAACTTATATTTCCGGTGACAATCCTGAGCTTCCCTGCTGAGATATTTGCAGCTTAAATTGACGGTGTCGACGCATAAACCCGTAGTACCAATCGAGTCCACACATTTTGTTATCATCCCATTGTGAAGGGTACTTTATATGTCTCTTTTTGGCAAATTCGTACGCCAGTTCTCTCACCTGGACTCTGCTCAGGCCACAGTAATGGTTATAACATTCTTTTGCATATTCGATCAATCGCTCCTCTTCTTCAGCAGAAAACACCTACAAATTCAACTTGTTATTCAATTCAATGTATAATTGACAAATAAAAATGAAAATGAAAAATTTCTTAGTTTACTTACTTGACGTACTGCACATGCAGAATATGTACACAACACTTTTATTATTCCCTGTAGTTCTTGGTCGCTAATGTTGGAAATATCATCGAATTTCAAAGATATTTTAGCCAAATATCGCCTTAAAGTGTTTCGAGGAATATTATAACGACGTGCCGCAGTTCTTACTTTCGACTTCTCTAACATAACAGCTTTTACAGCATGAACGACTTCCAACAAATTTACACTGCTACGATCAGTTATACGCTTATAACGAGATGTTCTGTTAAAATGAAAAAAATTACATTTTGTAACTTTTCTAATCATTCTCTTCATTTTTTTTTACACGTACTCTCTGTGTGTATGTGTGTGTGTGTGTGTTTGCGTGCCAATGTTTATTTGTATATTTGTTTCAAAAATATCTGTCAAATTCATATTAAGTGGTGGGACAACCTTGACTGTATAAAGGGGCCAACCTTGACCTTCTGCATGCTTACCTTAACGATTTCAAGTTTTTTTTAAGATTTTATTTAAATACTTTTTCACATGATGTACAAAATTTTTTTTGATCACAGTAAAAACAAAGCCTTACTTTAACAGACTTCGCACTTGAAAATTAATTTTAAAAAAGTAACAAAAAGTAGCTTTCAAAACTTAAAAAAAGTAGCTATCGAAAAAATAAACTTGACGACAAAAAAAATGGTTTTAAACACTTCATAAAATTGACAAAAATTCCATTCCACATTTTTTAAATTCCTCACTTTTTCTTAATTTTCATCAAAAAATATTTACTTCTTTCTTATTCTGCTAATAAATATTGTTATTTATGAAAAGAATTGAATTTTGCAAAGAATTTTATTAAAATGCCTCAAAATATAATTAAATTTTTGGGAATAATTTTGTTATTTATCTTTAATAATTGACTTCTTTCGAAGAATAATTGAATTCTTGGGAAGAATTTTATTAAAATCTAAAAGAATAATTGAATTATTTCAAAAAAATTTAATTAAAATTGTATTTAAAATAATTGATTTCTTTCGAACTATTTTATTAAAATATTTGAAAATAATTGAATTATTGCGAAAAATTTTATTAAAATGTTTAGAAACAATTGAATTTCTGTAAAAAATTTTGTTATTTTTGAAAATAATTGAATTCTTTATAAGAATTTTATAAACATTGTTTTAAATAATTAATTTTTTCGATATATAATATAAATATTATGAAAATTTTTTTTTAAATAATTGAATTCTTATGGAAAACTTTATTCGGGAAATTAATTGAATTTTCGATTAATTGATTTAAAATAGTATATTTAAAAATAATTGAATCTCTTCGATGACTTTTATTATGAAAATTTTTTTATGAAAATAATTGAATTCTTGCTTAGAATTTTGTCAAAATTTTGTTTAAAAAATTGAATTTCCATAAAAAATGTTATTATTAATGAAAGTAATTGAATTATTGTGAATAATTGTATAAAAATTTGGTTAAATAATTGATTTTTTCTTAATTTTTTTGAAAATGCTATTCTAAATTTGAATTGAATTCCTGTGGAAATTTCATTATTTAGGAAAATAATTGAATTTTGGAAGAAGTTTATAAATTTTTTTTTTTTTAATAATTGAATTCTTTTGCAAAATTTTATGAAAATGCTAGATATTGAAAATAATTAAATTCCTAAAATTCCTAAAAACGGAAAATTTGTGTCAAAAATTTTGAAAGTTCTGAAAAATTATAGCAGATCTTCTAGAGTTTTAATGTGTCTCATAAACTGTGCTAGATATTTGTTCAGTCAATTGAATTGAAATATTTTAAAAACCTAAATTTTTAGAATTTTAAATCAAATTTTTCGAGATTTCTATTAAAAAAATAATTTAAATCATTTTAAAATTTACTAATTAATAAGTCAATTTAATTATTTATAAATTATTAAATAAAAATTCTTTGAGATTTCGGTTTTTTTTAAATCTCTTAATGACATTTTTTAACAAATTGTAGTTTTTTTAGTTCCACAAAATTTCAATTAATTTGATTATTTTTTAATAAAATTAATTCTTTAAAAATTTAAGTATCTTTAAACAATTGAATTCAAAGTTGTAATTTTTTTTTAGAATTTTAAATAAAATTATATTGAAAACTTGATTATTTTTTAATAAAATTATTTTGAAAATTGAAGTATCTTTTAACATTTGAGTTAAAATTTACAATTTTATTAGAATTTTAAATAAAATTCTTAAAAACTTGAATAATTTTTAAAATAAGTATTTAATCAACAAATTATTTTTATAAAAATTCCACAAAATTTCAATTAGTTTAAGATTATTTTTTAATAAAATTGTTTTAAATATTCAAGTAGGTATCTTTGAACAATTGAATTAAAATTTCTTTGAAATAAAATTTATTTGACTTTTTCGTTAAAATTAAGACTTTGTTTTCACTGTGTTGACAATGGGCCAACCTTGACTATGTTCCCCTATTTAAAAAAATTTAACTAATTTCAGAAGAATTTAAATTATTAAAATTTTTCAAAAATATAAGTTCTTTCAAAATTTTCTAATGAAATTCATTGAAAATTGAAATTTTATAAAATTTCAAATTGAAACCTCTTGAAATTCATCTATTTATTAAAATTGCAAACGCAACTGTTTTAAAATTCAATTAATTATCTTAACGTGATGTTCTGTAGAAAAAATGGTGCCAAAGCATGTAAAATTTGGTAGGTGGTCACTTTTTCTAAAAAATATTTTCTAATCCTTTTTGTCTTAAAAGGCGATTTCTAATCAAATCTGTTTTTCTAAAAAAAGTTTTTCTAACAAGTTTTGATTTCTAAAAAAATGTTTCTCTAAAAAGTTATGATTTCTAATATTTATTTTCCTAAAATTTGTAAAATTCCATAATTTTAATAAAAGTTAGAAAATTGTTAATAAACTAAGATTAAGAAATAAAAATTATTTTGCATATTTTCTGTTTCTCAATCACAATTCTGTTTACAAAATAAAATTTCAATTTTCTTTTTGAAAAAGAAGAAAAAATTCTATAAAATTACTATTTTTTATCACAATTTGTTAACGAAATTTTGTTTTTCTTGAAAAAAAAACAATAATTTGCATCATTTTTATACTAAAATTTCCAAAATTAATTTATTTATAAAACACATTTTTAGAAAATGTTATATAACTTTAGGAAAAAAATCCCTATAATTTCTATTTGTTAATTACGATTTTTAATTACATTATTTTAAAGTTTCGTTAACAAATTTGCATAATTTCTATTTTTTACTATAATTTTTTAACGAAATCTCAAGTATTTTTTTTCTTTAATTAAAAAATTTTCGTAAATTTTATTTTTTAATCATTTATATCTATTGATCGTCATTAAAAAAATTGAATATTGTTTGAAAAAAAATTTTGAAAATTACCTTTATTAGAAAAAGAAATTTTTAGAAAATGATCTTTATTTGAAGAAAGAAAATTAGAAAATCACCTTCATTAGAAAAATTTTTTTTTTTTGAAATTCACCTTTATTAGAAACAAAATTTTTAGAAAATAAAAAATTAGAAAATACTTTTTAGAAAAACTGTACCAACCGTAAAATTTGTGACGTTAGAGGGTGGTAGGGGGGGGGGGGTCGTGGAAAAATAGCGTGACGTATGTTATGAACGACACCAAAGTAAAAAATTTGATTTAAATCATGAAATCGAAAAATGTCTGATTTTTATGATAACAGCCCTGTGTTGTTTTTTTTTTTTGTTACCTTTCTGTAGAATTCTTCTCGTCACTTGATATACTGTCCACTATATTATTATCGACCAAAAGATTCGTATCCTCCTCCTCCTCCTGCGGCTCCTCTTTTATGGATTGAAAATCTCCATTCTCCAATTGAATTCCATCGAAACAAAAAATATTTTCCGTTTTTATAAAATCTTTAGTGTCTTCTTCTTCTTCGTCGTCCGATAGAATGCGACCATCACTGGTTATTTTAATTTCTTCGAAAGAAATACCGTCTGACTCTCCTCTATTGCAAAACAAAACATTTGGTACTGCGTGGGATCGTAACTTTCTTCTTAGCGTCATATTATTTGGAAAGAAAAAATCCTCCTCTTGAAAATGATCACTGCAGACTGTGGCAGTTTTAAAATTCGGTTCTTTCGGCAAATTCAGGGCGTCCAACCATTTTTGTCGAACTTTTTCATTTTTTGGAAACCTAATTTTTTACAAAAAGGAGAAAAATTAAATTATTTCTTATTTCTTTGAAATCAGAAAGATTGGAAGCGATCGGAACTGTAAATCAATTTTATTCAGTGTTGTTACTTAAGTATAAAGAATTTTTTATTTCCTTGACTTATTTGTAAATTAAATTATTCAAAACTTTAATAGTTTTTATTAAATAAATATTCAAATGCGTCTTATTAATTCTCCCATAGGAATTACAATTTTTTACATTTCTTTTTCAAACCTAATATTTTATTTTGAAAAATTACAACTGGAACCATTTCCAAATTTGATTTTCCACATTTTTTATTCTAAACTTTATTTTTGGAAATCAATTATTTTTGATAATTTTCCAAATTTCCTTCGAGAATTCAATTATTTGAATAAAAAAATCCAACTTTTTATGATAATTATAATTTTAACTCCTCACGGAATGTTTTAAACAGATATTAAGGTAAATTGTTGACAATTTTTTAGTAATTTAAAAAACTAATAAATTTTTTGAGGAATTTTATTTAAAATTATTAAAAATGATTGACTTTTTCAAAATGTTAATAATATAATAATTTTCAAAATAAATATAAAAAATTCCAATGTAATTATTTCAAATTTTTCATTTGAAGATTTCTCATTAAAAAAATTTCGAAAACACAATTATTTTCGGAATTTGATACTAAAAAGTTCTAAGAAATTTAATTTTTAAAGATTTTAATTTACTAGTTTAGAAGAAAATTCAATATTATAAAAAATTGTAAGAATGACTTTTTTAAAAAAGTATTTTAAACTTATTTTTTAAGCTTCTTTTCATTCAAAGACTTTCTTTTAAAATTTTTCAAAATACAGTTTATTTTCTGAATTTGTCATTAGTAATTAATAAAAGAAATTCAGAAAATAACTGAATTCTGAAAAATTATTATTATTAGAATTATTCTAAAAATTCTTCGAAATTTGATTTTCCAAAAATTAGAATAAAATACTTGAAAAATTAATTATTTCCAATTAAATTTTACAAAAATTTAATTATTTAAAAGCTTTATAATTATGAACTTTAAAAATTTAATTACCGTTTAAAAATTATTCAAAAATAAATTTTTAAACATAATAGATTTTTCAATTTTGTAAAATTGAAAAATTTCGAAATAATTGAAAATTCGTCAATTTTTTGGAAAATAATTGGATTTTTTAAATTAATATGAGTCAAAAAATTAAAGTTTTGAGAACTTTAATTTAATTTTCTTAAAGATTAATTGAATCTTAGAGAATTCTGAAAAAAAAATTTTTAAGAAATAGTTTTTTAAAAATATTGTAATTCAAATTTTTAAAAATAATATTGAATTTCTTAAAAAAAAACTCTGGACGATTAAAAAAAACTAATTAATAATTTTTCGAAGAATTTTAATTTTTGAAAATGATTTTTTTCCAAAAATGATAATAATAAATTATAAAAAAAATTAAGATTCAAATGTCAATATATTTTGTAGATATTTAAATTTTCAAAGATATGTAAATGAAATTATAAAAAATATAATTCAATTTAAAAAAATTATAGGTATCTAATCAAAAACTTTAAAGTATTATTTTATTTATTTTGTTATTTACACATTTTAATTTAAAGATTTTTTTTATTAACATTTTTGAGAATTCAATTATTTTCAAAATTTGCAATATTAAAATATTTTAGAATCTAAATTGAAAAAAATAAAAAATATTTCTCTTCTAGGTATCAAAATCAGTCAGATTTTTAAACAAAAAAATAAAGAATTTCAGATCCAAGAATGAAAAATATCTTTTGTTTTTCAAAAAATTACATGATTTTAAAGAATTTTTTTTTCTATAAATTATTATGCAAATGACGGTTAAGACTTGGAAAATTTTAATCCTCGAAATGAACTTGTTTTCAATGAAAAGAAAAAGAGTCATCTTGTCTCAAATTCTATATGAAAAGCAAGTTTTACGGGGATAAAATTGATTTTCACTTCTGACCATGTTCAGTTTGTCTGATTTTAAATGAGTTTTGTTTAATATTAGAAAAGTAATATACAATAATAAAATTGATTATTTTGAGGTTAGAAATATATACATACAGATACACGTTTCTTGAATACTTACTGGTGAAAAGTTCTGCCACTATTCGTGATCACTCTTTTCCGACAATAGATGCACTTTCTCACCATTTCGAAATGGTATTAAATATGCGAACGAAATACAAATAAAGAAATAAATAGAGTAACAAAATTATTGGAATCTTACTTAGAACATAATTATTCTGAAATACTGAAACATCAAACATCTGAGAACCCTGAGAACATATGTTTTACTAACGCGCATGCGTTATTGGATAAGGAAGGAAGATGGGACTTTAGAATAGCATCTGTCTCCTTCTACGAAGTTGATATGAATTTTAGATTCACATACAGTGTTGCCAGATGTATCGCATTTTTTAAGCCACGTCCGCAATACGCATTCACCTTATCGACTTTACAAAAATGATGTGAAGAATCTGCCTTTTTCAAATTTTACGAAATTATGTAGAATTTTGTTTAAATTTTGAACTGAATAAATGTCTAATATGTTATTTTATTGAGTTTTAGTGATAGCACTATATCTCTTGAGACAATTTTTGCGACTTTACGAAAAGTTTTATTATTTTCTATTATCTGCTGTTCGTCGCTAAAATTTACATTTGCTTTCTTAAATTTTTTACTTATAAAAATCATTGGATTTCTATAAATAAAAAAATTAAAATTTTTAAAATAATTGAATTTTTTAAAAAAATTTTATTTAAATTCTTGAAAATAATTGAGGAAATTCTTTTTTTAATAGGTATAATTGAATTTTTATAAAAAAGTATTTGAAATAATTGAAATTTTGTAAAATAATTGAATTTTCTAAAGAATTGTATTGAAATTCTTGAAAATAAGTAAGAGAAACTATTAACACATTCCTTTTTTTAATGTTACAGTTCTATTTTTTTATGATAATTGAATTTTTATAATTGAAATTTCCTGAAATTCTATTAAAAAGAATTGAATTTTTATAATTGATATTTCCTAAAATTCTATTAAAAATAATTGAATTTTTTTTAAAAAAAGGGAATTAAAATTTTTTTAGTAATTGAATTTGTTAAAGACTTTTATGCAAATTCTTGAAAATAATTTAATTGATTTCAGAGATAAATATTATTATTTACAAAAATAATTGAAATTTTGATTAGATTTTATAAAATTTTAGGAAAGAATTGAATTTTTGAAAAGAGTTTTATTATTTATAAAAATAATTGAAATTTTGACGAGAATTTAAAAAAATTCTTAAAAAAAATTGAATTCTGGAGCAGAATTTTATTATTTTTAAAGATATCTAATTTGAAACTTTGACATTTTTGAAGATAATGAAAATTTTGACTACAATATTTTAAAAATATTTTTAAAACTAATTGACTTTCGGAAATGGATTTTATTATTTATATAGGTAAAATAAATTGAAATTTTGACCAAAATTTAAAAAAATTATTAAAAATAATTCAATTTTTGAAAAGCATTTTATTAATATAAAAATAATTAAAATTTTAAGGAGAATTTAAAAAAATTTTTGAAAATAACTGAATTTCGGAGAAGAATTTTATTATTTATAAAGATAATTGACATTTTGATAAAATTTTTAAAAATTTATGGAAATAATTGAATTTTGGAAAACAGTTTTATAATTTATAAAAATAATTGCAATTTTGAAGAGAATTTTTAAAAAATTTTCAAAATAATTGAATTTTGGAGAAAAGTTTTATTATTTATAAAGATAATTAAAATTTTGATGAAATTTTTTTTAATTTTTGGGGAGAATTGAATTTTGGAAAAAAGATTTATTATTTTATTATAAAAATAATTAAAATGTTGAAGCAAATTTAAAAAATTTTTTGAAAATAATTGAATTTCGGAGATGGATTTTATTATTTTTAAAGATAATTGAATTTTTAACCAGAATTTTTCAAGATTTTTGAAAATAATTGAATTTTGGAGAAGAATTTGATTATTTTTAAAGATAATTGAAGTTTTGTCCAGAATATTAAAGATTTTTGAAAATAATTGAATTTTGGAGAAGAATTTGATTATTTTCAAAGATAATTGAAGTTTTGTCCAGAATATTAAAGATTTTTGAAAATAATTGAATTTAGTTTGGAGATGAAAATTATTATTTATAAAGATAATTGAAATTTTTCTGAGATTTTCTAAAATTTACGGTAAGAATTGAATTTCGGAAAAGTGATTTATTATTTACAAAATAATTGAAATGTTGAAGCCAATTTAACAAATTTTTTGAAAATAATTAAATTTCGGAGAAGAATTTAATTATTTTTAAAGATAATTGAAATTTTTTTTAAATTTACGGTAAGAATTGAATTTTCGAAAAAAAATTATTATACTTATAAAAATAATTGAAATTTTGACGAGAATTTAAAAAAATGTTTGAAAATAATTGAATTTCGGAGAAGAATTTTATTATTTTTAAAGATAATTGAAATTTTGACGAGAATTTTAAAAAGATTTTTAAAAATAATTGAATTTTGAAGAAGAATTTTATTACTGTTTGAAAATAATTAAATTTTTGACAAGATTTTTAAAAAATCTTGAAACATAATTGAATTTCTGCCAAGAATTTTATTACTTTTGAAAATAATTAAATTTCTGCAATCATTTGTAACTTTTTCAAAATTCTTCAAATTATATTGTATACAATTTACGAAGTTTTCGTACTTTCGTTTTTTTTTTCAAACAAATTACGAATTTTACGGACGTTTTTTCAAAAAAAGTGTCTTTTACAGACTTAAGCAATTTTACGAACGTTTACGGGATTATGACCATATTTCAAGTCCTGATGGTTATTTTTCTAGAGTGTTGAATGTCGAAAAACGATTTGAAAGAAATTGAGTTTACTTTTTTTTATATAATTTTATAAATTTTTTTATTATATTTTTTTATAATTTATAAATTATGAATTTTTTTAATTTAGTTTCATTTTTAAAAAAATTGCGAAAAAGAGCTTTATAATTTATAAAAGTCATTGAAATTTTGACGAGAATTTAAAAAAATTTTTCAAAATAATTTTTTTTTGGGGAAGAATTTTATTATTTTGAAAGATAATTGAAATTTTGTCCTGAATTTTGAAATTGTAATTGAATTTCGGAGATGAATATTATTATTTTTAAAGATAATTGAAATTTTCTCCTTAATTTTGAAAGATTTTTGAAAATAATTGATTCGTTTTCAAAAAAAAATTGCGGAATTTATTTTATCACTAATTTTGTATAAAAAAAACTAATTTTTCGTTTTCCTTAATTTTTCCAGAGTGAAATTGAAGCATTTCGAGAAATTCGCCGACACAACGGAAGCCTTGGCCGCCACCACAGCGGCAGTCGAGGGAAAATTGAGCAAATCGCTGAAGAAGACCTTGAAGAAATACTGTTCCGAAGTTCAGGAGCAACTGGCCGTTGCGGACGCAAAATTGGGCAACGCCATCAAGGACAAATTGAGTTTATCCTGCGTGAGCAACACGAACGTCCAGGAGCTGATGCGATGCATCCGCAGTCAGATGGACAGCCTCCTCGCCGGCTTCCCCAAGAAGGAAATGACGGCCATGGCTCTGGGCCTGGCGCACAGTCTCTCCAGATACAAGTTGAAGTTCTCGCCCGACAAAATCGACACGATGATAATTCAAGCCGTGTGCCTGCTCGACGACTTGGACAAGGAGTTGAATAATTACGTGATGCGGTGCCGCGAATGGTACGGATGGCACTTTCCCGAGCTGGGGAAACTGATTACCGATAATGTCGCTTTCGTCAAGACTGTGAATGTGATTGGCACGAGGGAGAATGCGTCGAGCAGCGATTTGTCGGATATTCTGCCCGAGGAGGTCGAGGAGAAGGTGAAGGAGGCTGCGGAGATTTCGATGGGCACGGAGATATCTCACGACGATATTGTGAATATTCAGCATTTGTGCGATCAGGTGATTGAGATTTCGCAGTACAGAACGCAGTTGTACGACTATTTAAAGGCGAGAATGATGGCGATGGCGCCGAATTTGACGGTCCTCGTAGGCGATTTGGTCGGGGCGAGATTGATTTCCCACGCGGGTTCGCTCATCAACTTAGCGAAGCATCCGGCGTCTACGGTGCAGATCCTCGGCGCCGAGAAGGCGCTCTTCAGGGCGCTGAAGACGAAGAAGGACACGCCGAAGTACGGGCTGATTTATCACGCGCAGTTGGTTGGTTCGAGCTCAACGAAGAACAAGGGGAAGATGTCGAGGATGCTGGCTGCGAAGGCGTCGCTGGCGATAAGAGTCGACGCCCTGGGGGAGGATGTGACCTTTGATTTTGGCGCCGAGCACAAGGCGAAACTCGAGGCGAAGCTGAGAATTATGGAGGAGGGGAACTTGAGGAAACTGAGTGGCACTGGAAAGGTGAAGGCGAAATTCGAAAAGTATCAGACGAAGAGTGAAATTGTTCAGTATCCGACTGCTGCTGATTCGACTTTGGCGACAACGAAGAGGCGATTTTCTGAGGCTGATGAGAAGAAAGTACTTGTTGAGGAAGTAAAGACGGAGGAGGAGGAGGTGCCGAAGAAGAAGAAAAAGAAGGACGACAAGGAAGTTGAAGTTAAGTCTGAGGAAGTTGAGGAAGTCGAGCAGGAATTTGTAACGCCTAAGAAGAAAAAGAAGAAGGCGAAACAGGAAGCCGAGGGAGAAGCCGATGTGTCGGTGAAAGTTGAGGAAACTGAGGGAGAAACTTCTGGTACGTTTCTCAATTCATACAGTCGATACAATCCAAATATTAGATTCCTGAAGTTATCACCAATGCTCAGCATCGATTTTTTCTTATTTTTAATGATAAAATTTTAATTTAATTTTTTTCATTCACCTAAGAAGTAAAACACTTTTTAAGAGTGCACTTTTTTAATCTTATATCTAGGGTTTCCAAAATTTAATTATTTTCCCATTTTTTTTTTAAATTCTCGTCAAAATTTCAATTATTTTTAAAAATAATAAAATTCTTATTCCTAGGGAAAAGTTGAGTGATTTTTTTCGGTTTCGTACAAAAAAAAAAAAAATATTTTTCGATGCTGAACATCGATGGCAACTTCAGGGACCTCAAATATTGCAACTAAATACAACACTTTTGGTATAAACTGCAACTTATTTTGATTTGTGAAAAATACCAATAGACAAATCTTTTAAAAATATTTTTTTAAATCAGTTTTCTAATTAAATTTTCAAAATATACAATTAAAAAAATTTTTGAATAATTAAAATTTTGTAAAATTTAGTTGAAAATAATTGATTTTTTTCAAGTATTTTACAGAACTCGAATTAGGTAAATATCCGTAAATTTACTTGAAATCCGTAAAAAGTTGATTGAAAAAAGCAAGAAAAGTTGGTAAATTGTACGATTTAATTTGGAGAATTTTGCAAAAGTTACAAATGATTGCAGAAAGTGAATTATTTTCAAAAGTAATAAAAAATTCTTCGCAGAAATTCAATTATTTACAAATTTTTTTTTTTAAATCTTCTCAAAATTTCAATTATTTTTATAAATAATAAAAGTCTTTTTCGAAATTAAATTATTTTTAATGATTTTAATGAAATTCTTGGCAAAATTTCAATTATCTTTATAAATAATAATATTCTTCTCCAAAATTCAATTATTTTCTCAAAAATTTTAATAAAATTCTGGGCAAAACTTTAATAATTATTTTCAAAAAATTTCCTCAATTCAATGATTTTCAAAAATTTTTAATAAAACTCTTGGCAGAATTTCCATTATCTTTAAAAATAATAAAATTCTTCTTCAAAATTCAATTATTTTTAAAAATCTTTTTAAAATTCTCGTCAAAATTTTAATTATTTTCATAAATATCAAAATTCTTCTCCAAAATTCAATTATTTACAAATTTTTTTTTAACATCTGGTCAAAATTTCAATTATCTTTATAAATAATTAAACTCTTCTCAAAAATTCAATTATTTTCATAAATTTTTAAAACTCTTTTCAAAATTTCAATTATTTTCATAAGTAGTAAAATTCTTCGCATAAATTCAATTATTTTAAATGATTTTAATGAAATTCTTATCAAAATTTCAATTATCTTTATAAATAATAATATTCTTCTCCAAAAAAAAATTATTATAAAAAATTTTAATAAAATTCTTGGCAGAATTTTAATTATTTTTATTGAAAATTAAAAGAAATCTTGTCAAAATTTCAATTATTTTCATAAGTAATAAAATTCTTCTCCAAAATTCAATTATTTTTAAACATTTTTTTAAATTCTTGTCCAAAAGAATCTAATTATTTTAAAAAAAATTTATAAAATTCTACTCAAACATTTCATTATTTTCACAAAATAATAAAAATTTCATAAAAATTCAATTACCTATTTTCAAATTTTTTAAAAATTTCTTCGCAATAATTTAATTATTTTCATAAATCATATAAAATTTATATAGGTATGCAATTATTTTCGTAAAGAATAAAATACTTTTTAGGAATTCAATTACTTTTAATAATATATTTTTAAAAATTCGTTGCTAGAATTCAATTATTTTTAAAAATTTTAATAAAATTCGTCGTAATAATTCAATTAAAATTCTATTTGGGAATTCAATTATTTTTATAAATAATATAACTCATTGCAGAATTTTAATTATTTTTGAAACAATTTTAATCATATTCGTCGAAAAATGTAATTTTTCTGAAGAATTTTATTAAAATTCTTTGAAAAAATAAAATGATTAAAAATTTTGTTGATAAAATTCTTTATGAGAATTCAGTTTTAAAAGAAACATTCAATTATTATTCAATAAATTAATTATTATTGTATTCAAATAATAGAATTCTCGTAGAATTTTCTCATAAAAGTTGATTTAGAAATAATTTACAGTTAAAATTTCTAGAATGAAAAAATTCTAAAAATTAAGTTTTTCAAAAATATTTTATTATAATTTTTAGAAGCTGATTTTTATTAATTCTCATTTTTAAATTTACGCTTGAAGGGTTTTCATTAAAATTTTTGAGAATTCCATTATTTTCATAATTCGCAATTAAAATTCTTCAAAAGTTGATTTTAAAAAATTGTACTTAATAATATTCTTAGAAAAAACCAATTATTTTCATTTCAATTTTACAGAAATTCAATTGTAGATATATTTTAAAATTTATTATCTTAAAAAAATTCTTCAAAATCAATTTTTGAAAGGTTTGTTTATAGTTATTTTTCAAACTATAAAAATTCAAATAATTTGCATTTTATACTAAAAATTTGGTATTTTGTTGCAATAGTTTAGAGCAAAGTAGAAAAATTCGCAAATTTTGAAAATAGTTAGAAAAAAGTTGCATTTTTGGAAAATAGTCGAAAAAATCATAAAAATATAAAATTGTTGAAAAAATTGTTGAATTCAGTAAAACGAAGAAGGTTGTGCTTTAGAAAAATTCTTAATATTTAAAATTATAGAAATTGAAAAAAGTGTCTTAACTTAAAATCATTTTTATGCTTTACTTCTATATTTTTAATCATTTTTATTATTTCCGAGATAAATTTTTAACAAAAATTGGTCAAAATTTATTTAGAAGTAGAAGTAAAATTTTCTCTGAAAATAATAAAAGTTGACAGAAAGTCGAAATATTTGAGGTTTTCCAATTGAATGTATAGTAAAAGTTTCTTTTATTTTTTTCGGGTAGAAAAATAAAAAATAAAAAGTGGAAAAAAATTATTATTAAGAAATTTAATGATATTTTGGAAAAATGTAATAATTAAAAAAAATTGCCTTTACAGAACCGAAAAAGAAGAAGAAAAAGAAGAAGGACAAAGATCAGTCTGAAGCCATGGAAATGGAAGAAGCAGCAGCTGAAAAAGAAGAAGGAGAAGAAGCAGCGGAATCTATGGGCAGTGAAAAGAAGAAAAAGAAAAAGAAGTCAAAAGAGGAAACTGAAGAATCCGCTGTTCCCGATGAATATTCAGCAACACCTTCGTCTGAAAAGAAAAAGAAGAAGAAAAAGAAACACCAGTCAACCGAAGATCCCGATACGTAAAGAGTTAAATTTCAGTTATTTAGAAATAGAATTTTTATTCTCAATTTCATTATTGATAATGAAAAGAAAATCCTCATTTTTTTTATACATTTTTACAAAAGAATTTTTGTAAATTGTAAAAAAAATATCACAATACGAATAAGTGTGCGAAAAAATTATTCAAGTTACGATTTTTCAGTATCTTGTCGATTTTCCACAAATATTGTAAAGTTATTTCCTTTTTTCTCCGTTTCAACTTCTTTTTAGTTTTAATTCAAATAATTATAAAATAATTATTTAGGTTTATTAGTTTTATTATTTTTTGGTTAAGCAGATTTTTACCAAGATGTATAGAAAAGGGAAATAACTATTTTGAATACATGAAAATGTTGAAAATATATAGTTCTCGACTAGAAATTATCGTAAATATTAATCTTTAGTGTCTATTTTTTATACAATTTATTTTATTGTAAAAAAATATGAAATATATAGAAAAATTGTATTATATATTTTAGGCGAAAAGAAATTATTTTTTAGTACCAACTTGAAAATGTCCCTGAATTTAGCGTCAAAAATTTGATTCGCAGATTCTTAGAGGTGAAACGTCAATTTACGTTTTATTCACTTGCAGGGTTTGCCACAAAAATTAAATTTTGTTTTTCCGATTTTCAGACAAAATTTTGATTTCTCACCTGACCCTAAAAAATATTCTCATTCACTCTAAAAATTATTAGATACTCTAACAAATGTTCTATTACAATTATTTACGAATTTCTTTAATTGTAAAATTATTCTAAGAATATTATTTGAAAACATGAAGAAATCGATCACTCCGAGTGAAAAAAACTAAATTAAGTTTTTGAAGAATTTAAATAATAATTCTGAAAAAAATAATTTTTTAAAAAAATTATAAAGTAATTATTTTTATTTGAGTAGATAAAATTTGGTGTAAGAAAATCATTATTTTATATTTTAAGAATATTTTCACTGTAAGTTTTTCGAAATTATTTTAATTATTTTTTAATTCAATTATTATTTTCTAGAATTTTTAACTAGAATTCTTCTTAATCAATTATTTTTAATAATTTTTTTAAAAGTTCTTTGACAATTTTAAAATCCATTTGTTCACGAAATTTCGATTATTCGGAAATTCTATTAGAAAATAAAAACTTCAAATAATTTCAACAAAAAAATCTACTAAACTTTTTCAAAAAAATTAATTCAGCAAAATTGTTAGGAAAAAGTATGAAATATTCAAATTTACAAAGATTTTAATTTGAAATCTTTTTAAAACAATTTTTATTAAAAAATTCTACAAGAATTCAATTATTTAAAAATAAAATAAATAATTTATTGAATAATTAAATGTTTTTTTAAAATTGAATTATTGCAAAGAAATTTATAAAAAATTCGTAAATAATTGAATTTCTTTGACGAATTTTAAAAAAACTTTTTAAGAAAAATTACATTTTTTCGAGGAATTCGATTAAAATTGTATTCAAAATATTTGAAATTTTGCGATAAATTTTAATATTTATGAAAATAATTGAATAAGTGCGAAAAAATTCATTATAAATTTATAAATAATTGAATTTCTGTAAAATTTTGATTATTTATGAAAAGAATTAAATATTTGTGTAGAATTTTCTCAAAATTTTGTTTCAAGAATTGAATTCTTTTGGTAAAGTTTATTAAAATATTAGAAAGTTATTAAGTTTAGGAACATTTTTGAAAATAATTGAATTTCAGAGTAGAATATTATTATTTATAAAGATAATTGAAATTTTAACGACATTTTTAAAAACTTATGAAAATAATTGAATTTAGGAGAAGTTTTATTAATTTTAAAGATAACTGAAATTTTGACCAAAATTTTTAATAAATTTCGAAAATAATTGAATTTTGGAAAAGAATTTTATTATTTTTGAAAATAATTAAAATTTTGACTACAATTTAAAAAAATTTTTTGAAAAATAATTGAATTTTGGAAAAGAATTTTATTATTTTTAAAGATAATTGAAATTTTAACGACATTTTTAAAAATTTATGAAAATAATTGAATTTAGGAGAAGTTTTATTAATTTTAAAGATAACTGAAATTTTGACCAAAATTTTTAATAAATTTCGAAAATAATTGAATTTTGGAAAAGAATTTTATTATTTTTGAAGATAATTAAAATTTTGACTACAATTTAAAAAAATTTTTTGAAAAATAATTAAATTTTGGAAAAGAATTTAATTATTTTTAAAGATAATTGAAATTTTTAGAAGAACTTAAAATAATTTTTGAAAATAATTGAATTTCTGAGAAGAATTTTATTACTTTGAAAATAATTGAATTTCTGCAATTATTTGTAACTTATATTCTCCAAAATTCAATTTTTTTTTGTGTTTTCAACTAAAATTGTTAACTATAAAACCATTAATTTTAAAATTTTTCAAAAATTTAAGTTCTTTAAAATTTCTAATTAAATTCATTCAATATTGAAATTTTTATAAAACTTCAAATTGAAACTTTTTGAAATTCAATTATTTATATGAAAATTGTTAAAGGCAACTTTTATAAATTTCAATTATTTTTAAAATTTTTATTAAAATTATTTATTAAATAATTTCGAAGTAATAATTTTATGATAGTTTTTCAATAATTAAGTTATTTAAAAAGAAATTATTGGTTGAAATTTAAAAAATTGAAGGTTGTGTATTTTTTTCTAGATAGTTTTTTTGAAGTTAGAAAAAATTATTTCGGTTTTGTGAAAAGAATATTTTTCGACGCTTAGCGTCGATGCAAAAATTCAGGGAAATTGAAAATATAAGAGAAAAGGAAATTGGTTAAAGAAAAAAAGACTATTTCTTTTATTTAGATTTATTGTTTGCCAAGAGAAAATATACTTCGATATAATTCTGTATAAATCAAATACTTAAAAAATATATATACTAGATTGCATCACGCTATTTTAAATTATTTCCGTCTGGTATTTTATAGTCTGTCAAGTCAATTAGCAGACTTGATGGTGTGTCAATTATTTTTCCATTATTATTATTGTTTCAATCGTGTATTGTAGTTTTCAATATTTATCACTAAATATTTACTGTTTATTGATAAGTGCCAATTTACACTTTACACTTTGAAAAAAATTTCTCAATTATAGGCAAAAGTTAAGCAACAAGAATTGAATTTAATATTAAAACAATCGTTTTTTAAAAACTAATAATTAAAATAAACCTTTTTAATAAAAAAAAGCAAATAAAATTAATATTATCAAAAATTGTAAATTAAAACAAATTTTCCCCAAACAAAAAAAAAATATACAAAATCTTGTTGCCGAACATTTTTTCCATTTACAAATTCACAATTATTTTCAACCTATTATTTGTACAAGTGATTTTCGCTAATTTTTCATGTCATTCTTTTCTATAATCAAAACTTGAAATTAAGAAAATGGATAAATTTTTCTCAACATTTCAAAATTAATTCGACGCACTTTTTTTTCTAATGACTATTTTAAAAAGAGAACTATACATCATATCAAAATACAATTTTCAAAAATGATTGATTGCACAAAATTCAGAAAAAAAGCTACAAGATATAATATTTTATAAAGAATTAATAATAATTGTACAGGATTAATTCTTATCTATATTCGAAAGGAAATCAATTCATTTTTGAATTCCGCAGAAAAAAAAATGATGACTACGCTAAAAAAAAGCATATTATATATTTATTTAAATATATAAACGCATTGCTCGCCACACAACACATAAAAAAATCACCGTTTTACATATATTTCTATACTTAAAACAAACTAAAAATTTCGAAATTAGTTTCACTAAATTTTTTTTTTTATTTTTTTTTACTGTCATTTCGAAAGATGACATTATTCTTTTTCCCCCTTTAATTGTAAAGTGTTCCTAAGTGTATATATAAAATTAATGTTCGAAACATTTTATGAATTGATCCTGATATTTGTAAAATAAAAAAAAAACAACAAATTCGAATACAAAATGTGATAATGTTTTAAAAACTTTTGTAAATTAAATGAAATTTTACAAATTTCACGATCACTTTCGTATTTTTTTCTTTTACGTGTAGAATTTTAGTAAATACACGCATGTAAATTTTAGTAACATGTGTAAAATAAAATATATATTTTAATTTTCAGTACAAAGCGACCTATGACCAGAGAACATGTAAATCACAAATTAAACCCACACTCTAGATTTAATATTGCTAAAATTTATAAAGAAAAAAAGAAGAAGAAGAAAGAAAGCATATTTAAATGCTAAGAAGAAATTAGTATAAGATTTTTTTTTAAATAATAATATTATATATAATATTATATTTTTAAAGTATATTCAGGCCTCGGATCGACTTTAAGACGCAAAAAAAGTTGTTTTAATCGATTAAAGATACAAACAAATCGAAAATTTTTTTTATTTTATACAGTGTTGTCGCGAAAATTTCATTTAATATTTCCTTGACTTTTCAATGATTTCTAAATTTAATTATTCAAAAAATTTTTAAAATTTCAATTTCAAACCTTTTGAAGTTCAAAACCTTTTTAAAAATTCAAACCTTTTCAGAAATTCAAACCTTTTCAGAAATTTAATAATTTCTAAAAATTACAACTGTAACTTTTCCAAAATTTATTAATTTTCTACAATTTTTAACTAAACTTCTTTTCTAAATCAATTATTTTTTAATAATTTCCTGTAAGTTCTTCTAGAATTCAATTATTTAAATAGATTAATTTTTTTATTTCTCTATTGTGCAGTATTATTTAAATAGAAAAATTCAATTTTATGAAATAATTAAGAAGAATTGAAAAACTTACAAATAATTTTTGTAATTTGGTTACATTTTAAAAAAAAACGAATTGAGTTTCTTAGAAAATTTTTTTTTTAAATTAATCAAATTTTTTCAAGAATTTTATTTAAAAATATTGAAAATAATTGATTTTTTCAAAATTTTTATAATTATATTTTAGAATTCAATTATTTAAAGAATTTTCTAATAAATTCTTGGAAATTTTATTTTTTTATGACTCAAATTTTTTTTTAGAAGAAAATTAATATTACGAAAATCATGACAGAAAATTTCCAAAATATCTCAATTAGTTTCATCTTCAAACTTTGAATTTAAAAATTCTTCATTAAAATTTTAGAGAATTGGATTATTTTCAGAATGTACTTCCAAAAATTTTTCGAAATTTGATTTTCAAACATTTTAATGAAATGATTAAAAAATTACATTTTTTTCAATCAATTTTTACAAAATTTTAATATTTTGAAAATATAATTATTTACAAAAAATTTTTTCAAAGATTTTCTTTATGTAGGAATTAAAAAATTCTCAAATAATTTATATTTAGTTTAAATAATTTTGAAAATAATGAAATTATTTTCAAAAAAAAACTTTAGGAAAATATTAAAAAATAATCAAGTTTTTGTAGAATTTTAATTAAAAATATAAAAATTCATGACTTCTCAAAAATTTTAATAATGAGTCGAAAAAGTACGTTTTTTAAAAATTTGAATTTACTTTTTTTTGAAAAAATTGTGATAAAAACATTCTAAGAATTCTCTTTTTATAAATATTGTAATTTTTCATAAATAATTCAATTCTTAATAGAATTTTCGGCCACTTTAAAATATTAATCAATTTTTTGAAGAATTTTATTTTTAAATTTTGATAATAATTGAATTTTGAAAAATTATATTTAAAATTCTAACAATTACTTTTTTAGAAATTATTTTAATATAATTTTTCGAAGCTTTTTTCATTAATTTTCATTTTTAAATTTTCATTTTAAGCTTTTTTTATTAAAATTCCTGAGAATTCAATTATTTTCAAAATTTGCAATTAAAATTCTTAAAAATTTTATTTTCAAATTTTTTATGAAACTTGAAGAATAATTTGAAAAACTTTTTAATTACTTCGTTATTATTATTATTATTATTTTTCATTTTATTATTTAAATTTTAATATTTAAAAAAAATTATTTAAAAATAGTTTTTAAAAGATTTGACTGTTGTTAATTTTCACACCATAAAAATCGAAATGAGTTGCATTTTAAAATAAAAAAGAAATATTTTAGTACAATATTTGAATAGAGAAAGCCGCAAATTTTGAAAATAATTCGAAAAAAGTCGTCTTTTTTTGAAAGTACCTAGTCGAAAAAATTCCAAAAGTTATATTACTCGAGGCCTGTATATTGTATATTACAATAATTATACAATATTATATATAATGTCAATTTTTTCAATAATAATAGTACCTACGTTAGTTTTACAATAGTCTTGCTCTTTTTTAATTTGTTTTTAAATACAAAAAAAAAGAAACGTATCAATCAGCCTTTACAGAAATCTTTTAAAGGTGTGCATTATTTAGCAACGCGATACAAATTTTGCCAAAAATTCCGAAATGTTAAACAATTCGAAGTTTTTACGATTTTACAAACAAAAAAAAAAGAAAAAAAAACACAATCGTACAATTTAAACTACCACCTCAAAATACTATTCTGTCCCTTTGTTTGTACTCCGTTCCATCTTTGTCGATTTCCATATTATTTATTTTTTTATATTTATTTCGTAAAGCAAGTTAAACTTTGCGACAATTTTTAATATACATATATTTTTATGTTTAATATACTATATATTTTATTTATTTATATTACGTTTAATATAAATTAGTCAATTCGTTAATTCTGGTCAACATATTTGTTTTTATATAAATATATGACTGACAAGTTTTTACCGCAGATTATTTTTTTTAAACTAATATCTCGATTAGAGGTAGGCGCTTTTCGACAAAATTTTCATTATGAACATGATGAAAATTTTTACTGCGATGATGGAAAGACAAAAATTTTTTTATTTTCTTTTTTTTAGAATATTTTTATTCTAATGGAACAATCTGCAAACTTCAGAGCATTTGATAGCACTTTTTCCCCGAAATCAAATTTTTTTTGGATTGAAATTTCTGGATTTTTTTTTTAATCCGTCGACATAAATGTTGAACAAAAAGTTTTTTTATGACTAACATTTTTATAAATAATTATAATTCATTGCCCTTAATTTTTAAGAAAGTAGTTGAAAAATTGAGAAAAGAAATTATTTTGAGCCAAAATTTAAGAAATTCTAATTAATTTTTCTTTCTTAAAGAAAAATTAATTATAATTGTCATTGGATTATAATTAATTGTCCTTGGTTTTATAAAAAGCAGTTGAAAAATTTCCAAAAGAAATTATTTTGAGCAAAAAATTGAAAAATAACAGAAATTTTGAATGATTTTTCTTTTTTTCAGGAAAAATTAATTATAATGATAATTTAAATAATTTCATTATAATTTTACTAATTGCTCTTAATTTTTAAAAAAGCAGTTGAAAAATTTCAAAAAGAAATTTTTTTGAGCCAAAATTTAACAAATAACAGTAATTTTGAATAAATTTCCTTTTCTTTTAAAGGAAAAATTAGACAAAAAAAATTTTTTTTCTTTAAATTTGAATTAGTAAAATTGAAAAAAAGACCAAATTCAAAACAAAAAAGAAAATACAAAAGATATGAATGAATAAGACTAACTTTTGATTTCTGTCCAATTTCATTCTAATTTGTTTTCTTATTCTATTTAAATTAAATTATTACCATAATTATTGTATTTTATTAATAATCATATTACTAATAATCTAATAATAAACAATATATAAAAAATAATATATTTAAAATAAATTCTTAAGTTTAAAAATTAGTTCATTTTGTTTTTTGAAACAACCACAGATAGAAATATAACTAATTTTTTTAAATTCTAATTATTAATGATTAATATTAATAATTATTCATTATTAATGATTTTTCTCATATAAAAAATGTTTTTTAAAAATAAAAAACAAATTCGAATTATGAAAGAACGAAATATCAACACTTTCATCAAACAATTGTGGAAAATGCCTCAAAAAATAAAATAAACTACTGTTTACAAAAAAAAAGAATCGAAAAATAAAAAGAAAATTGTAAAAATAAAAATTACAATAAATTCACTAAAATTAAACAAAGACCTACAAAATTGTACAAAATTACTCGTAAATTTTTGTTTCTCGAAAATTACACAACTGCATTTTCTAAAATAAGGTTCAATTAATTCTTGTTTCTAAAATAAAAAAAAAAGTTTAATTAATTCTTCTTTCTAAAATAAAAATAATCGCAAAAATTATTTTTATTCTATAAAAAATATAACTAAGAGTTTTTAATTCTTGTTCTACTTTTACTTGATGTTAAAAACAACTTTTTAGTTCAAAGTTATTGTCAACGAATTTTGACGAAAATTTTGTTTAAAAAGGGAAATCGGAAATAAAAAAAATAAATGCCGATAATAACAGTATTAATAATTTCGATTTTATTAATATTCATTATTTGAAATTTCAGCAAAAATATTTTTCATACAAAAAAAAGAAATTATTTGTTTAATTTTATTTTAAACCAGTTTTTGTTTTCAAATTACGGAAAAAATAAACAAAAAAATTATCAAAAATTAATTACTTTTCTAAATTAAAAAAAAAAATTATTACTACGTCTGGTTTAAAAGAAAACTATGTAAATAATCAGAAGTATTAACAAAATTGTGAATTTGCTATTATATTTAAATTACATTGTTTTAAATAGTTCCTCAGCTTTTTTTTAAACAGTTTAACTGTATATCAAAACAAAAATGTTACAAAATTGCATCAAATGGAATTTTTTTTTTCAACACGCGACTTGAAAAGAATCTAAAATATTCTTTTACTCTGGGAATTTTTCTTTTATTTTTAATTCAAGAAAACACGCTTTTTTTTAGAAAAATCAAAATTATTTTTTTTTGGACTCTACGAAATTTTCTAAATTCAAAACTTTTGCTGTTTCGAACGCGACTTGTAAAGAATTTAAATTATTTTTTTTACTCTAGGAATTTTTTTTTTTTTAATTCAAAAAACACGATTTTTTTTAGAAAAATCTAAATTATTTTTTTTTCTACTCTACGAAATTTTCTAAATTCAAAACTTGTGGTTTCGAAAAGAATTTTTTTTTTAATTCAAAAAAACACGCTTTTTTAGCAAAATCTATTTTTTTATACTCTAGGAAATTTTTTATATTCAAAATTTGCGGTTTCGAACGCGACTTGTAAAGAATCTAATTTATTTTTTTATTCTAGGAATTTTTTGTTTTTGTAATTCAAAAAACACGCTTTTTTAGCAAAATCTATTTTTTTATACTCTAGGAAATTTTTTAAATTCAAAACTTGTTTAGAAACGCGACTTGAAAAGAATCTAAATTATTTTTTTTCTACTCTAGGAATTTTTCCTTTTTTTTAATTCAAAAAACACGCTTTTTTTTAGAAAAATCTAAATTATTTTTTTGTATTCTACGAAATTTTCTAAATTCAAAACTTGTGGTTTCGAAAAGAAGGTGTAATTATTTTTCCAGAAATGTAAATTATTTTTTAATTCAAAAAACACGCATTTTTTTTAGCAAAATCCATTTTTTTATACTCTAGGAAATTTTTTTAATTTCAAAACACGCCGTTTCGAAAAAGAACAATTTTTCTAGAAATTGATTCAGTCGATGAATTTTTTTTTAGAATTATTTTTTCGATTAGAATTTTTTTTCCGCGTATTTTCAAAAAAAAAAAAAACAAACTAATTTTGAATGTGAAGATAATGGACTTGGAATGAAAGATAACACTTTTGGTTTTATGTACGGAAGGTAAAAAATTACAGGTCATGTATTTTTGTTGTTACTTCATTTACTATTCATTTTTTTTAATCTGAAGTCAAAAACAATTTTTATTAATTGTCTTAATTGTTTTTGACTGGAGAAAATTAAAAATGAATTTTTTGAGACTTCGCGAAAGAGACGCTTGAGATAGAGAAGGACACAAATATATTTATATTCGTTTTGGGGAATAAATTATTATAATAATTATACGATTAAACTAATAATAATTATTATAATAAATTATAAGAATTTAGATTTTGATTCGAAATCGAAGGAAAGGAAATTATTATAATATTAATTTAGATTTTGATTCGAAATCAGAGGACGGGAAATTATAATAATAATTATTATAATAAATTATAAATTTAGATTTTGATTCGAAATCGAAGGAAAGGTGCAGTGTTGAAGTATTGCACGAATTTGCTCGTCACTTTGCAGACTGCAAAGCTAAAATAAAAACCACTTAATGGTTTCTCTCTCTCTCTTTTTCTCCCTACTACAAATTCATTCTTTTAAAGAATATAAAACATTTAAGGGTTAATTTACCATTTTTGTTTGTTTTGTTATTTACATTATTAGAGCAACGAGGTTCGAGACCTCCTCAGAATAAATTATTATCCCTTTCGCCACTGAGTAAAAGCATGGAAACTCTCGTTGCACGATATAATTTGTTCTCTCTTGTCATTATTTAGTAATTCTTCTTTGAATAATAATTAATTTACCGAATGCTAGTGAATAAGTTCAGTACCGATTTGTTTTCCTTTTGACTACGTGCCTTGCTGAAGACATTCCAGAAGCGGAGTGTCTCGTCGCCGGCGCCGGTGACGATGGCCTCGCCGTCCGGCGACATGGCCAGATACAAGACTCGATAGGAATGTCCAGTGAGTTTTGCCACCTGGGTGAGTGAGGGGTACTTCCAGACGAGGATTTGATTTTGCGAGTAGCCGTGAGTGCTGACTAGTTCGGAGCTGTGCTTGCTCCAGGCGAGATTGCAGACTTGGGAGCCGGTGTCGATGCTCTGCATCGGCTGGCCGGTGAGGGTGTTCCAGAAGCGGATGTGACGGTCGGCGGTTCCGCCTCCGGAGGCGAGGAGGCCGTGGTGATGGGGCGACCAGGCGATGGCCTTGACAGCGGCCGTGTGCTCCGTGTAGGTTTGCACTGGCGACAGCGAATGCAGGTTCCAGACGTAGAGGCGGTTGTCGTTGCCACCTGAGGCGAGATATTGGTTGTCCGGCGACCATTTCAGGCCACAAACCTCCTGCCTGTGGGCGCCCAGGCGACGCTCGCCCACCACCGAAGGCGTCCGCACGTCTCGCTGGAGGATCAATCGATCCCGACTTCCTGAGGATAGGACTTCGCCGTTCCAGGCCAAGGCGCCCACTCGCGCATTGTGACCTTCAAGTTTACTCACTTCCTTATTTACTGCCACATCCCACACCTGCGAAAAAAATTCAAATGTAATTCTCATCAAAAACTTTATTCATTCTTTCTCTGTTTTTCAATTTCTATTTCTATACAGGAGAACGTCTACATATAGTTTCAACATTTCCGGGGGCCTTGATATTATAGACTTTTGTCCAGTGACGGGTATATTTTGCACATGACTAAAAATTATCAGTGTTGCCACAAAAATTTAATTTTGTTTTTCCCCGACTTTTCTCTGAATTCTAGATAAAATTTTCTTTTTTTTTCCTGACCCCAAAAAAAATTCTTATTCACTCTAAAAATTATTAGATACTCAAAAATGTTCTACTGCATTTATTTACGAATTTCTTTAATTGTAAAATTATTCATCAATATTATATTATCACAATATTGTTATACTGTAACTTATTCAACATTATTTTAATCAATTCAATTATTATTTTCTATAATTTTTAACTAAAATTCTTCTTTAAATAAAAATAATTATTTTTAATAATTTTCGAAAAAATTCTTTGAAAATTTTCAAATCCATTTGTGTACAAATCAATTTTACAAAATTTCGATTATTCGGAAATTCTTCAATTAAATATATTTTAGAAAATAAAAACTTCAAATAACTACAAAAAAAATTTAATAAAACTGTTCCAAAACAATTAATTCTACAGAATTGTCAGCTAAAAGTATGGAAAATTCAAATTTTTAAACATTTTAACTTGAAACCTTTTCAAAATTCAATAATTCTCTAAAATTTTAACTGAAATTCATATTTAAATCAATTTTTGTTAGAAAATTCTACGATAATTCAATTATTTAAATACAAAAATAAATTATTTAATGAATATGTTTCTGAAGATTAAATTCTAATAAACAATTTCATCAACATATTATTTTTAAATATAATTGAATTCTTTCGACGAATTTTAATAAAATTTTTCAGAAAAATTACATTTTTCGAGGAATTTGATTAAAAATATATTAAAAATAATTGAAATTCTAGGATGAGATTTGTTATTTATGAAAATAATTGAATTACTATAAAATTAATTTTATTACTTAATTATGAAAATAATAGAATTATTGCGAAGAAATTTATAAAAATTTTGTAAATATAATTAAATTCCTGTAAAATTTTTATTATTATTATGAAAATAATTAATTGATTGTTTACGGAGAATTTTATCAAAATTTTTTTTAATTCATTAAATTCTTTTTAAAAAATTTATTAAAAATAGTAGATATTAAAAATCATTGAATTGAGCCAAATATTTAAAAATAATTGAAATTTTGCCATGAATTTTATTAAAATTTTTGAAAATAATTGAATTTCAGAAAAGAATAAAATTTTATTATTTATAAAGATCTTTAAAATTTTGACGAGCAATTATTTTAAAAATATTTGAGTTAAATTATTCATTAAATAATTTTATGATAGTTCTTTTGGTAAATTTTTATTAAAATAGTATGTAAATATTGAAAATAATTGAATTTCGAAATATCTTTGAAATTAATTAAATTTCTAAGAAGAATTTTATTTAAATTATTTGAAAATAATTACTAAATTCTAATAAACAAATGATATCAAAATTTTTTTTCAATAATAGAATTCTTTTGAACAATATTGTCTTTAAGAATAAAATTGCATATTTTGAGAAATGCTTTTAAAATTGTTTTAAAAATAATTGAAATCCTACGATGAGTTTTTTTTACTACTTATGAAAATAATATTGAATCCTATTTGCAACGAATTTTATTAAAAATTTTTAAAAAATAATTTAATTCTTGTGAAGAACTTTATTAAATTTTTTTTTAAATAATTGAATCTTTACTGAAAATTTTATTATTTATGAAAATAATTGAATGTTTGTATAAAATTTTATTAAAATTTTTCTTATATAATTAAATTCTTATGGGATTTTTTTTTTAAATAGTAAATATTAAAAATCATTTGTAACTTCTCAAAAATTCAATTTTTCTAGTGTTTTCTACTAAAATTGTTCTGTAAATCCATTATTTTTAATAATTAATTTAATACATTTTAAGAAATTTAACTAATTTCAGAAGAATTTGAATTATTAAAATTTTTCAAAAATCTAAGTTCCTTAAAAATTTCGTAAAAGTTTTTAAAAACATTGGGCCAGAAACTTGAAAATTTAAAATACTCTGTCTGGAAGGTAGGTATTTAAAATTTTTACGAAATGGTATGTTTTACTATCACAGAAGAAACCGGAACTAATTTTTGTTGCTTATCGTTTTGAGATCTGTATCAAATGAGTCAACCGTAAACTTCAGGTTATTCAAAGTGAGGCTTCTGTCTATTATATTTCAAGTTATATGTTAGATTTCAATAAAATGACAGATATTACATTTATTTTGTATTGATAGTAACTCTATAGGTATAGTATAGGAACATTTGGGGTAAATGTAAATAGAATAATATCTTTTTTTTACACCAAAAACAAAAATAAATTAATTTAACATTTAGTAGATACTTCACTTTTTAATCTGCAAATTAATACATATTTTGTACCAAAAATCAATCTTTGAAAAAAGTTTGCAAAAAAGTTCGTTCAGAATTTTCGGAACATATACGAATTTTGTCAATCATATAAGTAAGTCACTTATTTACTATAATAATCTTGAAAACTATTGATATCGATTTTTAGTTTGAAATTCAAGAAATATGGTATTTAAACCCAGATGTCATTAATATTATTTTTAGAAAATTAAAACTGTGAAAAAATGGGGGACTAATTTTCCTGGGGATAGATCCTGGATTATGATCCCCAGCAGAGTTAGTCCCCCCACGTTTTTATAGTTTTAATTTTCCAAATATAAATTCTGTATAAAAGATAGGGTAAATGCACTAGTAGTCGGACACTTAAGGATACAATCTTAAATTATGCTTTTTTTCTTGAAATAGCAAATATCTACTGTGTTTATAAGCACATTATTAATTAAAGGAGTTCTTCAGGATTAAAAATCATATAAATTTGTTACAAATAGTTGAGTATTTAATAAAATATAAACATTTTAATAAAAAATTACGAATGCTTTAGTAGTCGGACACTTTTTCCCCTTGTTTCTATAGTCGGACATCTGTCAGATATTTTGAATTTATAAAGTAAAAAAGATAATTTTTTAATTGCTATCTGCTGGAAAATGGAATTAAAGCATATTAGAAGTTATTAATATAATATTTAAACCCTATAAGTTTTAATATTTATGATTAATTGTCAACAAAACTTTGTGCCACTCATCGCGCTACTCGAAAATGGTTGTATCTATAGTCGGACACCATGATTTTTAAAACATTAAATAAAATATTTCTTGTTTAATTATTTTCGAAAATAACACTATTTTAATAAAATATAAACTTCACACATTCGTCTAGTATACTTTTTAAAGCAATTATCACAATGCATTATTATTTATTTGTCAAAAAACACGAAAGTGTCCGACTACTAGTACTGTCCGACTATACCCGCACTTACCCTATATGTATACTTATTGGATTGAAAATCTGTTGAGAATGTACTGAAAATAATAATTAAGTTCTTTTTATCAAAAATTATTTACATCTTGTTCTTAAAAAACATTTTTTCACTTTTTTTTTTTTTTTTTTTTTTTTTTTTTTTTTAATATAATTAATAAATTTTAAATTCGATTTAGTGAAAGTATACAAAAATTAAATTTTCAACATTCGAAACAAATAAAAGTTGCAGTTTGAATAAAAAAATTACAATTTTATATCAATAAGAGACGATTTAAGTAACAGGACCTAATATTTAACAAATATTTCTTATTGATAATAAATTGTAATTTTTATTCAAATGCAACTTTTAATTGTTTACATTGTTGGAAATTAAATTCTTTATCCTTCTACTACTACTACTCTTGTTTAAAGTTTTAAATTCAAAAAATAAAAAAAACTTATAAGAAAACCAATACCTATGTCTTATTAAATATAAAGACTGTTAATTAAGAAGGTAGTCATTTACTTTTTAAACACGTTCGGTTAAATAATTTCTTAAGAAAAATAAAAGTACTTATTCTTTGTTGCTTCTATTATAAAATTAACTTTTTATTGTCATTACTAAAAAATTATTTTCAATATTTCGATTCAATTATTTTCTAGAAATTTTATAACTAAAATTGTTCTTTAATTTAATTACTTTTAATATTTTTTGAGAAAGTTCCTTAAAACTTAAATTATTTTTTAAAAAAATTCACCTAAAACTAAAATACTTCTAAAATCTATATTAGTTTACAAGACAATTTCATAAAATTTCAAATAATTTGAAAATTCTTCAATCAAAAAATATAATATATTTAAAAATATAACTATGTAATTTAAAAAAAATGTGAATACAAATGTTTCAAAAAACTGCCTTATTCAGAAATAAAAAATAGAAATTTCGAATCACTTTTGTTCTAATTAGTTAAATTATTTACTAATTCAAATATAGAGAATAAATTTTGTGGTAATAATATTGCAAAAAAAATTTATAAATAAAAATTAATTAATATAAAATTAATTAATTAATATAAATTAATATAAATTAATTTATTTTCAATTTCACAAATAGATTTTATTAGAATTTTTTTTAAATAATTGAATTTCCAAGAAGAAATTTATTACTTTTAAAAATAATTGATTTCTTATGATAAATATTGTTATTTATGGAAATAATTGAATTTTGCAAACAATTTTATTAAAATAATTGAATTTTCAGAAATAATTTTGATTATTTATAAAAATAATTGAATAGTTGCAAAAATTTTTAATAAAATGTTTAAAAATAATTGAATTTCTGTGAAAAATTTTATTATTTTTAAAAATATAATTGAATTCTTCATAAGAATTTTCTAAAAATTGTTTTAAATAATTATTTTTTTCAAAATAAAATAAATATTATGAAAATTTTATTTAAAATAATTGAATTTGCCGATTAATTAATTTAAAACCTAGTATTAAAAATAATTGAAATTTTTCTATGAGTTTTATTATTTATTAAAATAATTGAATTCTTGCTTAGAATTTTAACAAAAAATTTTTTAAAAAAATTGAATATATAGTTGATTTTAAAAAAATTGAATTTCCATGAAAAAATGTTATTATTAGTGAAAGTAATTAAATTATTGTGAAGAATTGTATACCTACAAATTTTGTTAAATAATTGATTTTTTCGAAATTTTTTGGAATATGCTATTCTAAAGTAATTGAATTCCTGTGGATAATATATTATTTCTGAAAATAATAAATTGAATTTCAGAAGAATTTTATCAATTTTTTTTAAATAATTGAATTCAGTTTTAAAGAATTTGATTATTATTTTTGAGAATAGTTTTTTAATTTCTAGTATTAGCGAATTTAAAGTAGTGGAAATTCTAAAAAAAACAGAAATAGTAGCTTTTAGTGGCTGAAATTTAAAAAAGTACCCAAATAGTAGCATAACGTTAACAAAAGTAGTAGTACGCCATGCGGAGAATCACCTATAATATATAAATATAAACTCCCGCAAGAAATGCAGCCGGGAATGTAAACTTGTAAACTTGCTGTGGTAGGCATTCGAGAGATTCGTCTATATATTGCTGACGTTAGGAAATATGTTGTATATGGGGGGATTAGAAAAACAGGAGCCACGAGCACGAGGGGTTTTATACATGTGAAAGTTAAGGCTTTTCACGCAGAGGGGGAGCGAGCGCGTTAATGTTACACTTATCTAAGGACAATGAAAAAGTAAAAAATGCCCTTTCCATTTAAATTTATCTACGATGACTACTACTCCCACGAGACTATCTCCTTTCTAAACGATCATTTACAATTTAGGCAAAAACACACATTTTTTAAAAATCATTTCCATTGTATATTTTGACAATTTTTACAATTCAAATATATTTCTCGAGCTTTTAAATTTAAATACAACTCTCCTTCTTTTTATTCCATATACCCACACAAAAAAAACTATGGAATAAATTTAAAAAATTTCAAAATGCTAATTTAAAAATACCCGAAAAAAGAAATAAAACTTTTAAAAAGTTATTATACGAACAATACGTATTCGTAAGTTTGAAAAATTTGAAAATTTGCCTGAGTGCTATCTACGATTTAGATATAATATGTGTACGACGTTTAAAACGTAAAAAGGATTTTAAATTTAAATGGCATACAAGTCAAGACACGAAAACGAGAATGAATCATTTATGTAAATTGCTTTGATAACAGAATATAATGCTGTTTCGTTGACTTCAAAATGCGTTTTAAAGCTTTTAGTTACATTTTATTACTGTGGCTAATGTATATTTCTTAATGTATAATTATACTTTACACTTATTCTAAATATGTTAGTTCGCTTCTTCGATTTGTAATGAACTTACAAAATTTTGACAAAATTAAAGGTCATGAAAAAAAAATGTTATATCTTAATTATTAATCGTTAAGAAGCACTTTATTTTTTTTCGAGACTTTTTGAGTTGTTTATGAATAACAAAAACATTATCGAAAAAATTGACTTGTACTACTTTTGAAAGTGATTTTTCATTTTGTCGAATTTTAAATCAAATTGTTTGTGAATTGACTTTTAAAAACTATGTTAATTACATTTAGGTTACGTTTTACCGTAAAATGCTAAATTATAATTTACTTTTAATGACTATAAGAATCCAAGAGGCCATTTAAACGAAACCGAACCAACTTTTAATTTTTCAATGACGTTTTAATAGATTATTAAAAAAAAATGAAATTTTTATTTCTTAATTTATATCTTTTAAAAATATGGTTAGATATTTTTTGGATTTTGGAGGTAAAAAGGGATTTTCTACCTTCAGGTTTACTGGTAACTTCACTAATCTATGAATCGATCAATAAATATTTTCAAAAGCCTAAACAAATTGTGTCATTAAAAAAGAGTAGCAAGAATGTTAACATTGACCATATTTGATTGGATTCAAGTTCAAGAAGTAAATTTTTAAATCGAATTCGTTTTTAAAATACATTTCATAGAATTTCATGACTTTTCCAGACTAAAAAATATTCCGTGACAATTGCTACTTTTTTAGGAGCGCAGCAGTTCTGTTTACAAAGATTTTTTTTTAACAAACCTGGATATAGCCGGAATGTGAGCCGACAGCGACGAGGTTTCCCCTCTCGTTCCATGCGACAGATGTGACCGTATTTCCATCACTAGACAAATCGCACAATCTCGTCACCTGACTGGTGCAGGCGGACCAAAGATAAACGCAACTTCCAAGTCCCACGCTTAGAACATTCTGCGACGACCAGTCGACGAGATTCAAATAAAAATCGTCCTGCAATTCCGGAGCGTCGAGAACTTTAAAGGGAATTCTGGAGATTTTCCTCGTCGCCTTGCGCGGCGAACGAAGCAACTTTTGACTCTTGGCACTGAGCGGTGACAGGGAATAAGGCAAACTCTGGTTGAGGAGTGTCCGATCTTTCGTTGGTGTCATATACCTAAAGAGATTCTTACTACTCAACGGCGACAATATCCTTCGCTCGTCACATTGACCCTTAACATCCTCGATACTTGCACCGAGTAATTCATTTTTCAGGAGGCACGAATAGGCGATTCCGTCGCGACTCCCTTCACCATTCTCGCGGGTCTTCTTCGTCACCAAACCACTTCGACTATTTTCCGAGATCATTGAAAACGATACTTGCCAATTATTTCCAGCTCGCGTTGGAATAAAACGATCGTAACTATTGTTTCCGATTTTCGTCGGCGAGTAATATGCGGGCGATGAAAGACCCGTCGGCGATGGTGAGTCCGTGTGATCATCGTTGCTAGGCTTTAAAAGTCTCTTTTCGTACTCGTGGTGATACATTTTTTTTGTTTATTGTTCCGTTTATTTCCCACTCACACACACACACACACTGCGAAAGAGCACTTATTCACTAATCCAACTTATTTGACATTGTTCGCAAAGTTTACCGTTTAACGCATTATTTCGTTTTTAAAGAATTTATCACTTTTGTTTGGGGGAAAAAAAATAATATTGCTTCGCGTTTGTCGATGTCGCCAGCACCAAAGCATTCGACGTCGACGAACACGGTTTAATGATTTTTTAGATGGGAAATGTACTGGTCAGTAAATAGTCCGTTGTGCGCATGCGCGACGCGACTGCCCTCTACATTTCAAATTTTATTCGACAATATTTTGTATTTTTCTTCAAATATTTCAAAAACTACTTTAATTTTATCATTACATTAGAAATAATAAATACTTTTTCGATAAAATACTTTCTATTGAGGGTTAATTACAGGACAAGATTAATCACAAGAGACGTCAACCAATCGGAGGGCTTCATTTTTTCCCGCCAATTTTTTGAATATTCAAACACAAGAGAAAAAATGCACTCTCGATAAATTATATTAATTAAATTAGTTATTTAGTTGCATTTATCTCTAAAAGTTCATTATGTGGTAAAAATTTTATTATTTTAAGAAAATGTTGAAAAAAATCCTTATTAATAAAATCAGACTTTTGTCTGTACATTGCATAGAATTCAAAATTTCTATTATATTCCTTCTTTTTACACTCTAAGGAATGCGAAAATACTATTAAGAAAATTATGTGTGTATGTGTATATGTGTGTATGTGTGTATGTGTGTATGTATGTCCGCAAATTTTCGACCGCGTATCACGGAAAAACGGTTCGATCGTTTGAAGTGAAACTTGGCAGTCTTTTAGGCATTAGCCTAACTTAAAATCCTAGCGATAGTAGATTAAAAAATATTAATATGGACGAAAGTTATGCCATTTTTTCAAAAATTCGAAAATTCGAAATTTTTAGTTTTTTCATATACTTTAGTGAATTGTACTTAAACTTGGTACAGGGTTAATTTTAGTGTTTCTTATGAAGATTTAATCGTCAGAATAATAAAATTTTGAATAACAAATAAAAAGTGTTAGATTTAAATATTGAAAAATTAAAAAGTTTAAAAATTGAAATTTTTTTGTAATTAATTTTTATACGGTTGTATTTCTTAGGTCAACAATAAAAATTTGTTGTTGAAATCATAAGTTTACTTTCTTAAAAGAATTCTATTAGGTCAGAATATTAACAATATCCATATAATTAATATGAGACTTTTGTCAGTATGTTGCACAGAATTCAAAATTGCTATTATATTTTATTAATTAATGATCAAAAAATGAAAAACTCAAATTTCATTCTGATGACTAAATTGTAATAAAAAATACTAAAATTAACCCTGTATAAAATTTAAGTAAAATTAATGACAATAATTATTTCAAAAGATAAATTTTGAATTTTAAAAATTTTGAAAATATATAGCACTAGCTGTCATGTCGTACCCGTCTTCGACGGGTTTTAGTTTCTACCAATACATTTAACAATGTTTCTACCAATCTGGAAAATCAAAAATACCCGGGATAAATTAATTAATAATTAATAATTAATAATTAGTTAATTAATAATAATTAATAATTAGTTAATAATTAATTAATTAATAATTAGTTACCATTAGCTATTTCGGTAGTATAATTATACTATTTGAATAGTCTCCACCCTTTAGCAAAAAATCAAAAATTATCAAAAATTCGAGAAACCGAATTTCTTAAAATTTAACATTTTTTTCTTCTCTTTTATATCATTAAACTTCATTATTTTTGTGCTCTTCAAAAATAATTTACTTATTTAAAAGTCTTCAATGTTTCGTAAAAAATCTAAAATTATGGAAAATTAGCAAAAATTCATAAAACCGAATTTATTAAAATTCAACATTTTTTCTTCTCTTTTATGGCTTTTGGCTTCATTATTTTTGGGCTCTTCAAAAATACTTTACCTAATTTGTTATCTCCACCCTTTGGTAAAAAATCTAAAATTATGGAAAATTATCAAAAATTCAAAAAACCGAATTTCTTAAAATTAAACATTTTTCCTTCTTTTTATGGCATTTAGCTTTATTATTTTTGTGCTCTTAAAAAATACTTTACTTATTCAATAGTCTCCACCCTTCGGTAAAAAATCTAAAATTATGGAAAATTAGCAAAAATTCAAAAAACCGAATTTCTTAAAATTCAACATTTTTCCTTCTTTTTTATGGCATTTAGCTAATTATTTTTGTTTAATGTAGCAAATTTTTTACTTTACATACTGATCTTTAAATAAAAAACTTTAATAACTTTTCCTGAAAAGCTTGCTTAAAGATTAAAAATCACTATTTTCTTAGAAAAAAGTTGATCTAAAAAAACGAAAAAAAATTTCAAAATATATCTTTTTTAAAAATTTTATCGTAGAAATGGGTTGTATTTATCTGAAAAAGTTAGCTAAGGATAGTTTTTTCATTCATTTTACAAAAGATAAAAAATTTGCATTTTTTTGTTTTTTTGAATTTTTTGGAAAAATGTCATAACTTTTGTTCAAGTTAATATTTTTTAATCGGATAAGGCTATGATTGTAAGTTACTTTAATACCTAATAGACTGCCAAATTTCACTTTAATTGGTTGAACCGTTTTCAATTGATGCGCGAACAAAGTTTTGCATACAGACAGAGACAGACAGACAGAAATTTTTTTTACATTTTTAGAATTCTAATGTCTCAAAACGAAAAAATATATAAAAATTTTCAAGTTTGGAGCAATGTACAGATAGTAATCTGATTTTATTAATATAGATAATGTTCGTTCACATTAATAACTTTTAGTTTACTATAGCTACACTAAAAAAAGTTATATGATTCAAGTAATTATAATTATTTGAAAAATAATATCTTATTTAAAAAGTTTTTATTTCCATCTAATAAGAATTTATTTCGTTTAAATAATTTTATTTAGTTGAATCAAATAAATCTTAATTGGATTAATTAAATAAATACTTGACTCTAATAAATAAATTTATTTAACACAAATTATTTCTAAATTTTATATTTTTTCATGGATTGCTTCTAAACTTTCTATAGTTGAGTATTACATGTTATTTAGTCACATTTTAGCATAATTTTTCAAAAATACTTTCTTATAACGAAGATGTAAGTATAAAAATGTTTTGAATATCAAAAAATTGAAAAAATTATAATTGATACCAATTGCTATAAAGCTTAATTCAGTAGTATTTGTGGGCTCTCTGATTTAACTTTTAGAAATATCACTTGATCAATGTAAAGACAAAAGTTAAACACGGTGTTTATTTTGGTTTAAAACAATTTCCGGCTTTGTCCAAATTTTTCCTGGTTTATTCGACGGGTTTTTTTTTAATAATACATTTAACAGGGTGTCTACCAACCAGAAAAGACGTAATATATCAGGGAATTTAATGTAACAGAGAAAAACTGGATCTACTTGCTATACAATTAGTTCGAATTAGACTGTACTATAACTCAAAAAACTGGAGGAAATTTTAGATTGATTTTAATACATTATATTGATTGAAGTACTACAAATTGAGAAATATTGTTTTCTGCATTTCAATTAGTTAAAAATAACTAATTTGATAATAAAAAGTCGGTCACTGTTTCAAATGGTATTATTTTCCTAATGAAATAGACAATAGTAACTAACTATTATTTTTTCCCTGTCAAATCAAATTCCCGGCTATTTTCCGGTTTTCTAGGTAGGTAGATACACTGTTAAGTGTATTATCAGAAACTACAACCCGTCGAAGACGGGTACGACAGCTAGTTTATAATAAAATTGAAATTATTGAAAATTTGCATTTGATTAAAAATCATCATTTTTTGAAAAAATAAGAAACATTTGATTAATTTTAGGTTATGTTTTACCTAAAATATCCCTAAAAATGTTTCTTATTGACAAAAAATTGTAATTTTTGTTCAAATGCAACTTTAAATTGTTTAAAATGTTAAAAATTAAATTCTTTATGCTTTTAGCAAAACGAATTTAAAAATTAATATCTTTTTCTTTCAAAATTCGAAAACTGATGAAACAATTTGTCATGAACAAACTTTTGATTTGAATGTCCGTCATCAGATTTAATAAGTTAAATTATTGTTAATTACACTTTTTTTTATTTTTGTTTGTAAATAATTTTTTTTATTAATTTTCTAATGATTCTTTTAAATAATTAATCAATACAAAAAATTTACCTTATTTAAAAAAATAAAAATAATAAATAAGTTAACTAATTATTATTTAATTAATAAATAATTAATATATTAATTATATAAATAATTAAATTAACTAATTTAATAACTTTACATTATTTTTTGGCGAACATTATTGAACCATAAATTGTTTAAAGAAATTGGCTTAAAACATTTCGTCAAATACAAAAATTCATTTGAATGTAAATTTCCGAAAAAAAGAAAATAAAGAAATAAAAATAATTGAAAAAAAGCATAAAAAGAATTATAACAAAAGCAATTTTTTGTTAAAATAACAATTTAAATAAAATAAACAATTGTTATTGCCCAAATAAATAAAAGAAAATTCGGATGAACTGAAAAATAAATAAAAATACAGAATAATTAAAATTTTAGATTCATTAAAAAATAAATTGATTAAATGTTAGATTAATTTAAAAATTTCTAATTGATTTTAAAAAAGTAATTACAAAATTTAATTAAGATAATTGAAAATTTAATTCGCTTCAAATTTTTAATATTTTAGAATTACTTCAAAATGTTGTAAAATTAAAGTCTGAATCTAAGTTTGGATCAGGAACTAATTTAACCAATAAAATTATAATAATTGGAGTTAATAAAAATTTCAATGTGAATTAAAATAAAATAATTATAATTAAATTATCAGATTTACTCAAATTGTAATTTTATTGATTAAATCAGTTTCAAAATTGGATCCATAAAGTTTTTCCAGACTTTAATTTTTTCCAAATTTTCAAGTATTTCTAAATTTAATTCTTAAAAATTTTAATCTAAACTTGTCTAAATTTTATCGAAATCTAAATTTAGATTTATTGGAATTTAGATTGTCAAAAGTTTAGATAAGTTTAAATAAAATTCAGAAAAAATTCTAATTGACAATTAAAAATTTTGACAATTTAAAATTAAAATTTATCAAAATATAGATGAATTAAAAGTTTAATTATTAATGAAAGCTTGAATTGGAGAGTTTAGATCTCAAAGGATATTTTTAAATTGATATCATTTCTACAAAAATAAAGAATTTTAATTTTTATACAGTGAATTTTAAAGCAGTTTTTGTCTTCTTTTTAATGCCAAAATTCTTTCTTTAAAAACAAATTTTCTTAATTTCACTCTTTATAAAAATAAACCATATTTTTTAATTTTTTTGTACATTTTCTTATCTCAACACTTTTGATTATTATTTTTTCTTTTTTTTCAGAGTTTTGGAAAATTCTCAAGGATCATAAAAACAGCTCGTCATTCAAGGTTTCGAAAGACAATTTATTCAGTTTTAAACAGTCTCATTTGGTCTTGATCCCTGAATTGGGCGATGAGCTTTCGACAAGTAATCGGCGAATTCCTGATAAGGCGGCTTCGACAGTGCAACGTCCTTCCAGAGATCCGGCGTCAGATAGGCGTAGGTCTTGGCAATTGCAGCGTAAGTGGCTTTCGCGAAATTACCAAGAGTGCAAGTTGAACCCCTCGCGGAGGTGTAGCAATCCTCAATACCAGCCATCTGCAATAGTTTCTTGGGAACTGGAGCCGACACAATTCCCGTTCCTCTGGGTGCTGGAATCAAACGCACCTGGACGGATCCACATTTTCCAGTGACTTTGCATGGCACAGTGTGGGGTTTGCCAATTTTGTTTCCCCAATAGCCGAGACGCACTGGAACGACGGACAATTTCGCGAGAATTATAGCACCGCGAATTGCTGTTGCGACTTCCTTCGAGCATTTCACACCCAGGCCGATGTGACCGTTGCTGTCTCCAATAGCGACGAAGGCCTGAAATTAATTAATTAAATTAATAAATTCAAGAATATATTGTCTTTCAATTTTATTTCCTTTATTTTATTTATTTATTTTATTTCCTTAATGAAACGTAACTATACTAAAGAAGGACTAGAGAAATTTTAACCCACCAAAAATTAAGGCGGGGACTCTTCAATAATTAAGTTGTTAAGGTGCAACAATTTTTTTTTTTTTGTTTTATTGAGTTATCTAAATTAACTCTTTTATTATTAAATTTTACGCGGTATTTCATTTATTGTTATTATGCAAAATAAAAATTTTAAAAATCCAATTATATAACAATTTACTAATTAATTACATAATTAATTATTATTTTCAAAAGCTTTAATAAAATTCTTCGCAAGAATTCAATTATTTTCAATACAATTTCAATAAAATTTCTCCAATGAGTTCAATTATTTTTAAAAATTTGACCTTTGGTAAAAATTCTAAAATTATCAAAATTTATCAAAAATTCGAAAAATCGATTTTTTTAAAATTCAACATCTATTCCTCTCTTTTATGAGATTTAGCTTCATTTTTTTTGGGCTTTTGGAAAATACTTTACTTATTTAATAGTCTCCACCTTTTGGTAAAAAATATAAAAGTATCAAAAATTCGAAAAAATTCAAAAAACGAATTTCTTAAAATTCAACATTTTTTCCTCTCTTTTATGGGAATTAGCTGTAAATTTTTGTGCTTTTTGAAAATACTTTACTTATTAAATTGTCTCGACTCTTTGGTAAAAAATCTAAAATTATCAAAAATTATCAAAAATTCAAAAATCCAAATTTCTTAAAATTCAACATTTTTTCCTCTCTTTTATAGGATTTAGCTTCATTATTTTTGTGCTTTTGGAAAATACTTTACTTATTAAATTGTCTCGACTCTTTGGTAAAAAATCTAAAATTATCAAAAATTCAAAAAACCGAATTTCTTAAAATTCAACATTTTTTCCTCTCTTTTATGGTATTTAGCTTCATTTTTTTTGGGCTCTTGGAAAATACTTTACTTATTTAATAGTCTCGACTCTTTGGTAAAAAATCTAAAATTATCGAAAATTATCAAAAATTCAAAAACCGAATTTCTTAAAATTCAACATTTTTTCTTCTCTTTTATGCCATTTAGCTTTTTTATTTTTTGAATTTCTATTTAAGAGAAAAAATGGAAAACAGGAAAAATTATATAAGAAAAACTGGAAGATTATATAACTATTTTTCAAAATTTGATGAAATTAATGTTAAATAAAGTTCTATTAACGGTTGAGTATTTTTACTTTAAATTAGAAATTATAATTTATTGTCTTAATTCCATATTTTCTTTTGATTTGCTTAAATATTGTTCTATTCAATATTTGCAATTTTGCCTTATTATTCAATGGTAAAAATTATTCTCATAGTTTTCCTTAAACAAATAAAGAAATTTGAATTTTAAGTTTGAGTATTTTAGAGCTCGAAATGATTTGAGTTTTAAAAAATCGTTTTAGTCGAAAAATTAAGAGACGATTTTTATTTTAATAAAATTAATTATGTTTTTCAATTTTTAATAAGAATCCTTAAATTTTTAAGAAAATTTAAATTATTATATTATTTTAGAAGTATACAAACATTCAAGATTTGAATTGAGTAGAAGAAATTTTTAAAAAACTATAAAATTACTTTTTTAAAAAGTTTTTTCAAATTTAATTTATACAATTTATTCAAAATTCGAATACATTCAACAAACATTTCAACTGAAAACTTTACCGTATTCCTAAATTTAATTAAGAAATACGGTAAAGTTTTAAGTTCAAATGTTTGTTTCCCAAATGTTTGTATGGCATAATTTTTTATGCTTTACAAAGTCGCAAAATTAATTAAAGTTAAATATAAAGACAAAAAAAATACTTTTTAAAAATGTTTAAAGAGCAAGAAATCGTTAAAATAATTCTATTTCAATAATTAAACAGATTCATTGAAATTACCTTGAAGCGGGTACGTTGACCAGCTCGAGTTTGCTTCTGAACGGGCATAATTTTTAAGACTTCGTCCTTAAGAGATGGGCCAAGGAAGAAATCAATGATTTCGAATTCTTTGATGGGCAAAGAGAAATGATAGATTTCCTCGAGACTTCGGATTTTTCCATCGCGCACAAGGCGACCTAATTTTGTAACTGGAATCCATTCCTTGGCGTCTTCCTTGCCACGACCGCGACCACGGCCACGACCTCTGCCTCGACCTCCTCTACGATCACCACGAGATCCGAATCCACCACGAAAGCCACCGCGTGCGGCTGGAGCAGCGTCCGCCATTCTGTAATAATCGGCAAATTAGTATTTGGGTCAATCCACTCAATTTCTCTCAAATCCTACTGTGGCAGTATTCTTTCAATTTTTCAAATAATTCTAAATAATTTTTTAATTTTAAATCAAATTTTAAACTTTCATCGAATTTTAATATCAGAAATAGGGCATTCTCCTTTTTTTTTTTTACAAAATTGACCCTTATTTCTTATTTTTAACTCTCTTATTTAGTCCCCACATTAATAATTTCTTTTCATTTTTATTTGAAAGTTGGATTTTTTCCTAATGAATCTTTAGAAATATAAAATTTGGAAATATGAAATTAATTTAGTTTCTCAAAAGATTAATTTTCTTTTATTACTTCTAAATTAAATAATATAAAACTTGAATAATTTTTGTTGAATAAATATTTAAATACTCATTCAATTTTCCTGACAATTTACTGACATTAAAATTATTTTTCCTGGCAAAATTCTTTTCTTTACAGAAAAATATGAAAGTTTACGAAAACAATTTTCAACTAAACTTCATATCTAAATCAATTATTAAAAATCATTTTTAGGATGTTTTTCTAGAATTTAATTATTTTAAAAATAAATAAATAAAAAAAACTCAATTTTTTATAATAATTGTAACTGTCCATGTTTTTTTCTTAAGTTATTAAAATATTATAATATTTTCAAAAGATAATAAAAATAATATTTTATTATAAAAATAATAAAGAAATTCTTACAATTAATTTTTTAAAAATATTTTTCAATAATTTTTGAATGATAATAGTTTTTTAAATTGAAAAATTTCCAAACAATTGAAATTTAGTAAAATTCTTTAAAAATAATTGAATTTTTCAAAAATATAAATAAAAATAATGATTTTAATATGTAAGTCTAAAAAAGTAAATTTTTATTGCCTTCGTTCGAAGATAATTGAATCTTAAAAAATTATGATAAAACAATTCTCAGAATATTACTTTTTAGAAATATTTTAATGCAACTTTTCGAAAATAATTGAATTTCTTAAAATAATTTTTGTATATCTATTTTAAAAAAAACTAATTAATTTTTTGATGAATTTTGATTAAAAAATTTTGATAATGGTTTTTTTCTCAAAAATTTTAAAAATAATTCTAAAATATTATTTTATTGAATTTAAATAAATTAGAAACTAATTTTCATTAACTTTCATTTTTAAGTTTTCATTCAAAGATTTTTCATTAAAATTTTTTATGATTCAATTATTTTGAAAGTTTGTAATTAAAATTCTTCAAAAGTTGATTTTCAAAAATTGTAACAAACTAAAAAAAATTAATTATTTACAATTGAATTATTCAAAATATTACGTGAAATTTATGTTTAAATCAATTTTTATTAGAAAGTTCTAAGAGAATTCAATTATTTGCAATTCAAAAATAAATAATTGATAGAATAATAATTCATTATTTTTTAAAATTTAATTCTTATAAAGAATATTATCAAAATTTTTAAAAATAACAATATTTCCACAGGACAGTAAAGTAAGGAAATTTTAACCAACGTATTAAAAAAATATTAAATTATTGAAAGTCTTAAATATTCTATGAATTTTTTTTCTCAAATTAAAAAAAAAACCACATTACAGTTGCAATTTTTAGAAGTAAGTAAGAATTCTGATATAAAATTGTAATTACAAATATGTAATTGAAATTCTACGAAGAATTTTATTAAATTTTATTTTTTAATACATAATTGAATTTCTTTGAATAATTGCATTTTTACTTAGAATTTTATTAAAATTTATGAAAATAGTATTGAATTTTTATTAAAATTTTTTTAAATAATTAAATTCTTTCGATGAATTTTATTCGTTTATTATTTTTAAAAATAATTCAATTTTTAGAAACAAATTTTAGAAAAATTTTCTTGAAAATTGTATATTTTTAAATAATTAAATTCATGTGAAAATTTTATTATGTCTGAAAATCAGAATTTTATTAAAATTTCTTGAGTTTATTCACTTCTCTTTTTTGAAAACTATTCCTTATTTTCCAATTTTTGCAAAAACCACTTCTTTTTTCAATTTTTTTGAAAATTATTTTGCTTATATTGTTCTCCTACTTTTTTTTCAAAATATTATTTTAGAAAAAATTTTAGATTTTTAATAAAAATGATAAAAAAAAGACCAAGTTTTTGTAAAAATTGAAAATTATTGCTTTTGAGAAAAGAAGGATTGAAAAATTGTTATTGTCATTGAAAAGTACATAAAAAATGCTCTAAAATCTGTTGAAACACACAAAACGAAAATTACCTATTCAAGAAAAAAATTACAATTAACTCTAAATAAATGAAATTTTGCAATAATTCACTAAATACTGTATTATTAACAATTGAGAAAAATTAGTAAAATATTTACAAAATCTAAGCAACATAACCTAAAATTGCACGTGGCCTACTGACAATATCTATTTAACAGTTTTCGATTGCAAAGAAACCTTTAATTTATCTCTACTAGAACAATTGATAAATTAAATTTTTAACATTCTCACATCTTATTGGGAAAATATTGACAGAAATGTTTAAAAAAAGGAAAAAATTACTCACATTAATCTTTCTTGTGACACAAAAAGTACAGAAGAGAAGATAACTAAAAGCACTTCCGGTATGTAGTTTGCGGATGTGACGTCAAAGCGCGAAAATTTAAAATAAGAAATGCAAATTATCCTCTAATTTTCAATTTGATGATTTTCTTGAGAAAAATGTAATCTAATAATATTTTATTTATATTCTAAATTATGTTTAGTTTTAAAATAATTTTTTCTAAACAACTTTAATTTAATTTTTATTATTTTTTTGGACAAATAAATTTGGATTTATTTTTTATTGGTTGTATTAAGTTGGTAAGGCAGAGAATAGATGTCACGTCGTGAAAGTTCCTCACTGGCATTTATTGGCACGTGAATTTTAATAAAAAAATAAAATATGTTTTCATATATTATACTGATTACAATTTGTAATTTAAATTTTTCATTTCACTTTTTTAATATGCATTTTTTATTTAATTTAGAAATTCCTGTAAACAAAATATTTTAACAATTCAGAAATAATTTCGAATATTTATTTTTTGATAATAAACAATTCATTTTTAAAATTAAATTGAGGTACTTATTTATAAATAATAAAAACAAATTGTTTATTTATGTAAAAGTGTAATTATATATTTATAACAATTATTATACTTACCAATTATTTTATTTAATTTTTATTTATTTATCTGCTCATTTCTTCTTTTTCTATATAAAGAATATATTTTTATATAATTAATAATAATATTAAAATAATAATATAATTATATTTTTACAAATTATTTGTTACTAGCAAGCGAGCTAGCAAGTAAAAAATAAATAAAAGTTTTAAGCAACCTAAAGATTATAACCAAACAATAATAATAAAACAGAAGAGAAATAAATCGTATAGAAAAATTAATTCATTTGTTATCTTAATTGTCAAACTAAAATTTTCTTCTTTATATTTTTATTATTTGTCAAAAAATGAAAATTTCTGATTTTCGAGATGAAAATGGACAGGATGATAATGTTGATTTTGATGTTATAATTGTTGGTGCTGGATTAACAGGTCTAACTGCCGCTTATAATCTTCTTAAAAAAGAAGTTGGGTTAGATGTTCTTATTCTCGAAGCAACTGGTAAGTGTCAATTATTACAAAAGAAAATTGTATATAATTATATAGTTTTAGAAAAAAAATAAATTTTTATATCAATTATTGGATTTTAAAACATTTTTTTACATAGAGAAAATTGGTGGAAGGATATTTATAACTGAAGAAAGCAAAAGTTTTCATGCACATCCATTACAAAAAAATCTCATGGAAATGTTAGATGAATTAAATATTAGTACCGTTTCCCAAAGACAAATTCCTACTGCTAACGAGAGAATATTTTTAACAAAATCAGGTCCACGTCAAAAATTACCAGTTTACATTTTAGCTCAAGTTTACAATTTTCTTGCAACGGTAAGTTAAATAAAAAATTGTATAACTAACCTTCAAACGCATGATTTTCCACCCAAAATCTAGTTACAAGATTTTAGTTTTTAGAAATTCAAAATGGCGGATCCAATATGGCGGATGACTTTTAAAAAGTTGTTGGATTTTTATTAAACTAGGCATCTAGGGATTTTTTAAAAGAATTATTTTCTACAATTTGTGAATTTTGCTTTTCAATTTAAAATAACATGTTTTAATTTGATATTTCTGTTTAGTATATAAAATGTTAAATGTGCTTGCAGATTCAAAGTATTAGTTTGGACTTTCAACAAAATATGAACGTAGATGAAGCTAATATTTTGTCACAAATAAATTTGGATCAATTAACAGATAGTTTTCTTTCTTGGGGAACGGCAAAGTCAATTACTCAAAGTTTGCTAATAACTTCGTGCGGTAAGTATAAGTAAATATACTTTTATATATAATTTCTTCTATATACACTATACCGTTGGAAATTATCGGTATGGCTCCACGCTCATGGCCCAAAAACATACTATCTTTAAACTACGATTTTTCTATAAAAATAAACGTCAGAAAATTAAAAAATATGAGATTCAAAAGCTTATAATATTCCACGTTAAATATAATATACCAATGGAAATTTCAAGAAATTACACAAAGGTTTTAGCAATTGAGTTTGAAAAAAATGAAACTTTTTAAAATTCTGTCATATTTTTTAGAAATTGCAGACAAAGTTTAAAACCTATACAGGTATCTTTTTTCGCTTGGAGCATTTAAAAAAAAAGTTGTTTGTACATGAATGAATTCAAATAAATTATAATACAATGAAATATTGCATATAGGTATAAGCAGACTTAAGCAAGTATCAACTTTTTGGTATCTACTTTTGGTAAATGGAGCAGGAGGTTTTCTGCAGAGGTTGAAAATTGCTCTAGGAGATAAAAAAAGATTCTTTATTGAGGTATTTATTTATAAAGTGATTTATTAATTTTTTGTTTCTTAGTATCATATATGAAAATATTTTAATTATGCTACGTGATCTCGTCCTCTAGATCAAATGTAGTAACGCAAGTTGCTTGATCCATGCCACAGTTTTTTAAATATTCGCGCTAAAAGTTTCGCATTACCTTACTAGAGGGCATCCTTCCATTATATCGCCATTACGCTTTTCTGTGCGATCCATTCCACACGTGTCAGAAATTAATTAGAATAAAAATAAAAGTGTATAAAGTTTTGATAAATTATAAGTGATGGGACGTCAGAAATCGAAGTCCCGTAGTCCAAGAGGTTCCCGGAAAAGGCAACGAGATAAGGATATAGAGCGGATTTATCAAGAATTGGAACGACTTAAGAGGCCAAGGCGAGACGCGTCGTCGTCTTTGCATAAAAGAAACGATAGCAACGGCGAGCGAAGTCCGAGAGATTCGTCACGTTACAGGCAACACCGATCTCGGTCAAAATCAAGAGAAAAGAATCACCAAAGATCAAAAGGAGACAAAAAAGGCGGCGATCGTAGCCCGCGAGGCGCGACACGCCGAAGTCGAAATCGTTCTCGTTCCACATCTACACACGGAGAAAAAAATCAGGGCTTTTCAGCATGGAGTGGTCTGTACCTTTAGCGCATGGGCGCTTCCTTACGGCGAAAGAACGAATTTGTACGATTGCAGCAAGAGCTCGCCCTATTTTAGTAAGGAGCCTTGCTGCAATCGTACGAGTTCGTTCTTTCGCCGCAAGGAAGCGCCCATGCGCTAAAGGTACAGACCACTCCATGCTACAAAGCCCTGATTTTTTTCTCCGTGCACATAAACGCGACAAAGCTGGCGGCGAGCGTAGCCCGCGAGGTGCGCCACGACAGAGTCGAAATCGTTCTCGTTCTACATCTTCTCCACATAAACATGACAATCATGACGGCGAGCGCAGCCCGCGAGGTGCGCCACGACAGAGTCGAAATCGTTCTCGTTCTACATCTTCTCCACATAAACATGACAATCATGACGGCGAGCGCAGCCCGCGAGGTACGTCACGTCAGAATCGAAATCGTTCTCGTTCCACATCTTCTACACACAAACGTGACAATTATGACGGCGGGCGTAGCCCGCGAGGTACGTCACGTCAGTCTCGAAATCGTTCTCGGTTCATGGCTCACACACCAAAACGCGACAAAAATAGCGGCGAGCGTAGTCCGCGAGGCGCGCCACGTCTTAGTCGATATAATTCCTCATCTTCAGGGTCATCTCGATCATCATCGTCAAGTTCTTACTCGAGGAAATCACGGACCTCTCGATCGCCTAATACTTCTCGGCGAAACCATCGTTCAAAGTCAAACACAAACGCGACATCGACCGAGCAAAAACGAAAAAACTCGACCACAAACGATCAAGAAATTTCCCAAATCGATGCTGAAATTCTCAGCTTACTCGGTAATGTTAACGAAAACGCTAAATTAGGTCCGGACATTTACACTTCTGTATCAGAAGTATGGATAAAAAATCTGGGGTTAGGAATTTCCAAAGAAATGAAAAAAGGACTGATAGAAAAACATCCCTTTCCCGGAAATTGCAAAACACTACAAGCTCCACCATTAAATTCGGAAATTAAATGCTCCACCGGAGACCTGTCATTAAAAAAAGACAGCTTCCAAGTGATAACGCAAAACCAGTTAGGATCTGGTATCTCCGCAATGGGAAAGTGTTTAACCGAATTAATAATAAGATCCAAAAATGACCCTACCCTTTTACCACTCATTGGTGATCTAGCAGACTCAGGAGGACTTCTGACAGACCTCCACTATAGGATGTCAATGACAAGAAGATCATTTATTACTCCTGGTTTAAGTTTAATAGTCAAAAAAATTGCAGATGAATGCCCAGTCGATACGCTTTTATACGGAGAAAATTTCGCCGAAAAATTAAAATTGGCAAAAGCAGCCGAAAGATCGAGCAAAGATATTGCTAAAACAGTGCCTGTAGGCTCGTCAACTAGGAGGACAAACGATTTTAAGAAGCGCACTTTTTCTAAAGAGGATTCGTCGAAACATTTAAACTACAGGGGCCCCCCCAAAAGGAATTACAGGACGAGGGGGGGGCAGATCAACAAATTCACTCGGTACAACACGCAGAAGAAGACTCAACGGTAATTGAAGTAAGTATAATCGCTGGTAGACTGAGACTGTTCGCTCATAATTGGTCAAAATTGACATCCGATAAAATAATTTATCAGTACGTCACAGGGTACGAAATCCCCTTCGTAAGTGAACCCTGGCAAACTGAATCTCCTAAGGAGTCAATAATTTCGTCTCAGGACGAAAGTGATTATTTTTCGGCAATTAATATTTTGCTCAAAAAGGGGGCAATATCAGAATGTCCACCCGTTAAAGGTCAATTCCTGTCAACCTATTTTTTGGCAGAAAAATCGAATGGCGAAAAACGTTTTATACTCAACTTGAAAAAATTAAATAAATTTATAAACCCACCCCATTTCAAATTAGAGGACAGAAAAACTGTCGCTAGAATTCTTTTTCAAGATGCCTTTTTAGCCACTTTAGATTTGGCCGATGCATTTTTACTAATTCCAGTGTCGAAACCTTTCAGAAAATACCTACGGTTCATGTTTAAGGGCATTATTTATGAATTTAATTGTGTCCCATTCGGATTATGCACAGCCCCATATGCATTTACAAAAATTATGAAACCAGTCATCGAGAATCTTCGATCGCGTTCGTTCCTTTCCGTAGTTTATTTAGATGATTTTTTATTAATCGGGAAATCTAAAAAACAATGTGAAGAAAATATTATAGCCACGAAACAACTTTTAACAAGTTTAGGCTTTATCATTAACTTCGAAAAATCAGATACAAAAATAACAACAAAAATAAAATATTTAGGGTTCATCTGGGACACAAACAAAATGACTCTAGAACTAACGGAAAAGAAAAAGATATCGATTTTAACAAAAGCTAATAAATTCTACAAATTAAGAAAATGCAAAATCAGGGAGTTAGCACAATTCGTAGGTACCCTAGTCGCGTCATGTCCAGCCGTTAAGTACGGAACCTTATATACCAAAAGTTTAGAAAGGGAAAAATTTCTATCGCTAGCAAAAGAAAATGATAACTTTGACAAATACGTCTCCCTTTCAAAATCGTTGCAACCGGACATTAAATGGTGGATCGATAATATATCATTATCAAAAAACCCAATTACTTCACAAGTCTTTATTCTCGAAATTTTTACAGACGCATCCCTGACAGGCTGGGGCGCCGTATGTAACGAAGAAAAAATCCATGGTTGGTGGAGTCTCGAAGATCAGAAACACCACATAAATTTCTTAGAATTGTTGGCCGCATTTTACGGACTAAAATGTTTCGCAAAAAATTTGCGATCACGAGACATTTTATTACGTATAGACAACACAACTGCGATATCTTACATAAATAAAATGGGTGGAATACAGTACCCAAAATTAACTTGCTTATGTAAAGATATTTGGCAGTGGTGCGAAAAACGCAACCTTTGGATTTTTGCTTCGTACATCGCCTCACATGAAAACGTAGATGCAGATCGGGAATCACGGTCATTACCACAGGAAACAGAGTGGGAACTAGCACCCTGGGCATTTAATAAAATTGAAAATACTTTTGGCCCATTCGAAATTGATCTTTTTGCATCCACCGCGAATAAAAAATGCAAAAAATTTATATCGTGGAAACAAGATCCGAACTCCTACGCAATAGATGCGTTCACCGTGAATTGGAACGGGTTTAAATTTTATGCTTTTCCACCTTTTTCCGTCATCCTTAGAACTTTGCAAAAAATAATTACGGATAAAGCCGAAGGGGTACTAGTAATTCCATTATGGCCGACACAGTCTTGGTTCCCCTTATTCAATTCTCTGTTACTGAAAAAACCAATATATTTTGAACCGGATTCTGAATTACTTATCTGTCCATTTAGGGAAAACCATCCTCTCTCGAAGAAACTTACCCTGGCAGCAGGACTATTATCAGGGAAGCTTTTCTCGCACAGGGAGTCCCAGAAGCATCAATTCCGACGACACTCCAGTCCTTAGCGAGCAGCACAATTAAACAATACAACAAGCCTTTGAGGCTCTGGTGGAGTTATTGCAAAACAAGGAATCTTTCAATGTTCAAAGCATCGGTATCGGAAGCTATAGATTTTTTAACGTCTGTGTCGAAATCGATAAAAACGTATGGGACTATGAATACGTATCGCTCAGCCGTCTCTCTAGTATTGAATCATGATTTAGGAAATAACCCAATCGTTAAGCGCTTTTGTAAAGGTTTTTCGGTGGAAAAACCTTCGCGTGCAAAATACGAAGATATCTGGGACCCAGACGTAGTCTTAAGATATCTTTCAGACCTTGGTCCAAACTCAGAATTGAGTTTAGAACAATTATCGAAAAAATTAGTAACTCTCATGGCTTTATCTACTGCTCAGCGCCTCCAAACTTTATCTAAAATTAACTTAGAAAATATTAAAGTATGCGACGATGCTATAAAAATTTATATTCCTGATAGACTAAAAACTACGAGAGTAGGCAAAAATCAACCATTGTTAAATTTTCCATTTATGTCAGAGCAGCCAAATCTTTGCGTGGCGACACTAATTCAAACGTATATGGAAAAAACCAATTCTGTCAGACCAGAAGGCGTGGATTCATTGTTACTAACGTATAAAAAACCATATCAACCTGCGAGTAGTCAAACTTTGAGTCGATGGCTCAAGGAAATCATGAGCATGAGCGGAATAGACGTCAGCACCTTTGCGGGATACAGCGCGAAACATGCAGCTGTGTCTGCAGCAAAACGAAAAGGTTTAAGTATTGAAAACATAAGAGCGGCTGCAGGTTGGTCACATAAATCAAATGTGTTCGGTAAATTCTACAATCGTCCTCTTCGAGAGACATGTAATTTCGCAAGTACTGTATTAAACTGCGAAAAATAAAAGGTGTTATTCAAATCGAAATTCTTATCTTTAAACAACTACATTTGATCTAGAGGACGAGATCACGTAGCATAATTGTACGATTAAACGAACTTACCTGAAGTGAAGTTCAATCGAAATTATGCGAGTAGATCTCGTCCGAATAGATCACTCCCACCCTACCCTAATCAACCCATATCGATTTGAATCAAATTAAACATCAAAGCGTAATGGCGATATAATGGAAGGATGCCCTCTAGTAAGGTAATGCGAAACTTTTAGCGCGAATATTTAAAAAACTGTGGCATGGATCAAGCAACTTGCGTTACTACATTTGATCTATTCGGACGAGATCTACTCGCATAATTTCGATTGAACTTCACTTCAGGTAAGTTCGTTTAATCGTACAATTATATTGGTTTAAAATGTACCAAACAAAATAATTTCAAAAATCTTTCAAGTAGAAGCTCTAGGAATATGTAGTATTTTAGTCATATCGATTAAAAACATTATTGTTTATTATGGTTTTTGTTTCCATAGTGAGGAAGAAATCAATAGTTTTTTTTAACATTGTTTGTTGGAAAATTCAAGGTTTTCATGTCTTCAGCTGCATAACTATCGTGTTAATTTTTAAATTAAGTTATATAATATTAATATATATATATATATATTAAACTATGTATTAGAGTGGAATGGCTGAATTAGTAAAACTATTATCAAATAAAATATCGAAGAAACAGGGAGTTATACAATTTTCCGAATCAGTTTCAAATATACAGTTTAGCGACACCAGAGCCTACGTAACGACAAACAATAAGTGTTACAAGTAAGAATTTTATTTTGTATTGTATTTGAAATATTCGTTGAAGCAATAAAATAATAAAGGTCAAACAAATTTCGAAATTTTTTTTAAAAATATTTTTTTACCTTTAGATGTGAATACGTGATAGTAGCAGTTCCACCACCTGAAAGTGTAGAGATAACCGTTCAACCTTCCTTATCTCCGACTTTAACAAAGGTTCAGACCCTCTTTGAAAATGGAACAAACCTCTTCTTCACTGCCACATTTAGACAAGAGTTTCTAAACGACAATTATAGTTATCCAATGAATATTATCACCACTCCAGATTGTGACTCAAGTTTAAAATTAGTTTACGATGCTACACATTCCAGCAATAAATCTCAACTAGTTCTTGCAGGTTTTCTCAATGAGTCAAATTTCCAGACACGCAGGAAATTTAAATTTTTTAATACTTTAAATAAATGCTTTCGGGGTAATGCTGCACAAAATTGCATTGATTACAAAGAACGAAAATGGATGCCGTTCAATTTATCTAATAATCAAGAATCAATCCGCGGAGGAAGTCCAATGAGTTTCCTGATTCCTTGTGATTTTAAAAATTATTTCAATCCATTATCTATTAGAAATGGAAGGTATTGCATTTTTTTTTAATTATCAGTAGAATTAAATTAGAGAATCATTTTCTATTAAAGCAAAAAATATAGTTTATGAATTTTCATAAAGAATTTTTTAAAATTCAAATAATTGGTTAAATTCAAACTTCAGACCTCGGACTGATTTTGAAAGGACCCTTGGATCCAAATAAAGCCTTATAAATGAAGAATAAAGGAAAATTAAGAGAATCCTTTATCTCATTTTTTGAACATTAAAAATTTTAGCAAAGTTAGCAATTTTTTTTAAAAATAGTATAGTAAAGTATATAAATCGGTAATTTGTAATAAAATTTAATGAAACTGCATTTTTATAAGCATTTATTGGACCCAGCTTGGCATCGGTTTTCTGAAAATTGTTATTTACTTAATTTTCATATATTCATACGTATATAATAAAGCATTTAGAATATATTTTTATATTTCTTGAGCTGGAAAGTTGTATTTTTCCTTTTATCTGTACTGTATGCACCTGCAACTTATTGATAGGTTAGCAGTATCTAAAGAGTATTAATACTTGAAAAAAGCAAAAAGCAATAATAAAATATGAAAAATTGCATCATTTCAAAAGCCACGTATGCATTTTTATGAAACGTTCCATTAATTAAGTCTTATGCTAATACCTAAGATTGAAGTTTTCCTGATTGTTCCTGCCTTTACTAAATACAAAAAAATTAATTAAATACATAAACCGTAAGTTATTACTACTTTAAAATAATATTTAATTATTATTTGTATTCATCGTACCAGAAGAAAATTTTTGCACCATTAACCTCAAATTAGTTTAGAACTGCTTTGGGGCCATCTATAAACTACGTTACCAATTTAGGGGAGAGGGGGTCTAAAAATTAAAATTTTTACATGTAACGTAATGGTAATGAGGGGGGAGGGGGTCTAAAAAGTCTGAAAAATTGGTAACGTAGCTTATGAACAGTCCCTTTTCAAATAAAAATTTTAAATATATTATGCGCGGGCAAAAAACCTCAACTGTCCGTCAAAAAATTAATTTTCTTGAAACTTTACCAAAATGTTACTATTATTACTAGAAGTGTAAATATGAAATATTATTGAATTTGAAAAAAAAAATATTTTTTGAATTACGGAGTTTCATAATTTTAACTTTTTTGAAAAATTATCTTTTTTTCAATTTAATGTATTGATAAATAAAATAAATCAAATTAAAAGAGTGAATAGAGATTTTTAAAGAGCTTTTCACGACCTACAAGCTGGTGATGAAAAAATTGTTTTTTTTTTCAATTTGACCTTGAAATTCAAAGTCAAATTGTTAATTCTCAAAATGGTTTTCACATATGCTGCATAGGAAAAAAGGTATAACCTTTCCTTTGCTATGCACAAGAACAGCCCAATCGAACAATGCACGACAAATTTCTACACGGGAACCTGTGCCACCGAAGGGTTAAAGTAGTTTAAATGGAATTTAACATTCCGTGTAGAAATTGAAAATAGCTAGGATTTCGTAAGGCCCTGAATAGTATGGGCCATACTAGTACTAGAATAATTATAGGACTTTCTTATATTTTCTAATAAAAAGTATATGCAACAGCCTTGTATTTTGTGTATTGAAAATTTGTTCAATGATAGTATTACACATCAGCCGGTCACGTGAACATAAGAAAAGAAATTATATTTTCAGTAATTTCCTCTCAATTAAAAAGCCTTCAAATCATAGTTTACATCATAATTTTAATGAATATAAACGTCAGCTGTTTATATATGGATGGAATAATCGTCAGCTGTATCAATGAAATGTTTAGAATTCTGATTGAGAGGAAATCACTAAAAACATGTACAATTATATATATATATGTTATAGAAACCAAAAAATGTCGCGTTTTTTAAACCATGTGTAATTTGTTTATTTGTAAATTTACAAAATTTTGTAGTACGCCATTAAAAAAAGCTGTTTTTGGCAAATAAGAAAACACTGTCGCAGAATTTTTCTTATAGGGGTTTACTGTTAAAATATAGTGTCAAACTTCGGGACAATATTTTGTACAATTGGGCGTTAATGGGTTAAATGCTTTCAAATTTAACTTGCAATTACAATTAAATAAAGATTGATTAAATTCTAAATACCAATTTTACAGGTATACTCACAAAAAATCTCGGATCTACAAAAGTGAAAAAATACACAAACTAAAATAAAAAACGTAAAAATTTTGAGCGACATCAACTTATAATGAATAGTACAACAGGCTTAGCTCAGGGTTTACCAAACTCTCAGTTCCTTCCTGTTTGTCAATACATTTACATTTTTGGTATTATCTTTCACAAGAACGGCCTGCTTAAACTGGAACAGAGAAGCGAGACAGTCTCTGTCCTGAATACCTTCTTTGAATATATTAATAAATCCAACAATGAATCGGAAGCGAAGCACCTTTTTTTGCATAATGTGCTAAATCAAAGTGGACTTTATAGAATAGGGTCAAATCAAACACTTGAAAAGAAATACGTAGAGGAAACGTATCAGCACATCATTTGCACGACCTTATTTTCCTCCTATGGGAGTATTAACGGATATTTATCTGATATAATCAACAAGTCTACATTTAACAGTCACGCAGTTCTTAAAAAAACTGTCGTCCAACATCTTTCACAAAATTATGTCAATGAGGATTACTGTTCATCTCAAAGCAAAAGTGTTCAACTTACTGGTTTGGCAAGTACAAAAATTTTTATGGAATACATTTGGCCAATTTTCGAAGAGAAAAATTTATCATTCATCGATGACTCCGATTCTCGCAGGATTTTGAAAAATGTCTTGCCAAATCATAATATGTTTGGCATTCATAAAGGTTTAAGAAAAATTACTAAAAGAAGCCTTGGTTTGACGGAAGAGGACTTTAAAAAGAGCTTAAAGGTAATACGTAAGTTCCAAAAAGTCGGTTTGTCAGGCATGGAAAAAGATTGGATACATGCACTCCGACTGATTCTGGAGGGTATATATGAAAATCAAATTAAAACTGATTTAGACGGTGAAATAGACTTGTTCTTGAGCCAGACAATAAGTAATCCAATAATTGTTGATTTTTTGGCAAGTTTGAAAGGAAAGGAGTTTTATTTTAGTGACATTACTTTTTTGACAGATATTCACGCCGATGAAATTAATTTAAATAATTCGTCAAGTTCTTCTTCAGAAACAGAAGTTCGTTATTACATGAAATTTAATTCTCGTTATGGACTAGTTGATTTAGCTTCATTTTATCATCGTTTCGCAAAAAAATATATTGTATTCCCTGAGGTCGTTTTTTCTGTACTAAACACTCAATTTATCCGTGGGAAGAATATTTTAATTATGTCACTGATAGAAAAGCAGATCTCAAAAACAGAATATATGAGGATTAGAGAAAAGGTAAGAGAATCATTGTTTATAGATAAAGGATATGTTGAAAGTGAGAGAGCAAAGTTTATCCAGAAAGCTGCATTTGAAATATCCTTAAGACTTCCAATGAAGCGAATACTTGAATCGGAACTAATATTGAAACACTTTATATTGAAAATTGACCAAGGTGCAAGAGATGTTCCTACTTATGACATGCTAGCCAAGGATATTTATACAACAATGACGATTAAAAGAAAATATGTCGATTATAAAATACCATTTAACAGTTTTATGGATCATGTGCTGTATAAAAGGAAATTTTATACATTACCTGATTTGGAAGAGGCTACTCAGAAAGTTAACCAAATATTTGGTGGTAATTATATGCCTGAGGAGGTGGAACCTATATGGAGAATGTTTAGAGAAACAGTAGATATTCACGAATTGGTATTTTCAGAATACTGTCCCTTACATCCACTACTACAAACATTGGTTGATGGCAATAATATTTCAATCGATCGAAAAGAGATTTCATTATTAAAGTTAGCTATAAGGCAATGTGATGAGGAATGGATAAAAAATCCATTTACCCTTTATTCGTTTGACACTACAACTTTAACATTTTTAAATGAATTAAAAAGACTGAATATAGGAAGAACCATGGAAATAAACATCATGATGAAATTTTATTTGACTGTAGAAGATGCTTGGAAAAATCGGGGTCAACGAGATTCTTCTTATAATAAACATGTAATGTATCAAATAGGTTTTCACAATGATGCTGCTATAGTGAATTTAAGTCATCTTCTGCAAATGCCAAGTGCATCATACCATCTACCAACAATGCTTGTTGTTAAGAAGGATAAGATGTTTAAGAAACGTATTGAAAACCATAATGTTAACGCCATTAAATTAATCCCTAAACAAGAACTAAAAGAGACTTTAATGGTTTCTTTAGTGAAAAATCTGAATTTGATATATTCAAAATACAAAGAGGAATGCTTAACCTCTCTCTTAGAGAATTCTACATTACAAATGCCTGTCTCTTAATTAGATTCTAAAAACCAATCCTTCCATTTGTCTATTAAAAAGCTTCCTTTCTGTATCTCTGTTCCTCCAGTTTAGTATTCCACCAATTTCTTATTTGCAGATGTTTCGTCCGTAACTTCTTATTAGTAGAATACTTAATTTAATTGTACCTACATTTCTTGTAACATTATCGATGTTCAGTTTACATAAATAATAATTATAAACATTAAAAGTTTAATATGTAATCGAATTTTTGAAATTGTAATAAATTTGAAAAATAAGAAATTAAATATAATTATAGATTGTTATAGTTTTATAAAATATTGGATCCATATACGAGTTTTAATATTGTTAATCGTATATTATACTTATTTGGGAAATCTTGATTTGAATAAACTACACATAATATTGTATACTCAAATTATAGTAGCATTTTATTAAAACTGTTTCATTCACACCTGTCTTTTAACCTCTTTCCTAAATAAATTGATATTTAAAACCTCGATTTAAAAAAAGGAATAATTAAAGGTTTATTTTATGAAAATAACAGTCATTAGGAACTTATTTTTAAACACAGTATAACTAAATAGTTGTATGAGGTATAAAGTATGCCAAAAAGTGTCAATATAGTAGCATGAGTCCGAGGCCTGAAATTTTTTAAATTTAATAACTCTATACTAATATTTATTTTTAATACTACAAATTTAAATGTAGATATAATCTAGTATTTTTTTTTGTTTGTAAAGAATTTTCTATGCTGCAAGTGAATATGCCAAATGTTGGCCAGGCACAGTTGACGGAGCAATTGAAGCTGGAAAAATTACATCCTTGGCGATTCTTTGGCAAATGAGGCCCCAATCTCTTAACAAATTAGATTTATCTTTCTTTAGGTATCTGCAGAGTTTTTGATTGATTAAATTTATAATGTCATTTTCCACTCATTATAATTGTTCACTCATGAATGTTTTTTCAGTCCACTTTATATTTAATCAAATAATATTAAAACACCCATTTTAAATTTTGCCGAAAATTGCAGCAAACTTGTCGCAGACAGCAGCCTTTAAGCTTACAACAAAATAACGTGCTATCTGGATTAATTTAATTTTTTTCGATGTATACATTCATACTTCATGTTTTTTTGGTAGAACTGAAAAATGACATTTTAAATAAATTTACTCTTCTGAATATAGTTACACATTATTTTTGTGATTATTAATTTAAAATCTTCATATTTCAGCATCCGTCCAAAGAAATTTCGTCAAATGACAATAAGGTTTTCTCTTATTTATTACCTTTGTTTAGCCACAAATATTTGTATCTTCTGGTCGTTTCTCAAAAAAGCTTATTGATTATCGTAAAATGTAGAAAATAATTTTCGAGAAAAGTTTAATTCCTTTTTTTAAAAATTCTATCTTTAATGGTTCATTAAAAACAAATAAATAATGTATTAAATATAAAAACAAATAAATTGTGGTTCCAAGCTAAATAAATAACAAAAAAAAAAACATTGTGTAATCTCTTCAATTTTCTTATCTGTATCTAAAGTATCAAATTGTAAGGAAGATAAAAAGTCGAAAGAGATTAAATAATAAATCAAAGTTCAATGATGCTAAAATAAAATATCAATTAGTCTCATCCTGCGTTATTGAAGAAGCATCAGTGGCAAAAATATTTTTTTTAAAGGATGGATTCAAAATCCTTATCTAGTTTAGGGGAAATTAAATCAAAATTAAAATTCGATGGAGTAAGTAATTTCTACCACATATCAGAGGGGGAATAATTGGTTAACTATTTAATTAATAAATTGGTTTTATTTACAAGTTTTGGAACTGGTTTGTCACTTATAACGACGTACACACACTGTGGCGGGCACAGCCTACATATTTCATAGTTTCTACATTATTTATCGTCGGTGGACTTATCACTTTTTATCACGGTAACGCACACGAAAAATATTATTTCACAATACTACTAAAACCCAACTTAAATAATTAAGTTTCTTATTTTAAATAAAGAAATTCGTAAAATCTGATTGAGAAAACTTATTTTGGTTACTAAGTTAAATTCTATTAAATGAGAGTTCCAAATTCCAATGCAATAACTCTTTCGAGGACTCCTAGTCCTTCATTTGAGCCATTCGCTATAGCTAAGTGGACGTACATGCGCACTACAAAACGAGTTATTGCATTGGAACGCTGTAATATTCTGTTAAAAAAGTTCTTATTAATTAATAATAAATTTAATAATTAATGTATAAAATAATAATTCTTATTAATTTCTTATTAAAATTTAATTACCTTTTCTGAAATTGTCTGAAATGATTTTTCAAGTACAGAAGATATTTAATTTCTATTTACAAATAGAATAAACAAGTTAAATATATAAACTCAAATAAAAATTATTTTTAATTTTAATCTATATTTTAAATCACACATTGCAATTAAATTTAACGTTTTATATATGTTTCGTATAATTGATAATAGTTTGTTTTTCAATTTATAGTAAGTATCATATTTTACAAGAACTAAAATGTCGGATCTAATATGGCGTTCAAGTTAATAATAAATTGCTAGTTATTTATAATAAAGATAACATATAGTAAAAATTAAAGTTTTTATTTTTTTCAAAGTCAGCTCACAGTTATGTTCGTAATCAGAGTCCTAAAATAACCTCAGTGATAATTTTCAAGCGAATTAAATGAATTTCTACAAAGCTCATCCGTCATCTTAGATCCACCATTTTGAATTTTTGAAATCTAACTTCTTTCTAATCGGCAGCGAAAAATCTTAAAGAAACCATTTTATTTGATTATTCGAACGAGAATTAATATGAAATTAATATATTTCTTTGTAGCCTAATAGCTAGTAATTATTAAAGAAATTCTGGTTCTTTTAACTTATAAAGCTGCTTAAAATCAATTCTTCATATCTCTTGTAAAATTTTAAAAACCTGTGTAGAGACCTTTTCGAAATTCTCAATTTAATTAAATTTAACGTTTTTTAAAATTCGATCACTATGTCAGATGACGGTTCTTGTAAATTATTATCAACAATCAACTTTAAAAAGCGAATCATAATCAATTGTTATATTTTTTCGATGTGTAAAAGTTCTATTTTATTCCGAGTGAGGCGACTGAAAATGTTTCACTTACAATTGATTATTTAATAGCACACTTGAAATAAAAAATAAATAAAACTTGTGATATTTATTACTCTAGAATATTTAAAATATTTTTTAATTAGGCGGTTGGGGACCTTATTATGAATAAACATTAAAAACTACAATATTATAAAATTTTACACCCTCAAAAAAGTAATATTTATTTTAGAGAACATCTCTAATTTTAATACATATTTTAAAAAATTCCTCTTAATGTAAAATTACTTTTTTCCGGTTGTAAATTAACTGTAAATATTTCACACGCAAAACGATATTTTTCTAGATTAATCAAAAATAACAAATCATTTTCAGCACTCAAGTCTAAGGGTCGATTTATTCAATTATGGATTGGAGTGATTTGCCATGGATTAGTAGTAGAAATAATTTGCTACAATCTTCCGGATATTGACAATTTTTGGCATTCACCAACTCCGATTATGCTTCTAGGACAACGTTTGCCACTGCATATAATATTTCTTTGTAGGCACAGTATAATCGATGATTCTTAAGTGTCTTGTCGTCGTCATAGACTTTACTTCAAATACTACTAGTTATATTCCTTATAAAAATAATATACAACTAAGTATAATACAACTTGAATTTTAATTTTTTTCTTAAAATATCCATATTCTATAAAAAAAATTCTAAATTGAACAAACAGAATTGAAACTCAATGTCATCTAATTTTCAGACGCTGTTTTTATATACACTGCAGCTATTACAATTGATAAACTAAAATTACCCCCGTGGAGTGAGCCATTTGCAGTTGGATTGATGGTTAATTTATTGGACTATCCTTACGATGTGATGTCCGTTAAATTTGTACATTGGACATGGCATGATACGGATCCGAATATTTTCGATCGTCATTATCACGTTCCATGGAATTCTTATTATTTCCACGCTACCTTCGCTGCGGGATTTATGTTCTGGTTTCGTTTTACGAGACGATTCATAATTAAGAACAATGATCCAAGAAAATCTGGACCGTAATTATTCACTAATCAGTCTCTAAAATTTTTCTTTATTCTCTTGTACTCTTTGCGGCACCAAATCCATTTTTAAATGAATTCAGTTGACGTCCAATTCAGGTTTAAATATAAAAGAAAATTAAAAATTAAACTTTATTTAAAAGATTTTTCACAAAACGAATATGTATTTGTAGTAAGTTTTAATGCCTTTGCATAGTTAAAACCTACCAAACATAATAATTTAATAACAGATAGTTAAACCCTTAAAAATTATGCTTGCTTTGGAATTAAAAAGAACTTTGGTTTTGATAAGTGTAAAAGATTGTTTTTTTTCTTTACAGATTTTGTAAGGAATTACTTTGCACTCTAATAGCCTCATGTTTGGGAATGCCCACTGGTGTACTATTATTCATACCAAACTACCATATTTTACACGATATTTACAATTTACATTCCGAAGTAACTTATCATCTACTACTCGCAATTTATGTCGTTATAATATTCAGCGGCCTTTTAAGTCTAAAAACTCTACCTCAGCACTCACGGAACATTCAAGATTATTTAATTCTCTTCTACTTGGCAATTTATTATTTAATATTCTTTGGTAAGTTTGGAATGTTATTTAATTCATTTAAGTAATTCTACTTATAAAATTAACGGTATTGGAGCTAGAAACGTATTTAAAAATGTCGGTTAGAAGTTAAACTTTATTTGCAACAAAGTTTTATCTCAATTCAAATATTGATCGTAAAAGAATCAGCCGGAATTTTGAATATTTTTACTTTCATTTACGGTAAAATTTTTAAAGATTTATACAAGAAAATCAACTTCCTGTGTAATGACTTTCATTGAATTTTTAATTATATCGAGCATTGTAAATTTCACAGTTTACTTTTAAAAAAACCTTCACTCTAAATATGTCTTTAAATATATGTCTGGATACCCATACATCTTTTTACAAACTTTATTCTGTTGTATAAATATAAGTTTATTTATTAATACAGGAATGGCTCTTATTGGCAATCCCGAAGCGGAAATCTCAAAAGGATTGCATGAACCAATTGGACCGTGTGATAAAAACGTGTCTATGAAAACTGCATTTGGACAAACGCTTTACAAACGGAAATACTTGTGCGTTACAGATTATGATGAATCGTATTTCGGTTGGTCATGTCTACCTGATGGGAAACCACCAGTTGGAAAAATTGGCGAATATTATACAATTTGTGGAACACCTTTTGACAATAGGGTCGAGTACATTACTTTAATGCTGACAATAACAATTATTGCAGCCGGAGTTTTCTTAAATATATTTCTTCACACGACTGCTAAGAAAAATGTACAGAAAAAGAAAAATTAAAGTTTACAATTGAAAAAAAAATCTCAATTCTTATTCAAAAATTTGTAGGCAAAACTTTGTAAAAATCTGAAGGAAAATATATTTATATTTACAATATTGTGCTTTATAAAATTGGAAACGTGATTTTATATTAAAAAATTTAAAATATTTTACGACACTTCTAGTATTTTATTAGTTTTTCACACTCGATTCAGTACTGTAAGAACAAAGTCTTCATTTTATTCTAAAAAACCATATTTTTCTAAGATGTTAAAGTTGTAGCAAAATTTGTCTACTTGATTATAAAGCACACACTGTGATACAAAACTTTTTGGAACACTGTAAAAATACGTGCTTTTGAAATGTATAAATGGACCTTTGTTTGCGTTTGTTCTTATTTTTAGGCTTTTTAAACTTAAGCTAATAATTATCGGTGCAAAACAATTTTGTAGCTATTTATCAGTATTTATAGGCACTGTGCCTGCGCATACATTTTTCTAATTAAGAAAATTATTAATCAAGAGCACTTTAGTAAGTTTTTGGAGTCACTAAGAACTAATCCTAGGTCAGTTTTTCGAAATTCAAAATGGCGGTTCTAATATGGAGGATAATTTTTTCAAATTTATCAGATTGAATTGAAACTTGTTACTTGGTTTTCGGGGTCACTGATTTCGAATCCGATGTTAGTTTTACAAAATTAAAAAGACTTCAAAACTTTTTGATGCAATCACTTTTTTCTAAAATGAAGACTTTGTTTTTACGGAGAAGTCAGTGAAAAGCATGATGAATCGGACGATTTTCTGTATCACAGTCTTAAAAAAATGTATAATCTCCGAAAAACGATTTCAAGAGCTTAAATGTACGTAATTTAAAAATTCAATGCACTAATAAAACTTCACTAGAGCAATCATTTATAAAAAAAAATAAAAAATTTGTTATTAAGGTTTGAAATTTCACATCAAGAACCAAGCAGTTTGAAAATAATTAAATATCACTTTTGTATCTTTAATAAAGTGTCATAAATTTCTAGAATTTAAATAAAATGTTCGCATTCGATTCTTTAAATTAAATTTTTAAAAAATAGTGCGTGATCGCAAATGCAATTAGTAGGACTACCATAGCAAAAATTCCATATCTTGTCCAATTTCTTGAGCCAGACTTTGATTTATCGTTAAGATGCGATCGATCTTTCATTTTTCGTTTTGGTTTAAATTTCTTTTCAAACATTTCTATTTCTCTTTGATTTTTCAGTTCCTCCTCCTTATTCTTTTTCGCAATTTCTAATTCCCTAGCTTTCTCTAATTCATCTTTTATTTTCTGACAAACATCGTCACACTTCACGATTCCATTGCCTTTACGAATTTGAATACATGAAAAATCTTTCTTAAGCCTTTTACACTTACACCAGACCTTGACTTTTTTATTGCAGGATTCCTCCTTTAAACAGGGTCCAGAATGGCAAATATCTACACAACGATGCCCACAAGAGTACTGTAAAATACAATAGAATAACATTTCTCATAGCCCATAAACTTGAATTTTTATTTGTCAATTCATTTAAAACCTTCGGCCCACTTGTGTGACCGTTTTTTGTCTAAAATCGTTTTTGTCTATTTGGAAGAAATAATAACCGAATCGTAATAACAAATAATAACAAAAAGGTAATAAAAATAACTCATATGGAATGAGACACATGCGATCTAATAGCTGAGTCACCACAAGTGTTCTTACAACAATGGATTTCCGAAAATGCATGGCTTGGTGTACGTTTCCGAAAATGCACGGCTTAGTGTACATTTCCAAAAATACATGGGTTGGGGCGCATGATTATTCCCCAAATGTCATTTTACCGAACTGCACTTTTGCGAATAGTCATTTTTGCGAAAAGCCAATTTTGAGAAATGTCACTTTTGCGAATTGTCATTTTTTCGAAAAGCTATTTTTGCGAATTGTCATTTTTGCGAATCGCCATTTTTACGAATTGTCAATTTTCCGAAAAGTCATTTTTGCGAATTGTCATTTTTGCGAATCGCCATTTTTACGAATTGTCAATTTTCCGAAAAGTCATTTTTGCGAATTGTCATTTTTACGATTAGTTATTTTGGCGAAAAGTCATTTTTGCGAATTGACATTTTTGCGAATTGTCATTTTTGAGAAATGTCATTTTTGCAAATTGTCACTTTTCCGAATCGACATTTTTACGAATTGTCATCTTTGCCAAAAGTTATTTTTACGAATTGTCATTTTTGCGAATCGCCATTTTGCGAATTGTCAATTTTCCGAAAAGTCATTTTTGCAAATTGTCACTTTTCCGAATCGACATTTTTACGAATTGTCATTTTGGCCAAAAGTTATTTTTACGAATTGTCATTTTTGCGAATCGCCATTTTGCGAATTGTCAATTTTCCGAAAAGTCATTTTTGTGAATTGTCATTTTTGAGAAATATCATTTTTGCGAATTGTCATTTTTGCGAAAATTCCTATAGTGAATCTATATATGCATACAAGTTTACTATAGGAATTTTCGCAAAAATGACAATTCGCAAAAATGGCAATTCGTAAAAATGACTTTTCGCAAAAATGACATTTCACAAAAATGTCTTTTCGTAAAAATGACAATTCGCAAAAATGACTTTTCGAAAAATTGACAATTCGTAAAAATGGCGATTCGCAAAAATGACTTTTCGGAAAATTGACAATTCGTAAAAATAACCATTCGCAAAAATGACAATTCGCAAAATTGGCTTTTCGCAAAAATGACTATTCGCAAAAGTGTAGTTCGGTAAAATGACATTTCGGAAAAATGGCATTTGGGGAATAATCATGCGTCCCACATGGGTTAGTGTACATTTTTAAAAATGCATAGACAAATTTTGGTATAAAAAGGGCCAGACCATCAACAGCAAGTCAATCAAGAAAATGTAGTCATAAGATGTAGTCGTCAGTAATATAAGTCTCAAATTAAGAAATAGTGCTTCGTACAAGTCAGTCTAAAATTTTCATCTTTAACAAGTGGTTGTAACAAAAACATCTAGATAGCATTACTAATAGTTGGAATAATAAATAACCACAATATTGGTTCTAAATAAGATGTAACATTTAGTATCAATTTTGTACTCACATTTTTAGGACACTGGTTACCGCATCTCAAAATTTCATCCTTCTGCTGTTTATTCGCTGAAGTGAGTTCAGTGCATCGTTTGTAGAGGAAATTAATACCGCAATGACATCCAACTCGAACCAGTTGTTTACAAGGATTGCAGGGAGCCGGATGGCAAACTTTCATGCAGGAATGAGTACAACCCTTTGGTCTAGGAAAGACGCAAGGTTTCTCACAAACCATACATTTATCTTCATTAGTCACATCATCGTCATCGTTTTCGTCATTTTCGTCCACATCCACTTTATGACAAAGTTTCTCACAATTATGATTTGTACAAGTCAGTAGCCGTCCACATTCCCTCAAACATGAGCTGGGAATTGCCTTGTGACAAGGCCAGGGTAAAGTTTCATGACCTCCAAGGCAAGTAACCATAACAGAGACTTCACAGGGAGGACAAGGCAGTGTCTTCATTTTCCAATGCTCCTTCCGATTATTATCCCAGGGGGCAGTGGGTTGCACATCTCCATTAATCTTGACTTTCGTCCAAACTTTCGTGTGACAAATTGCAGGACAGGAATGTCCACATCTTTTGTCAACGAGGCCGCAAATTTTCTTGCAAGGAGGACAAGCGCCTCGGTGACATTTGTGCGATTCGCGTTTTGGATGATGGCAGACTGGTGGAATTTTACAAAGTTTGTTGCAATTTGGTGGTTTGATTCTCTTGACAGATCCGCAGGGAACGGTGATTTTGCTGCTTCCGCATCTGCATTGAATTACATCAATTCTAGTGCAAGGATAACATGGACCGCTGTGACAGGGCGCAGCGCATTTGTGCTTCTGGCAGTTTAATTGATTGTCGCAAACCTTCTCGCAAGTGTTGAACGTATTCTTAATCAGGCAGTCGCAACATTTTTTGTTGCAATGATGCCTACCGCAGAGTCTCCATTGGGTGCACTTTTTGTTACAGTGAAAGTCCTTCGTGCAGGCTATTTCCTTTTGGTAACTGCCACAGCGACAGGTTTTCATCACCACTTCCAGACACTGTCCACATTTCTCAGTGTGACATCTCATGTTACAAAAATGTTGACCACAGTCTAGAAGTTTTCCGCAAGTATCTCCACAAGTGGGAACTTGCTGCTGTTTACAGGAGACGGAGTACTTTTTCTTGCCACAAGGACAGGTGCGATTCTTTTCAACCGGACATCCCGCACAGTCGCCAGCTTTGTGACAAAGACTTTCGCAAAAGTGGACATTGCATGGGAATCGTTGACCACAAGGCTTGTCACAAAACCAAATAGATTCGTTGCAGGGTCGAGGTTCACTTTCAGCTTGGCAGTTGCATGAAGCGAGTACAATTTCAGTACATGGTGGACAATCGCCTCTGTGACAATCTTTCTGACAACTGTGAGCGCATAATTTATATTTCTTACAGCAGATGCTTCCACAGCTCCATTCCTTCATGTTGCATCGACGAGGCCGTGCTGGTTGCTTACCGCAAAAGCACTTGACAGTGACGGTTTTTGGACACGGTGGACAAGGTCCCGGATGGCAGAGAAGTAGACATTTGTGTCCACAGTTCGGCTGAAGGTACTTGCCACATGCCTCACCACAGGAATGAGGAATCGACCATGGTTGATAGGGAGGATCGATCGACTTTCCACAAAAGCATGTATACTTTGTTGGAATTTCATTTTCTTTGTATTCCGTCCGGCACTTTGGACTATAAGATAATTTCAAACTTACTATATGCATCTAACGTTTAACAATGAATATCTTAGGAGGTAACCAGTTGTAACTTTCAAAAAATCGTATTCTTCTGTTGTTCTTCATTCAGGTATTTCTGAATTTTGATTTTCAGGGGACTAGAGATAATACAAGAAGCAAATCTTACTTCAACAGTGAACATTGGACTTAAAATATCAAAATAATTTCATCTCTTAATAAAAAAATAAGTCGAAACTTTAAACGCATTTTTCTCCGAATGACAATCTATAATAGGCAGTTTTCACGTTACAACCGGGGTCCCCCTTAAGAATTTTTTTTATTCTACTTATGAAGAAACTTTAAAATGACATACCAAGCCCACTGAGGATTGATTCCCTTCTCCCGTTTATAAGTTAAACTATCACGAATCCAATGCTGAATGCATGGTAAATGCATGAAAGTAAAACATTCATAACAATTCCATATCTAAAATATAAATTTTAAAATTATTAATATTGTAAGGTGTGAAAACATTTTGAAAGCAGAATTATCAGAGCAATAAATATAGTCCCGTTAACGTATTCAAAGCTTTAAAAAATAAAACAATGATTCGAATGTTTTCAAAAATATTTTTACCGCGTCTGTCTTTTTAACTGATGAGATACAGATTAAACAAATGGCTCCTCCTGACTGCAAAACTTCGCTCAAATAAGACAAAGTTTTTTCCGTATCACCACCTTCAACTTGGTATGAGGATAAAACTTTGCCTACGGCTTCGTCTAAGACATTTCCGCTATCCTCTTCCTCACTCGAGGAATCTAAAAATTCATTTGATTCTAAATGCTTTTCAATTGCTGCCCGATTCTCAGCCTGAGCTCGTTTAAATTTTTTCATTTTTCCCACAATCTCCACCTGTAACAATTATTAATAGAGTTTTTAATAGTGGTTCAAAATTAAACTACTTTTATTATGATGAATAACGAACAAAACCATTATTCTTAATAACAATAATTGTCGATCCACCGGCTTGTTCTCGATTTGAATATTCCTGCATAATTGTCATTTCTCACCGTAAGGTAAAGGTACACTCTCACCTCACTGCCTGCCTGCCTGCGCAGGCGCCATAAGAGTGAGAGAGAAAAAACATTTAATTTGAATTTTCTGACTCTCTTACTCTTATGTGTTACCATGTCAACCTGCAGGCAGGCAGGCAGGCAGTAGGAGCTGTGCTAGCGCCTTAACAATATCAATACCAGCGTAAGGACAATTATGAGCATCGAGGCACATCGTTATAATCACGTAAGTTCGCCTTTTACTCTCTCGATGTTTTGGCTTCGTCTTTTCTAAAGGATTTTTGTCTTTATTAAGTTAAAAGTTGTATTAACGGACTATAGTAAGTCTAATCAGCAAATATTGTGATTTGCTCCCCTCCCTCTGCCACGCAATTTCATATGTGAAAAATACATTGTGTCACCTTTAATATATACCCCCCCCCCTACCCCCAAAACGTTACATCATTTGTGAACGCTTCCATTGGTGTCCCTACCGCTTAGTAGTTTACACGATTTTACAAAAGACAGTGCCTTATGGTCTGTTATATTATTCACGCGAGTACGGAAAATATACGATCGAAATTTTATTAAGCTCCATAAGATCACAAGTGCATTCAACGTACGACTCGCGAAAGCTGTAGATATAGGTATTGTGCGTCTTCGTCTAACTGGTATAAAACGGATCCTATCACTGCGTCGCTTATGTCTGTTTGTAAATAGAATGATTTAGATAAGTCAGGGTAACTAAGAATAGTATATTCACAAAATAGAAATTTCACACGATTAAATGCTTCCTCTTTAGAAGAATTCCATTGCCATCTATTTCCGGTTTTTAATAATTGGAGTTGGGGAAAAATTTCTGGCACGATTTTTAGCAAATTTTGTATAATAATTAATTAAGCCTAAAAGTCCTCTTAATTCTTTTAAATTTCTTGGTCGCGGAAAATCATGAATTGCTTTTCTTTTATCTGAATTAGGTCTTATACTATTTCCAGATAAAATATATCCTAAAAATGTTATCTTCTTTAAAAAATTAATTCAGTACTGAAAAAAACTCCTTTCAATTCTGTCAGTTTATTTTTTAATTACAAAAAAACCTCTAGTGTTGTTTTAATGGAAATATGCGATTTTAAATACAAATTCAGCTTAGTTGATTTTAGATCCTATGGAAGCTTGAATGACGGAAAAACATAACCTTCAGAAAATAGATTTACTTTTATTTGAAAAAACAGATTTTTGTGTCAAACCTAGAAAGAAAACAAAAGCATATACAACTAACTTCAGATATGGACAGAGATCCGAAAAAAATACTATGTTTATTATAAGTAATAATAAAAAGTGGAGAATTTTTTTTAATCATAGAAATAACGATTAGAAAAATAAATAATAAAAAATATGGGATATTAAAAAAGTAAGAAATTTTCAAGACAATCGAAGAATAGAATATTCTTTCATTAAATTACAGATTTTATTCAACAAACAATTGGTTATTACAGACATGTGATTATGTAATAAAATTTATCTCTGCAAACGATTAACAATAGTGATAAATAATGCAACATACAGTTTATAATAAATTCTTTTACTTTTAACAAGAAAACATCTTTAATTAGAAAAACTAGAGATTTTACTATATTAGCCAAATTTTTATCCGATTTAATTACTATTTTCTCAATTCTAGAGAATCTTAACGAACTCGGTGTTACCGATAAAGCTTTTTCGGTTAATTTTCTTTTAATAATATGAAAAATATACATTAATTAATATATTTATTTAATCAATAAAACTATTTCGTTTCTTTAATAAATTATTTTACTGAATTCAATGTTCTTTACATAAAAAAAGTCACAAAAATTTTGTCCTGTTATTTACCAAAAAAGAATTATAATATTATACAATAAAGTAAAAGTCTTTCTTTTATTTTATAATATCAAATCAACTGTTTCTTTCTAAGAGGAATCAACACTCTTCTACTTTTAGATAAATTTTACTATATTGAAGGATATAAGTAGTAATTGCTGAATTTGAATGGAAAAGTTTCTTTGACATTTAGTTTTAGAAAGGTTAATTTCGAAAAATAACCACATCCATCAACGTTTTCTCTAGACGACTCTCAAGCACAACTTTTTTCCTAGAAAAAGTTGAAATAATTTCTCCAAACTTGTTTCGTTTTCCTCCAAATGAAATTGTTCAAAATTTCTACTAAAAAAACGATTGTAGCCAAAGTGAATCCAATTGTCAGTACGTAGAAGAGAACCAACAGCAATTTTTCCTTATCAATTATTTCAGGAGATGAAACTTTATTGATTTTTGGCATGCTATCACCAAAAAACAATTTTTGCAAGAAACCATGATCAAAGGCATTCAGAATTATTTCGTTAAAACGATCGATGTAAGGTGATCCATCTCTTGATACCCACGATTTTGGGAAGTACACGATAGACTCCTCAAGTACTTTGAAGGAAACTTCTTGAGTTACATTTTTAAATACCTTTAATGCACGTTCAGCATCAATCAGTATACAAGAAACGTTTCTGTTCTTGAGCAAGTATTCCAGACATTCAGAGTTAAATCCAGAACCAGGTACCCTTACAGATTTTGATGCTAGTTTTCGAATGTGAGCAAGAGGGCTTCCTGATATTGAATCATTTGTGAAAGAATTGAGCATTGGCGTTAATGACGAGTTTGCCAATTCTTCGAGAGTTGTAATCTGAGGCGCGTTCCGGAAATTTATGTCCAAAATCACTGAGAATAAATAACCAGAGTAGACCATGCAGCTCAACATGAAGGAGCCAAAAACTATTCTTTCTGCTAATTTTCTTGGTTCGTTGACTACAGACATTCCTATTATAATTTGACTGATGTTGAAAGTGTTCCAAGTTCTTCTGCTAAATTGTAGGAGCATCGTTGTGATTTTAATGACAGCAATAGCAACAGTTGTAGCAGCAACCATGTAAATGAATTCCTGAGAGACTTCTGCACTACGAGTTTTACTTGTTACATCTTCAATCACTGCCTTCGCTGTACTAAACGATATGATACGCAGTGGTTGGCTTATAGTCGTAGAATTCGGTAGTCCAATCATAATGAAATTTATCGCCATTTCTACTCCTGCCCTACTAAGTAATTTTAAATCTGGTGTTGGACTTTTGTTGATCACATGTATAATTCTACAATGCATTGATTGCATAATGTAGTCTCTGAATTTTAGGATTTCAATGTATTTGTTCTTTGAAATTACACCACTTGTAGTAAGCAACATTAGTTTTATACTTTTTCCATGGAGGTCCAATAATTTGTTAGGAAACCATTTTGTTCACATTCTTCGCTTGCCATGTTTGATTTTCAAACAAAGTGTCTAGTACAGAAATGTCTAGCATATCTTTGTGCCATATAGTGATTTTAGCATATTCTCGTAAGAATAGGCCTTTCTTTGGTTTGAGAAGTTGATTAAACATTTAGGATATGAATGTCCATAGGACAAATCTCTTAGTTTATCGAGTGCAGTGGTTACTTGACGTAAGTTTACTTGTTTTGATCTATGAAGAATAAAAACAAACAATGTCGTTCTTCTAGGAATTTTCAGTCGTAATGAAAAGTATTTTTCCAGATCATTTTCGGCTTGATGTAAACTCATGCTCAATGATGGAAAGTGTTTAGAAACATCACGAAGAAGTTGTGTGTCAGCATTGGTTTCTGCATTTGCAAGAAATTGATCATCAATTATAAACATTACCTGGTAGAGTTTAGATTTTTCCTTTAGGTATCTTATTAATCCAAAAGTGTAATTACTCCTTTCTGACACACCCAGAATAACTACACTAAAGAGTAGAAAACACAAACTATTTCTTAAAGACTTCATCATGTTTTTCTTTTGACGGGAAATTAAACGGATTTCGTTTGTGAGAGAATTCGACTCTGTTCTTACAACTTTACCAACATTTGACGTTGCTGTTAGATAAATGAATTTACTCAACTTTCCTTATACTTGTAGACTTGTACAGTGACTATAATGCTTGCAATTATTAGACGTTTGATGTACAAGGAGATACTAAAAATTGTATTTTTAACAAATATTCTTCTAATATTTTTCATGTTTGAAAATTGTCTTCCAATTATCAAACATTTCTTCGTTTCAAAAAACATTAAGAGAGATATTATTATTGTAGAAACAGAGACAAGTATCAAGTTTTACCCTATCCAAATGAAATCTGCTTTTTTGCAATTAAAGTTGACATTATTCTTTTCTTTACTAGATTGTATCATTTTAAAGATAAATTTTTAATAGTAGGAAAATTTTCATGTTCTCAATTATAGGAATTGTGTCATCACCAGGGTAACTATTTGTTTGTTTTGAAATTTGTGCACAATGAAAATTAAAAGAATTAGCCTAATTTAGGCAACGCGCATAATATTATAAAACCTGTAAACGACTTCTTTAATGGTGTTCCGCAGTGATCGCCTTTTAAAAATGGCTGCTCAAATGTATACTTGATTTGAAAATGATTTTTCTCCCAATTCGGGCAGTTATTGCAAAATCGGAGAAAATACAAGATATCCTGAATATTTTATCTTTCATTTGCGCGCAAGAAGTAAAAGATTTGTTTAGATTTACAACGATAGAAAGTAAAATAGGAAAAAGTTAAACAAATGCGCGATCCATAAAATTACCACCAGAGGGCAGCACTGGTATTTTTCCCTATTTTGCAATAATTGTCCAAATTGGGAGAAAAATCCTTTTCAAATTATGTTTACGTTCAAGCAGCCATTTTTAAAAAGCGCGACCACTGTTTGAAATTGCGCAACACCGTTAAATATAATTATTCAAAAAGCTTCTATGTACAAGGACTTGTACTTATATTATTTAAACCCCCTAACATTTAAACTTTTCAACATGGAGTGCTAAAATTTGTCATACTGGTTCAAATAAAATTAGTACAAAAAATGTATCAATGCCGCAGAACGCATTAACTCAGCAACATAATCATAAAACATTAAAATAGAATAAAAAGTAAAAACAAGGAGGACAATCATTAAAAATACAGTAATTTAGAAAATATACATTCTATAAATATAATAAATAAAATATTAAATGCTTTATTATAAATATAATAAAGCAATACACATCTTATAGTAAAAATAAAATTTTAGTTCAAATGTCTTTGGACTTTCAATATTTGTTATAGAACATTCTCATTCACTTTCAAAATAATTAAATTACTCAAAATAATGTTCTATTACATTTATTTACGAATTTCTTTAATAATTGTAAAATATTCGAAAACATTAATAAATTATATTCTTAGATAAATATTTAATATTATTATTTTTCCATAGGAATTGAGATTTTCAAAAATTTCAAATTCAAAAATTTTTGAAATTCAGCAACATTATATGTATAATAATTAAAGAAGACCGATGACCGAGTGATAAAATCATTTCAACTTCTTCAAAATTATTTCTAAAATGGAAAATTTTGATCCAATGGAAGGTAGATAAAAAAATTAAATTTCTTCAAAATTACTTTCATCATTTCAATTCATTTATTACTTTTCTAGAATTTTTTTAACTAAAATTCTTCTTTAAATTAATTATTTTTAATAATTTTTGAAAAAGTTCTTATTGAGAATATTCAAATCCATTTGCTTACAATTCAATTTTAAAAAATGTCGATTATTCGAAAATTCTTCAATTAAAAATACATAAGGAAATAAAAACTTGAAATAATTATTAAAAATTTCGATTAAACTTTTTCAAAAAAATGAATTCTACATAATTGTTAGTTAAAAGTTTTAATTTTTTTCATACTTTTAACTAAAAATTCTGTAGAATTAATTTTTTTGAAAAAGTTTAATTTTGCAAAGGCAAAATTCAATTATTTTTAAAAATTCATGTAATAATGCTTTTGATATTCAATTATTATCTGAAATTTAAACCCAAATTAATTTTTAAATCCATTTTTATTAGAAAGTTCTACAAGAATTCAATTATTTAAATACAAAAATAAATAATTGAATCTTTGTTTAATAGAATTTTCATAAGGAATTTTAACAACAAAAATTTTAGATAATTGAATTCTTTTGACGAATTTTAATAAACAATTTTTCGAAGAATTCGATTAAAATTGAATTACAAAAAATAATTTTATTATTTATGAAAATAATTGATTTCCAATAAAGAATTTTATTATAATTATATATGAAACTAATATAATGGAATTATTGCGAAGAAATTTATAAATAATTGAATTCCTGTGGAATTTTTATTATTTTTGAAAATAATTGAATTTTTGCTAAGAATTTTATCAAAAATTTTTTTTAAATAATTGGATTATTTTGAAAAATTTTATTAAAATAGTAAATATATTAAAAGTCATTGGATAGAGGAAATTTTTTTTTAAATACTTGAAATTTTGTATAGAATTTTATTTATTTTATTAAAATTTTAAAAATAATTAAATTTCAGATAGGAATTTTGTTATTTTAAAATTATTTAATAATTTTATAATTAGGTATGGAATTTTATTTATTTTATTAAAATTTTGAAAATAATTAAATTTCAGATAGGAATTTTAGTTATTTTAAAATTATTTAATAATTTTATAATTAAATCTATTAATTAATTTATTAAATAAATTTAGTTTATTATTTTAATGATAATTGAAATTTTGACAAGATAATTCATTCTTGAAAATCTGATTAATAATATTTCGTTAATGGTCGGCATTAATTATAATTATAAAATAAAAATAATGAAAATAGATAATGAAATATAAATGGATTTTAATTTTTAAAATCAATTTTTATTTTCACGTGTCGTACGACAAGAAAAAATATTAATTTCTAAGAAAAAATCTATTTCCCAAGAAAAAATTATTTTCCAAATTATAAATTTAATTCTTTTAAAAATAATATTAAATAATTGAAAAAATAATTGTGATTACCTAATTAGAAATGTATTGTTAAGCCAAAAAAATTAATTGAATTTTCCTACATTCATATTGGTATGTTAAAAAAAATATATTTTATTAGAAACATAGTCTAGATCGTCTAGATTATTATCACAATATTTTTAATATTATATTATTATAATCATTATAATTATCAATTATGAAAATTAGGTTATGTTTGCATAACGGAATTTACCTGCGAGTATAAATAATCGTTAAATTTCTTCTCGTTCTTCTCTTCGGAAAATATAATCTTCTTATTAAAAATCACTATTATTAACTGACTGTTATTTTATGCACTCATTATTATTCTTAATGTTAGGAAAACAAGAAAAAGGATCAATTGTCAAAATTACAGAAGTTTGCAACCAGTCAACAAAAAGTGGTTAGTATACTATGTGTTTATACACTGACAAAAAGGTTGGGTTTCTTTATGTGTAAAATGATTTTAAATCGAATCTCTCCACTTTTAGCGAAGCACAATAAAGATCAGTAGTAATTAAAGAATTTTATCGTTATTATTTTTATATAGAATATAAGCAACTAATGAAAATACTACACCGGTTTTATGTAAACATAAATACCGCATTCGTATGTAAACAAACTCTGAAGATTTTTTCGAGTAAATTTTACACACAGTCGACAGTCGGTATTGGGTGTTTTCGACGTTGACACTCTGAGCGCTCTGAAAGTACGAAACGTGGTTGGTTGGGCTAGGGGAATTCTGAATGTTGATTGGCTGAACTTCAAAATTCATAGTTTTATGCTCTGGTTTCCACACTCTGTATCGCTCGGTATCAAAGGTCCGAGCGATACAGAGTGTGGAAACCAGAGCATAAAACTATGAATTTTGAAGTTCAGCCAATCAACATTCAGAATTCCCCTAGCCCAACCAACCACGTTTCGTACTTTCAGAGCGCTCAGAGTGTCAACGTCGAAAACACCCATTGTAGAATTGTCGCTTCATTCCATTTCTCCAGCAGGAAAATTGTTGCGAAAAATTTGAAAACCTTTATTGTTATTGTAAAGTAAATAATCTTTTTTTATAGTTTACGTGTTAGTAAATTTAGTTAAAAAATTAATATAGACATGAATATCGATATACTAAACTATAGAGTAATATTTTCTTTCGAATTAAAGAGTTTAATCAATTATTTCTTGTTTTATAGCTACACTGGTATAAAATAAGCTTAGGTTAGTTAAAATGTAAACAAACCGACTTAACCTAAAATTCGTAAAGTGATAACATTAATATGTATACTTTAAATTTTAAAAAATACTTTAGATTAAAAATCTAAGAGTGTTATATTAATTTACCAGTAAATAATATAAACTAATTTATACAAAAGCAATATTTTATCAAATTCAAAAACTGGATTTTTGAACTTATTTTATTAAATAAAAAACACCAAGGAGATTTTTCATAAAATCTTGAAAGAAAATAATTTATGAGTGTTATTTAATTCATTAATGAATTAAGCAAAGGTAAACATTTATGTATTTTAATATTTTTACTTTAAAACTATTTTATTTTAAACTACTTTGTATGAAATAAAATTTGAAATCAATGATTCTTATTAAAAGTATTGACAAAAATTTTCCTTGTCTCATGAACTTATGAAATTACCACAAATTCTGATACAAAACCATAATTTTTTTTATTTATGACAAAACTCCTTTTTAAATAACTTAATTCTTCAAGCATTGTCACAAAATTATTGCTTACAAATTATTTAATGAATAATTTTATTTACATGTTTCAAAATTAATTGAATTTTAAAAAAGTTGTGTTTACAATTTTCATAAATAAAAATTCAATTCAACTTTATTCTCTTTTTACAGAAAATACCTCTATAAGACTGGAAAATAAAAATTAAAGAAAAATAATTATGAAATCGATTCAATGGCAGAAGAATTTGTACGAGAATCGAGATTTACCGGACAATTATACAGATGAAAGTTTTCTCGAAGAATTGCGTAAAAACATAAAACCAAGCAATGTGACGACTTTAAAGGCAATATCACTTGGAGCCAGTGTATCGGTGGAGCTCAGTATTGTCTCATTATTCGTGATTGTTTTTATTTGGCTGAATAACGAATGGACAACGCCAAAGACAATTTTCATCTCGAGTTCATTTTTCACGGCACTCGGCTATTTTCTCTACACACTCCAAGTGCAAAATCTAAGTGACAGAATGTCAAAGGACATAAGGAGTGCATTAATATTCTTCGCCTTCGGCTATGTTTTGTCGCCAATTTTAAAAACATTGACCGAAGCAATCAGTACGGATACAATTTATGCAATGACAATTTTCATGTTCTTGATTCATTTGATATTTGGAAAATACGGTTCGCCGCAAATTTCCCTCTCCGATTCGCTGTCAATAACGTCGTCAATTTTCGGCTCATTAATGCTCGCTTCTCGACTGACGACTTATTTGCATGCATTCGCATTGCTCACCGTTGCCGTGCAATGCTTCGTTTTGCTTCCATTTTTACTTAAGAAAACAAAGGACAATATTGCCATTTCGATTAGTTTGATGTTGGTGACTATTTACTTTTTGTTTCATATTTCTTTAATTATGTCTTACGTCTATGTGGCAGCCACTGCTCTGATTCACTTTATCTGCCCACTTTGGTACATCAGGTGGCAAAAGTACAAGGAAAATATTTACGGTCCTTGGGATGAGGCTGAAATACCTTCCTGACTAGTAGCCAAAAATCTTAATTCTGTAAAATATTACTAGTATCAATTAACAAATTTCAATCTGTAAAATATGTAAATTCTGTATATTTATAAGTTTAGTGGAAATATTTTTGAAAAAATTAAGGTTCTTTACGTACCTTTGAGAATTGTTACACTTTGGGAATAATTTTTTGTTATTCTGCCATCCAAATTTCATCACTCGGTAAAATAGAATAGAAGATGTAAGGTATTTTTATAAATATTTATATAAATCTTTAAATTATAATATAATCACAACGAATATAAATGAAAAAACTTTCATTTCAAGCCAAAATGTTCAAATTTAATTCTTGAAGAACTGCCATAAAGTTATTACTTATAAATCATTTAACGAAGTATTTTTTTGAAAAATTTTAATTTCCCTTCTGTTGAAATTAGTTTTAATTTTGAAAATATTAACGCAATTCTTTAAAAGAATTCAACTATCTTAATAAATATCAAAATTCTTTTCAGAAATTCAATTATTTTCAAAAAATTTTTTTAAATATACATACATATCTCTTCGAAATTTTAATTATCTTTATAAATAACAAAATTTTTCGCCAAAATTCAATTATTTTCAGAAATTTTAATAAAATTCATTGCAAAATTTAATTATTTATTTGTGTGTCTTCAGCCTATACATAATTTTGGCAAGCAAAATTTAATTATTTTCAAGAATTTTAATAAAATTCATTGCAAATGAATTTAAATGAATTATTTTCATAAATGAAAACATTCATCACAATAATTTAATTATTTTCAGAAATTTTAATAAAAATCTTTGCAAAATTCAATTATTTTCATAAATAATAGTATTCATCATAAGAATTCAATTATTATCAAAAATTTTTCTTAAATCAATGATTTTCAAAATGTTTTTCTTAATTTAATGATTTTCAATATTATACTATTTTAATAAAATTTCCCAACCTAATTCAATTATTAAACAAAAATTTTGATAAAATTCGACATAAACATTAAATTATTTTCCAAAAAAAAATTGAAATTTTACAAGAATTCAATTATTTAAAATAGAATTTGCATAAATTTTCTCGAAAAAATCAATTGTTTTAAAATTTGGTATTAAATTATTCGCAGTGATTCAATTAATTTCAAAAGTAGGTAATAAAATTGAGGCGCATGATTATTCCCCAAATGTCATTTGACCGAACTGTCATTTTACCGAATTGCATTTATCCGAACCGTTATTTTAACGAAATGTCACTTTTGCGAATCGAGATTTATACGAATTAGCAAAAGTGACAATTCGTAAAAATGGCGATTCGCAAAAGTGACATTTCGTTAAAATAACTATTCGTAAAGGTGACAATTCGTAAAAATGATATTTCGCAAAAATGACAATTCGTGAAAATGGCAGTTCGGTCAAATGACATTTGGGGAATAATAATACGCCTCAATAAAATTCTTCTTCAAAATTCAATTATTTTCAAAATTAAAAAAAAATTCTTGTTGAAATTTCAATTATTTTTATAAATAATAAAATTCTTCAAAATTAAATTATTTTTAAAAATTTTAATAAATTTCAATTATTTTCAAAAAATTTTCTTAATTCAATAATTTGTATATCTATTATTTTAATAAAATTTTCCAAAGAATTCAATTGTATGAAACATTCAATTATTCAATAAATTATCTATGTATTTAAATAATTGAATTTTCGTAGAATTTTCTAATAACAAATGATTTCAGTTAATTTTTAGAAATAATCGAATTTTGTAAAGGTTTTTAAATTTAAATCTTTGAAAATCGGAGTTTTTCATTCTTTTAATTAAAAATTTTATAGAACTAATTTTTTCTTAAAAAGATTTGAATTTGAAATTTTTGAAAATCTTAATTCCTATGGAAAAATAATAATGATTAAATATTTATTTAAAAAGGAAGCAACCCTGAATAATGAAGAAGATAATTGTATATTAACTTGACAAGATACTTATAAAATTAAATTATTAAAATTAAATTAATTATCAAATTTTTTAAATTTGAAATAATATAATTTACTGTCTCTAATTCCTATTGTGGAAAAAAATTTGAAACTCTGTAATAAAATTAGGAATTAAAGAATAAAGGAAATATTTACAAATGTTAAGTATCATTTATTTGTCCTAGTTTTCGAAAAAAGTCTTATGAAAGATATATCTTATCAAACTTCTTATAGAAATAAATATTCAACAAGCTTCAAATTCTTATTAAGAAAATGGGCATATTATTTTACAACAATAAATTGAAGGAGCCTTTTGATCCTCCTAATAAGGGATTCAATAAATGATCGATCGACAGTTGTATATTCACTGTGAGTAAATAGAAGTTGAGTAACAAAATTATCATTAAAAACTGAAACAAGATTGTTTTTAAGTTCCGAAACTGATTCGGTTGACATTCGCCAATCCACTGCGCCATCTTCCATACTCATTGAGTGAACTGAAAACAAAATTAAAAACATCCATCAATTCAATTAGAATAAAAATACAATTATTGTTAAAAATGCCTTTGAATTTTCTTAAACATGTAATTGAAAATATTAAAAATAATGATTGAATTTGAAAAATGTTAATAATTCTAGTTGTTTTTGAATTCTCGTGAAGAGAAATAAATAGTTTTAATTAAAAATTTTGAAAACAGTTGAATTTTATGAACAATTTCTTTTAAGTTTTTTAAATAATCGTGTTTGTTAATAATTGAAATAAAACATTTAATTATTGAATTTTATTAAAATATTAGAAAATAATTGAATTCTACGAAAATCTTTTATATAACGAATTAAGTAAAAAATTCAATTCTTTAGTAAAATTTTTTTGAAAATAATTGGATTTTTGCAAAGAATTTTACTATTTCTAAATATAATTAAATTTTTTCTAGTAATTTATTAAAATTTTAAAAAATAATTGAATTCTATTGAAATTTTTTTATAACTAATTCGTTCGTGAAGTGTTATTAAAATTTTCTTTAAAAATGATTGAATTTTTGCAAAAAATTGTACTATTTATAAAAATAATTAAATTCTTACGAAGAATGTTATTATTTATGAAAATAATTGAATTTTTCAGAAGAATTTGATTAAAAATTTTGAAATTAATAAACAAGAAAAATTAATTAGTAAACTAGTTAATAATTAAATTTTTTTTAAAGTTTGAATCTGAAAGTATTCAAAAATTCATATTTGAAAATAAAAAGAAAATTGTAAATTAAGATTTTACCTTGTGATTTGTTTTGTCGTAATGTAGATTGCATTACATAAAAATCAAGATTACTCCAAATAATGTATAAACTCTGTTCAACTAAAAGTGAACAGTATTTAACATTTTGCCGTTTGTCTTTCGCTTGCTGCGCTAATCTCTGCTCCACTACCATTCTCTGTTTATTTAACTCTAATTCTGTTTCCTCTTCTGTTAAATGCTGAAAAAATTTTCAACATTTTAATTTCACACATTTTAGAAAAAATTTCTATTATTATTATTTCGATACACGCAAATCTTTTATTATCTAAAAATTAAAAAAAAGTCTTTACCCTCTTTATTATTTCAAGTTAAAAAAAGCTTTTTTGATTTAAAAGAATACAAATAAGTTTTAAAAATATTATTTAATAAAATATAAATAAAATATAAATATTTAATAAAACTTTTGTTGAATTTAAAAAATCTGCTTTTCTCTTTTATTATTAGAAACAATCGACTAAAAAAATACCTTTTTAAGATCAGTTGTACTCATTTCTTGGACCATTGCAGCTTTTTTGATAAGGGAATCAATTAATGGTAATTCTGTGTGAATAAGAGAAGTCGCTGCCATTAGGTGATCAACGGTAATTCCCATTTGAGCACCACAAGTTGGGTCTTGAAATTTCCTATCTTTTCGACTTTGTCGCATCTAAAGAAAATCACATAATTATAAATCCTTGGAGATTATTATTATTTCTTAATTATAACATAACATTTTTATTTATTTATTTTATTTAAAAAAATTATTGAAAAATAAATAAAATGAAAACAATTTTTATACCTGATTACGAATGTAAAGCATAACGTTAGCTGCAATTTGTATGGAGGCGAAATGCTGTTCCTCTGATGCTGCTTTTGCAAGATGCGATTGTGAAAGTGGCGAAGTCAATTGGAATTTTTTTAGTAAGCCAATCATTAATTTTTGTATCCGATAAAGATAGGCGCCCAGTTCTCGCATTCCAGAATCATTTGTTTCACTCATTGCCAAATCGTAAACATCTGTAAAATTAGTTGAATTTTTTTATTACCTTTTAATTATTACAAAAATTTAACGCAATTTCTCGAATGTATTCAATTTTCTCAATGAATGACAGAATTATTCCAGAAATTCAATTAATTTCAGGAATTTTAATAAAATTCTTTGCAAAATTCAATTATTATCAGGAATTTCAATAAAATTCGTTGCAAATTCAATTATTTTAAGGAATTTTAATAAAATTCTTGGCAAAATTCAATTATTTTCATAAATAACAATATTCATCATAAGAATTCAATTATTTTCAAAAGTAATAAAATTCTTAGGAAAAATTCAACTATTATGAAAAATGTGATTAAAAATCTTGTAAATATTTTAATTATTTTCAAAAATGTTCTCCAAATAAATGATTTTTAATATTTACTATTTCCAAAGAAATTTACCAAAAGAATTTAATTATTTAAAAATGGCTTTAATAAAATTAATTCATTATCTTTAATAATCGAAAAATACAATTATTCTTAGAAAATTTATTAAAATTCGTCGATAGAATTCAATTATTTAATTTGTTGATAAAATTCGTTATGAGAATGAAATTCTGAGAAACATTCAATTATTCAATAAATTGTTTATTTTCGTATATATAAAGAATTGAATTCTTGTACAACTTTCTATAAATAAAAATTGATTTAAAATAAATTTCAGTTTATTTTAAAAAGTTTTGAAAAGGTTTCAAATTACAATCTTTGAAAATCTGAGTTTTTCATACTTTTAATTAACAATTCTGTCAAACTAATTTTCATTGAAATTTTTTTAAGTTTTTATTATCTAATATTTATATTTAATTGAAAAATTTCCGAATAATCGAAATTTCGTAAAATTGAATTTTCTAAACAAATGTACAATTTGAAAATTTTGAAAGAACTTTCTCAAAAATTATTAAAAATAATTGATTTAGTGAAGAATTTCAGTTAAATATTCGAGAAAATAATTGAATGCTAGAAGAAATACTTTACTTTTAAAAATTATTTTGAAATATAATTTTGTATTTCTAAAGAATTAAATTTGTAATTTTTAGAAATAATCAAATTTGAAAAAGTTTAAATATTGTAATTGTTTGAAATTTAATTCCTGTGGAAAAATAAATGACAATATGAAGAATTTTAATATTATTTTAACAAAAATATTGAAGTTTTGAATAATTTAATGTAGAATTTTTTTTAAAAAATAGGTTATTCAAAAATTGTAATTAAAATTTTTTCAAAATAATTGAATTCTAAAAAATTAATTTCAAAAAATTAAAATAAATGAACATGTTTTTAAATTTTACTAAAATAAATATTATATTTGAAAAGAAATTTCATTTTTTTCTTTTTAAAATCTTTTTTTTGAATTTGATCTTATTGTAGAAGAACTTTTTTTTTTAACTTTTTTCAAAAATCACGACTTTTCTTTAAAATATTGCAAAAAAATACCACATTTTTAGTATAAAATTTGTACTTATTTCGATTTTTGTATTCTGAAAAATAACTACGGAAATATACAATTAAAAATATTTTAAATAATTGCAATTTTGTAAAATTTAATTGAAAATAATTGATTTTTATAATTTTTGAAAAATTAACTTTTGAAGAATTTTTATTGCAAATTTTGAAAATAATTATTGATTTCTCAAAAATTTTGATGATAAATCTTCAAGTGTAAATTTCCTATCTAAAATGAAAATTAATGAAAACTAGCTTCTAAAAATTATAATCCCAAAAAAAAATTCTTATCACACTTAGAGCGATCTATAAAGTATCCATTATTACCCTAGGGCAATAATGGCCACTTTATTGACTATGTAAAAAAGAAAAATTCTTTTTAAAAAAAAAAGAATCTTTTTTGAAAAAGAAAAATTCTTTTAAAAAAAAAAAAAGAATCTTAACTCACCAATATTTGCAGATCTCGCAATAACACCAGTAAGATAGGCAATCTCCTTTAAAAATAGTGAGTGCGATTGTGGCAGACCATTCCTTAAAGTCATTTCAACGACGTCTCGATGACTCTGAAGAAATCCGCAGACTTGCATCGAGCACGATTGATTTTCAGTTCCCAGAGTCGTGAGCAGAGCGTCGCAAAGATAGAGCGCCGGGAAGAGGATTTGCTGATATCTCTGACCCACACTCGGTATAAAGGAGCAATCGCCACCATCGAATCCAACGTGAACGTCCGGATGTTGATCGAACACGTTCATACTCGACAGGCAGGACAAAATTTTATTCTCCAAAAGACTCTCGGCTCCCAGTCTCGTTGACGCCATTCGACAAAAAGCGGCCATCTTCGCCTCGTAAAGATACAAGGGTCTCAGAGTTTGTGGATCCGGTTGAAGAATACATCGCAGCAAACTGTCCGACTCCAGAAGACTGTCAATCATGTGCTTGAGATATCCTCGACTTGCCAGGTAGATGACCCAGTCATTGTCGCAGTCGAGTTCGAGAATTTTGTCCAGACATGAGAGCGCAAGCATTTTACAAACATCGTGCCCTCCGGAGCAATTGTGACACAAAATGTCCATCAACTTGTCACCGAAACTGTTAATTACCTGAATCGTCGCGTAACGGTGCGAACGCTCCTGCATCGGCAGCGCTCGATACAGCGAATTGTCCAGCTGACTCACGTACATCGAGTCCATAACATTCGCCGCCTCCGATTTTTCCAGTCCAACGACGCAGAGGAAATTCAAAAAAGCCCCGTACAAATGTGTCCGCACTTTTTGTGACGAAGCCTCCGAATTCAAAATCCACTGGAGAATGTGATTCAAAATAATTTTCATTGTCATTGTACTCGAGGGCGACGAGAACAAACTCTCGCCATCCGACTGAAGAACGAAACTATTCTTCAAATTGACTAGAAGAATCAACACAGTTCCCGACACGAGTGTTTTAATTTCGTTCAATGCCTCGCACGACGTCATCTTCTGTAGCAAATCATGAGTCAAGTTCAAAAGCAAATTCTGCCTTTGAGCCGCTGGAAGTTGTTGATTTGTTGCAATCGAGAAGAGAATTTCGGTTGTCTGACACCAACCTTCAACGAACTTCACTGTCGAGTATGAAAGGGTTTTTGTTTGATTACGCTTGAGAGCGTAGGCGAGAATCGACTCGAGTTCCTGTTGCATTAATTTCCGTTGAGAGGCTGTTGCGCTGCTTTGAGTTACCGCGAGTTCCTCGGTTATCACGGCGTGTAATTTTTTAACGTCGATGAGTTGTGGTCCACCTGTCAATGCGACGGAAACACTGCAACGTCCAAGGACCATTTCCACTTGATTGGGATCGAAGAATTCCCAGGATCGCGAAGGTTCGAGTTTCAATTGGAAATCGATGTAGTGAAGAAGATCCATGAGGAGTTTCTGCGACGGTGCAACTTGACTTCGATCTTGACCGTGACTTCCGATTAGTTTTTGAATCAAAGAATTTTGCAAGGATCCTCCACCTACTCTCAATTCGATCGCTGCTATTTTTAATAACCACGACATGCAAGCTAATTCAGTTCCTCTATTTGGTCCCTGAAAATGGTAAAGTTATGAAAATCTCTTTTGATTAGTATGAGGAAATGTCACTAAAGTTCAATTTCGTTTTAGTTTCTGAATTGACATGAAACTCAGTCATGATAAAAGACAAGGATAATTTTTATTCAAAAAGTTGGGCGTGATTGTTTATTAAAATTTATTAAATACGCAGACTTCGCAGTCGATAATTAATTTTTAAAAAAGTAGCAAAGAATAGCTTTCAAACTAAAAAAACAAGTAGTAAAAAAAGTAGCTATCGAAAAACTAAACTTGACGACCAAAAAAACTCATTTTAGACACTTGACAAAACTGATAAACATTCCAATCCATATTTTTTATTTTTCCGACTTTTTCCTAATTTTCACCAAAAATATTTACTTCTTTCTTATCCTGCTAATAAATTGAATTCCTTCAACAAATTTTATTATTCATAAAAGAATTGAATTCTTACGAATAATTTTCCAAAAAAATTTTTAAATCTAATTGAATTCTGTTTGGAAATTTTATTATAAAAATAGTAGATATTGAAAATCATTGAATTGCAAAAAATTTTTACTCAAAAAAAAAATAAAATTTTACAAAGAATTCTATTAAAATTTTTGACAATAATTGAATGTTTGTGTGGTATTTTACTAAATTTTTATGAAAATAATTGAATTCCTAACAAGCATTTTATTATTTATAAAAATAATTGAATTCTTGCGATGAATATTGTTGTTTATGAAAATTATTGAATTTTGCAAAGAATTTTATTAAAATGCCTCAAAATAATTGAATTTTCAGAAATAATTTTGTTATTTATCGACATAATTGAATTCTATCGACGAATTATTTCTGTAAATAATTGAATTCTTGAGAAGAATTTTATCTAAAAGAATAATTGAATTATTTCCAAAAAATTGTATTTAAAATAATTCATTTCCTTCGAAAAGAATTTAATTCCTGTGAAAAATTCTAATATTTTTGTAAATAATTGAATTCCTAAGAAGAATTTTATAAACATTGATGTAAATAATTAATTTTTTCGAAATATAATAAATGTTATGAAAATTTTATTTTAAATAATTGAATTCTTGTGAAAAACTTTATTTATGAAAATAATTGAATTTTACGATTAATTAATTTTAAATATTATTAAAAATAATTGAAATTCTTCGATGAGTTTTATTATTTCTGAAAATAATTGAACTCTTGCTTAGAATTTTATCAATAAATTTTTTTAAAAATTGAATTTACATGAAAAATGTTATTATTAGTCAAAGTAATTGCATTATTGTGAAGAGCTGTATAAAAATCTTGTTAAATAATTGATTTTTTCGAAATTTTTTTGAAAGTGCTATTTAAAAATAATTGAATTCCTGTGAAAAATTCTAATATTTTTGAAAATAATTTAATACTTCTAATAAATTTTTAAAAAACATTTTTTTTTAATAATTGATTTTTTCGAGGAATTGATATTTAAGTTTTAAGAATAATTACATTTTATGAGCACTTCCTGTAAAATTGTATTAAAAATAATTGAAAACTTGCCATAAATTTTATTATTTATGAAAATAAGTGAATAGTTGCAAAGAATTTTATTAAAATTTTCAAAAATAATTTAATTCCCGAGAAGAATTTTATTATTTATGAAAATAATTGAATTATTGCGAAATTTTTTATTAAAATGTTTAAAAAGAATTTAACTTACATGAAAAACTTTGTTATTTTTGAAAATAATTGAATTCCTATGAAAAATTCTGATAATTTTAAAAATAATTTAATTCTTCTAAAAAATTTTTAAAAAACATTTTTTTCAATAATTGATTTTTTCGTGGAATTGAAATTAAATTTTTAAGAATAATTACATTTTTTGAGCACTTCCTGTAAAATTGTATTAACAATAATTGAAAACTTACAATAAATTTTATTATTTATGAAAATAAGTGAATAGTTTCAAAGAATTTTATTAAAATTTTCAAAAATAATTTAATTCCCGAGAAGAATTTTATTATTTATGAAAATAATTGAATTATTGCGAAATTTTTTATTAAAATCTTTTAAAAGAATTGAACTTCTGTGAAAAATTTTGTTATGTATTTTTGAAAATAATTGAATTATGTATTAGAATTTTATAAACATTGTTTTAAATAATTGATTATTTCGAAATATAATAAATATTATGAAAATTTTATTTTAAATAATTGAATTCTTGTAAAAAACTTAATTTGTGAAAAAAATTGAATTTTTCGATTAATTAATTTAAAATAGTATTAAAAATAATTGAAATTCTTCGATGAGTTTTATTATTTATGAAAAGAATTGAATTCTTGCTTAGAATTTTTATAAACGATGTTTTTAAAAAATTGAATTTACATGAAAAATGTTATTATTAGTGAAAGTAATTGAATTATTGTGAAAAATGATATAAAAATGTTGTCAAATAATTGATTTTTTCAAAAGTTTTTTGAAAATGCTATTCTAAATTAATTAGGTTCCTGTGGAAATTTTATTATTTAAGAAAATAATTTTATGGAAATACTATTGAAAATAATTGAATTTGGAATATTTTTTGAAAATAATTGAATCGTTTTAAAGAATTTGATTATAATTTTTGAGAATAGTTTTTTGATTTTCAGTATTAGCGAATTTAAAGTAAATTCTCGAAAAAAACAGAAATAGTAGCTTTTAGAGTCTGAAATCTAAAAAAAGTACCCAAATAGTAGCATAACGAAAAAAAGTAGTAAATAGTAGGTAGTAAATAAATTATCCACTTACTTGGAAAGGTAATTTAGAAAGATGCCGTTGCACAAAATCTTGATTAGTTGCCGTCCTGAGGAATCTCAAAATCGGCATTGAAGTTTTGGTGTTAGCTGACAATGTATGAAGGAACCAGTACGAAGCTTCTGTAATTCGATCGCGACCTCTTTCCAAAGACAATTCGAGAATTCCCAATATGGAATGAAGACAAGTTCTCGGAAATCCAAGAATTCCCGGTTGCTGAATGATCGTCTTCCTGATATCCTTACTGATGTCGAATCCCAAAAGAAAGTGGGCTAGATTTGGAGCAGGTCGTGTAATACTCTGCATCATCAACATTAAAATTCTCTCCTTACAATGTCCCATCTGCTGCTTCTCTTTGCTCAGTTCGTCCTCCAACTCGACATTGTCATCCATTTCCAAACACTCAACGAATCCGTGTCTGATGTTCGTCGCCAACAATGACGTGCATGTGAAGGTCGAGAGTAATTCAGAGTCAGCGCCGGGCTCACTCGACACAGCTTGAATGACACCAACGGCAACGAAGGCGTGTCTTCGCAGCCAAGAATTGTAGGAGATGTATTTTGCGACATTTATCATGTGATCGGGTTTTCCCGTTCGGGGATTCACTCCCAAGAGGAGACGCGATAATCCTGTTGAGAGTTTGTTCGTCGATGTACTCAAGGATGACGAGTCGATTGCCATATACTGATGCTGCAGCCGAAGACCCTGTTCCAATATCTCCAGGCAGTGGAGAGTACTCTCTTCCAGATATTTCTTTCCTGGAAAAAGACACTTTTAAAATATGCATCTAATTTGTGCGGAAAAATTACTTATTTTTATATTATATTTTATACTTATTGTCCTCCAGCCGAGGACGACAATAAATGGTTCAAACAACGAATGCGAAAATTATATTTTGAGCGAACTTTATCTTCTGTTTACTAACAATTGTTAGTCAAAAATTTTTTTACTGGTCCTAAACTATTACAGGGTAGCCACGCTTTTCCTCATTTCAAATTCCCTGACTTTTCCAGGTTTTTAAAACTACATTTATATTTTACAAAATTTAATTTTTACTTTAAATTTAAATTTAATTTTTAATTTTACCAAACTCCCTGATTTCCAGACAAAACATTGACTTTTTCCCTGTTCTATTACATTTATTTACGAATTACGAAAACATCAATAACTTCATTTTTAAATGAATATTAAATCATTATTATTTTTTTACAGAAATTAAAATTTTAAATTCAATTACATATAAGAATATTATTATAAAACATGAAGATATCGAGTCTTCGACTCGGAGTAATCGCTTTCTTCATGTTTTATAAACATTAAAACTTAATACTATCATTATTTTATATTATAAAAATATTATAACTCCAATTTCTTCAAAATTATTTTCACTTTAATTCAATTCTTCATTTCTAGAATTTTAAACTAAAATTCTTCTTTAAATCAATTTTTTTAAAATAATTTTTGAAAAAGTTCTGCTTTGAGAATTTTTAAATCCATTTGTTTACAATTCAATTTTACATAAAATTTCGATTATTTTGACTTTTTGATTATTTTAATTATTTTGACTTGATTATTTATTAAATAAATTAGAAATTAAAAACTTTAAAAATAATTTTAAAAAATTCCATTAAACTTTTTGAGAAAAATTAATTCTCAATTTCCTTAAAACTCTTGTCAAGAATTCAATGATTTTAATAGTATAATAAAATTATTCGCAGGAATTCAATTATTCTCAAAAAATTTGAATAAAATTCTTCACAAAAATTCAATTATTTTCAAAATTGACAAAATTCTTCGCAATAATTCAAATATTTTCAAAAATGATAAAATTCTTCGTAAATATTAATTATTAATTAATTATTCAATTATTCTCAATATTAATTTTTACGTAATTTTGATTACTCTGACATTCTTCAATTAAATATATTATTAGAAAATAAAAACTTCGAAAGAATTAAAGAAAAATTCATTTAAATTTTTTCAAAAAATAAATTCTACAGAATTGTTAATTAAAAGTATGAAAAGTTCAAATTTTCTAAAAGATTTTAATTTGAAACATTTTCAAAATTCAATTATTTCTAAAAATTTACGCTATATTGCTTTCAATATTCAATAATAATCTAAAATTTTAACTGAAATTCATATTAAAATCAATATTTACTAGAAAAATCCACGAGAATTCAATTATTTAAATACAAATAAAATGCAAATAAATATTTTTTTAAATAATTGAATGTTTCTTAAAATTGAATTTTCATAAAGAATTTCATCAACAAATTTTTAAATAATTGAATTTTCTTGACAAATTTTAATAAAATTTTTAAGAATAAGTTCATTTTTCGGAAATTTGATTAAAATTTGATTAAAAAGAATTGAATTGCTCCAAAGAGAAAAGAGTTTTTAAAACTTTTTTTTTATAAGACTTTTTGAAAATAATTGAAATTTTGCCAAGAATCTTATTAAAGTTTTTGAAAATATTTGAATTTCGGAGAAAAATTTATAAAGATTATGGAAATTTTGATGAGAATTTTTGTAAATTGTTGAACACAATTAAATTTCTGCGAAGAATTATATTACTTTTGAAAATAATTGAATTCTTGAGACGAATTTTATTAAAATGTCTTTTTAAATAATTGAATTCTTTTATGAAATTTTATTGAAATAGTAGACATTGAAAATAATTGAATTTTTAATATTATTTAAATTTCTACGAAGAATTTTATTAAAATTATTTTGAAAAAAATGGAATTTTTACAAAGAATTTCACTAAAATTTTTGAAAATAATTTAATTTTTACAAGAAATTTAATTAAAACTTTATAGAAAATAATACTTAAATTAAAATAAAATAAATTGCAGCAAAGGTTTTTAATAAAATTGAATTTCTTTGATGAATTTTAATAAAATTTTTAAGAATAATTTAATTTCTTGAGGAATTTCATTAAAATTGTATTAAAAATAATTGAAAGTCTGAGATGAGTTTTATTATTTATGAAAGTAATGAAATATTTGCGTAGAATTAAAAATTTTTTTTTAAATAATTGAATTCTTTTGAAAAATTTATTGAAGTAGTAGATTTCTTAAAAATCATTGAATTGAGGAAAGTTTTTGAAAATAATTGGAATTTTGCCATGAATTTTATTAAAATTGTTATTGGAAATAATTGAATTTCTAAGAAGAATTTTACTAATTTGGAAAATAATTGAATTTCTGCAATCATTTGTAATTGCTTCAAAATACAATTTCTCTTAGTGTTTTTAATTAATATTCTTCTATAAATCCATTATTTTTAATAATCAATTAAAAAAATATATTAAAAAATTTAACTAATTTCAGAAGAATTGGAATACCTAATTAAAATTTCTCAAAAATCGGCTCAGTTAAACTAGCGACCCGCCGGCCGCCACCCATCAGAAGAGTCCATAGGCGCCGACACACATAGTAGCGCGGTGGCACTATACGGTTCAATTAACGCAAAAAAAACGTACGCTAGCTATTACAGTTTATTAAAAATATTTTCAATTGTCACATTTTGAAGAGCAATAATCCCCCTTTAATTTCTGACCAAGAAATAAGCATTTGGTCAAAAATTATTCGAGTTATGAATTTTTTTCCGATTTTTTTCCAATTTTCGTTTTTCTGATACGGGCGGGTGGGGACGCTGGCTATCAAAAGTTTATTAAAAATATTTTCAATTGTCACATTTTCAAGAGCAATAATCCTCCTTTAATTTGCGACCAAGAAACAAAGAATTGGTCTAAAATTGTTCGAGTTATGAATTTTTTTCCGATTTTTTTCCAATTTTCGTTTTTCTGATACGGGCGGGTGGGGACGCTGGCTATCAAAAGTTTATTAAAAATATTTTCAATTGTCACATTTTGAAGAGCAATAATCCCCCTTTAATTTCTGACCAAGAAATAAGCATTTGGTCAAAAATTATTCGAGTTATGAATTTTTTTCCGATTTTTTTCCAATTTTCGTTTTTCTGATACGGGCGGGTGGGGACGCTGGCTATCAAAAGTTTATTAAAAATATTTTCAATTGTCACATTTTGAAGAGCAATAATCCCCCTTTAATTTCTGACCAAGAAATAAGCATTTGGTCAAAAATTATTCGAGTTATGAATTTTTTTCCGATTTTTTTCCAATTTTCGTTTTTCTGATACGGGCGGGTGGGGACGCTGGCTATCAAAAATTTTTTAAATAAATTCTAATTGGTCACATTTTAAGAAGCATTAATCGCTCTTTAATTTGCGACCAAGAAACGAAGAATTGGTCTAAAATTATTCGAGTTATGAATTTTTTTCCGATTTTTTTCCAATTTTCGTTTTTCTGATACGGGCGGGTGGGGACGCTGGCTATCAAAAATTTTTTAAATAAATTCTTATTGGTCACATTTTAAGAAGCATTAATCGCTCTTTAATTTGCGACCAAGAAATAAGCATTTGGTCTAAAATTGTCGAGTTATGAATTTTTTCCGATTTTTTTCCAATTTTCGTTTTTCTGATACGGGCGGGTGGGGACGCTGGCTATCAAAAGTTTATTAAAAATATTTTCAATTGTCACATTTTCAAGAGCAATAATCCCCCTTTAATTTCTGACCAAGAAATAAGCATTTGGTCTAAAATTGTTCAATTGTTCAATTAAAAACTCATTTTTGGAAATCGGAGATTTATTCTCCTCCTCCATTGTGATACATTTGAAACATTGAAAATGTTTTAAAATATTATTCATATTACCATCCTTCAAGTACGGACGAAATGAGAGAATGAATACCAAGATTATTAAAAATATGAAAGATAAAGTAATAATTCCCTCACCTGAAAACGAATCGTAAGTCTCGAAATGACGACACCCTTCGTCGAGAATGTAAAGCAGGACGTGTAGAAATTCAGAGTTGGAGTGCAACTGTTTCAGGAGATGATAACCAGGATTGGGATTAACGAGAGTCGACTCCCCTCCTTGTAGTTCAACCTTACAACCCACAAAGTCCTCCACAGACGGTTCGTACTGTTTGATCAATTTATAAAAAACCTTCAAGCAAACTTTAACCACTTGCCACTTCTCCACCGGATTTTTGTACGACCGAGTATTGAATCTCAAAAATACAGTGTTGATGATAAACAGTAGATAAGGATCGAAACCCGGATTCCTCTGTCCGACTCCTAGCAGTCTCGGAATTGGAAAGTCAGTGAGAACATCCATGAGTTCGAGCATTGCTCTAGTGAGGGGATATTCTTCGTTTCTGGACTCGATTTCCTCGAGTTCGGTTTGCACCCCTCTGGGTTGATAGCTGCTGGTCGAGGGAATTGTGGAGAGAATTTGAGCGGCTTCCAAACTTTGCCAGACGGTGGTTGAACTCTCCGGCGATCTGGCGAGAGCTGCGAGTGTTCGAACCAAGACGCCCTTGAGAGGAATTGGCATGGCGCAACCCACGAGACCAACCAGTGACGGCAGGACTTTCCATCCTGGATGATCGCACAGTGCGACACGTGACATTTCGTCATTTTTCGCCACCACTTGAACCACCAGCAAAACTGCCTCTAGACCCTTCACCTCGTGGGGCGTGATTCCTTTGGGGTGAATTCTTTGTCGATAAATTGTGTCTTGAGTGGGGGGTAATTCTTGACGGAGATTGTAGTAGTAACGACCCAATGACGTGAAAAAGTGGTCCCAGGAAATTGTAGACGATCCTGTTGTTCCTAAAAGAAAAAAAAACAGTCTAAAAGAGTGATCCGAAAGGTATGTTAATATTCTTCAATATCAGGGTTCAAATTCCCTGATTTTTCCAGGTTTTCCAGGTTAAAAAACGGAATTATTTCAGGTTTTTAAAGCCACATTTATATTTTACAAAATTTTTAATTCTAACCTTTTTGAAATTATAAAAAATTGTTATAAAACATAAAGAAATCGATCACTCCGAGTCTTCGACTCGGAGCAATCGATATCTTCATGTTTTATAAATAATTAAAAATGACCGACTGATAAAATCATTAATTTATATTAGAAGAATATTATTACTGTAATTTCTTCAAAATTATTTCTATCATTTCAATTAAATTAACATTTTCTAGAATTTTTAACTAAAATTCTTCTTTAAATTAATTATTAGGTATTAATAATTTCTGAAAAATTTCTTTGAACATTTTCAAATCCTTTTGTTTACAATTCAATTTTATGAAATTTCATCGATTATTCGGAAATTCTTCAATAAAATATATCTACTGTCACAAAAATTTTATTTTGTATTTTCCTGACATTTTAATGATTTCCAAATTGAATTATTCAAAACTTGAATAATTTTGTTAAATAAATATTTAAATAGTTGTTTATTTTTTCACGAGAAATAAACTTAAAAAAATTTTAATTTTAAACCTTCTGATCTGAAATTAAATAACTTCTAAAAATTACAAATTAAACCCTTCTTAAATTCAATTATTTTTCGTAATTTTCTACAATTTTTACATAAACTTTATCTCTAAATCCACTTATTTTTAATCATTTGCCGAAAGTTCTTCTAAAAAATTTGAATGAAAAAATTTTAAGAATTGATTTTTGCAAACATAATAAATATCTTAATAATATTTCAAAATAATCATTTAAATATTTTGTACTCTTACAGCGATTAAAATTTTATTATGTATTTTTAAAAATTCTTGATGTACAGCATCAAATATTCAATTATTTATCAAACTTTAAATGACATTTTTTTTAAAATTAATTCAATCCAAATTCAACTTTGAGAATAGATTTTATTTAAACAAAACAGTTTTTGTGAAATTAAATTATTTCCTAAACTTTTAGTTACAATTCTTCAAAACTACAATTTTGTTTCAAAATAATTATTAAAAGTGAAAAATAATTCAATTTGAAACTTTTTTGAATTATTTCTAAAAATTTCTACTAGGGAAAAAATTTTACTATGAAACTCTTCTAAAATTCAATTATTTTTACGAATTTTTAACTGAAATTCTTCTCTAAATAAATTATTTTTCATAGTTTTGAGAAACTTTTTTGATAATTTAATCATTCAATTATTATTTATATAAAAAAGAAAGTACACGTAAAATATGTAAAGTTTATCGCAATTCTTCGAAAGAATTCAATTGTTTTCACAATTTTTCACCATGTCGCAATGATTTTCAATATTTACTATTTCCAAAAAATTTACTAAAAGAATTCAATTATTTAAAAAAAAAATTAATAAAATTAATAAATGAATTAATAATTAATTAATTTAATAAAATCAGGGTTGCCACAAAAATTTAATTTTGCTTTTCCCTGACTTTTCCCTGATTTACAGAAATTTTTTTTCGGAAATTCTTCAACTAAATATAAATTAGAAATTTTTTTAAATTAGAAAATAAAAACTTTAAATAATTTTTAAAAAATTCAATTAAACTTTTCCAAAAAAATTAATTCTACAGAATTGTTATAGTTTTATTATTTATGAAAATAATTGAATTTTTGTGCAGAAATTTATAAAAAATTTGTAAATAATTATTTTTAAATAACTTTATTCCTGTGAAATTTTTATTATTTATGAAAATAATTAAATTTTTGCTTAGAAATTTATCAAAATGTTTTTAAATAATTGAATTTTTTCGGAAAATTTGATTAAAATTTTGAAAAATTATTGAAAATCATTAAATTGAGGAAAATTTTTGAAAATGATTGATATTTTTGCCAAGAGTTTTATTAAATTTTTTTAAAATAATTGAATTTCGGAGAAGAATTTTATTGTTTATAAAGATAATTGAGAGTTTGACGAGAATATTTTAAAAAATTTTGAACATAATTGAATTTTGCAAAGTATTTTATTGCTATTGAAAATAATTTAATTTCTGTAATCATTTGTAACTAATTGTTTTTAATAATTAATTAAATATATTTTAAAAAATGTAACTAATTCCAGAAGAATTTGAGTTATTATTAAGTTTTTCAAAAATCTAAGTTCTTTAAAATTTCTAATCATGTAAATTCATTTGAAATTGAAATTTTCTAAAATTTCAATTTAAAAGCTTTCGAAATTTAATTATTTATAAAAATTTTAAACGCAACTCTTTTAAAATTCAATTAGTTTTGGAATATTTAAGTAAAATTATTCATTACATAATTTATAAGTAATAATTTTATGATAGTTCTTCAAGAATTAAGTTATTTAAAGAGAAATTTTTCTCAGAAATGTAAAAAATTGAAGGTTTTGTATTAGAATTCGTGGTAATTTCATAGTTTATGAGTCAAACAAAAAAGACACAAAAATTCAGAAGTTTCTTATGAATTCTAGAAATGTAATAATTTTCCAGTAGTTTTGACGAAATTCATTGACTATTTCCTGACTTTCCTGACTTATGGCTGTACATCGTTTTAGAGTTATGAAAGTTTTAAAAATTGTAAATTCGGAAAACAGTAGCTTTATGTAGTATTTTTATTTTTATAAAGTTTTATTTAGTATTTTTACTTTTAAAATGATCCAAATGTTTTCCCTCTATTTAATAGTTCTTCAGTAACCATCCTTTGACTTTTAGCGAACAGGAGTCAAGTAAATCAGTCAATATTTGAAATATCGTGTGATAATTCAAGTTATTGTAAAAAAACTTACCATTTGGTTTGAGAAAATTGAAGACCTGTCGTGCAGCTTGCGGCGAAGAAGCCAAAGAGGAGAGCATCTTTAAATAAGGCACAAATAAACCAGCCGGCAAAATTTCACCAGCCAAACGAACGAACTTGAACAGAGCAGCTTGTCTCGAGGGCAATCGACTGCTGTGCAGGGCATTCGAAACATGAGAGGCTTCCGAAGGTTGACACCAAAAGTCAATAGCCAAGTTCAAATTCAAAGGATCCTGTTTATACAATTCCGCGACCATCAGCATCAAATATTCGAAGTGATCGTCGAGATTCATTGGCGGTTCGATGCCTTCCTGCTGATACGCCTGAATCAGTCGCATCGACTCGTCGGCTCTGCTTCTCAACTCCTTCACTTTCAACGGCATCAGGAGAATAAAGTCCGAAATCAGAGTGTGAAAATAGCGCACAAAGAATTCCTCCATATAGAATTGTTCATTTTGAAAGAGTACTTCGACGACGAAGTGAAACGCCTTATTTGAAACTGCCGCCTCCACTAAAATTTCGTCCTCCTTGGTGATGATTTGATTTGGACACAAATTCGGAGCCGATTTTATTGTCGTCACTGCAATTGCCAAGACAAATTGAAGCAAACCCCGGAGTCCAGCGCTCTCCCAGGCAATGTTTCCGGTCGTCAATTTCTGGACGAGCTCCTCCAGCATTCCCCTCTCGGAAATTATTGGCATTGATTTCACGATTTCTGGAAGAAATTCTCACACTGTAATTAAAAATTAAATTGGAAAATTAAATATTATTGACATTCTTCTCACCCTCTCCGTCCTCCCGACTGTGAAGTGGACTGAGGTTCATTGCGTTTAGAACAGCCATGATTAAGGAAAGTGTGAAATTGTCAGGCTTTCCTTCGCCGACTTCAATTTCGGGTTGACGATTTTGCAGGAAGGCAATGAGACTGAATGTGATTGTGCTTGGAAGTGACGACTGGGCTGACCACATGTAGAGAATGTCGGCTAAATCTTGCCGAGTGTCATTGAAGAGTTTCATCACCATGTAATGATGTTTTGATCCACCCAGTGCTCGATTTTGTTGCAATAAATCTTGTTCCTGTAAACAAATTTTATTATTTATTTATTTCAGTTCTTTTCAACTCCCAGCCTCTTAATGGGATATTGAAAAACTTAAAATTACAAAATTATAATTCTTTTTCTTAGAAGAAAGAGGAAGATATTATGATAATTTTTCTTTCTTAATGACAACTTGTTAACAATATTACAAATTTTCTTTAACTTCTTGAATTTTAATTTTATGAATGTTCATACATTGTTTCTTATTTCAAAGTTTAAAGCGTAAACGCAAAAAAATAAAAGAATAAATAGGAAACAAAAACAATGCATTTTTTAGATTAATAAAATTTTTTTTAAGAAATAAAAGTAATGTGAATAGAAAGCAAGAAAAAAAATAAAATTGTAATAAAGAATGATTCAATAAATAATAAATCTCGAATAGAAATAAATAAATACAAATAAAAAAAATATTTATTATGATTATGACTTCAAATAAAATCCTTACCTACTAATAACTTCTACTTGAGTAGAAAAAAATAAAAAAGGTTCAAAAAATTGTTTGAAGCCTTCGGCCTTCTTCCAGATAATTTTTTAAAACATTATGATTATAAAATAAATGACAATTTTTTTATTTATTTCTGAAAAAATCAAAATTTTGATAACAATCGTGATTCAAAAATAAAAATTCTGCAAGCTTTTTACTTCTTTTAAAAAATATAACTATAATTAAAGTTTTGTTAAAAAATGTGAGTAATCGATATTACAAACTATAATTTTTTTGATTTACAAAATAATATTAAATTATTATCTAAAATTTTAACTAAAATTTATTTTTAAATCAATTTTTATTAAAAAATTCTACGAGAATTCAATTTTTTAAATAAATTGTATGTTTCTTAAAATTGAATTCTCATAAAGAATTTTGTCAATAAATTTTTAAATAATTGAATTCTTTTGACGAATTTTAATAAAAATTTTTATGAATGAGTAATTATTCCAGGAATCCGATAAAAATTGTATTAAAAATAATTGAAATTCTGCGATGAGTTTTATTATTTATGAAAATAATTGAATTCCTAAAAAGAATTTTATTAATTATGAAAATAATTGGATCCCTGAAAAAAATTTTATTATTTATAAAAATAATACAATTATTGCAAAGAAATTAAAAAGAAAATTTGTAAGTAGCTGAAATCCTGTAAAATTTTTATTATTTATAAAAGTAATAAATTTTTGAGTATAATTTTATCAAAAATTTTTTTTAAATAATTGAATTCTTATGGAAAATTTTATCAAAATTTCTGAAAATAATTGAGTTTTGGAGAAGAAAATATATTAGAAATTTAATTAATTTCAGAAGAATTTGAATTATTAAAACTTTCAAAAAATCTAAGTTCTTTAAAATTTATAACTAAATTCATTCAAAAGTGAAATATTCTAAAATTTCAATATTGAAACCTTTTGAAATTCATCTATTTATGAATATTTTAAACGCAACTCTTTTTAAATTCAATTAATTTTGAATTATTTTAGAAAATTATTCATTAAATAATTTACATTAATAATAATTTTATGATAGTTTCTCAAAAATGATTTCTCATAAAGAATTTTATCAACTAATTTTTAAATATTTAAATTCTTTCGTTGACTTTTAATAAAAATTTTAAGAATTAAAAAAAGAAAATTTTTTGAAAAATTACAATTTTTGGAGAAATTTGATTAAAATTGTATTAAAAATAATTTAAATTCTGTGATGAATTTTTAATTATTTATAAAAATAATAAATGTTTGCGTAGAATTTTATCAAAAAATTTATTTTAAATAATTAAATTCTTTCGAAAAAGTTCATTAAAATAGTAAATATTAAAAATCATTGAATTGAGGAAACTTTTTGAAAAAAATTGAATTTTGCAGAAGAATTTTATTATTTATAAAAATAATTGAAATTTTGACAAGAATTTTTAGAAATTTTCGAAAATAATTGAATTTATGCTAAGAATTTTATTATAAAAATAATTGAAATTTTGACGAGAATTTTTAAAAATTTTTGAAAATAATTGAATTTATGCTAACAATTTTCTTATTATTGAAAATAATGGAATTTCTGCAATGAATTGTAACTTCTCCAAAAATCAGTTTTTTAGTATTTTCATCTAAAATTCTTCCGTAAATTCATTATTTTTAATAATTAGTTAAAAATGTTTAAAAAATGTAACTAATTTCAGAAGAATTCAAATTAGTAAAATTTTTCAAAAATCTAAGTTTTTTAAAATTTCTAATTTAAATTCATAGAAAATTTCAATTTTCTAAAATTTGAAATTGTAACCTTTTGATTTTTTATGATAATTGTAAACGCAATTCTTTGAAAAATCAATTAGTTTTGAAATATTTAAGCAAAATTATTCATTAAATAATTTATAAGTAATAATTTTGTAATAGTTCTTGAAGAATTAATTTATGTATTTAAAAAGAAATTATTGTCAGAAATAGAAAAAAATTTAGATTTTTTATTATAATTCGTGGTAATTTTATAGTTTATGAGACAAACAAAAAAGACACCAATATTCAGAATTTTCTTAAGAATTCTAAAAATATAATTTTTTCAATATTTTTAATAAAAATCTCTTACTTTTCCCTGACTTATGGAAAAATGACTGAGATTAAAAAAAAAGGAAACTTACTTTCATGGGATCCATTTCTTCGATAAGGGCAACAATCCTGTCCAATAGTCCATCCTCCTGGAGTCTATTTGTGTATTCAGTGATTTGTTTCGTTAAGAGAAGAGGAATGTCAAGCATCCAACTGTGTCCGACTCTCGCCTGCACCAGAGTCCTCAGGGCCGACGTGAGGGCTTTTCTTCCATCGTAATACAAGAGTACAGCAGTCAATCCTCTCGTCAAACCCGGGTGAAAGGGCATTTGCAATTGTGCTGTGTATAGAAGATCTAAAGCTATGTACTCGTTTAATTTATACATGTCCGATATAATCAAAGTCTCATCTATCAAGTCCTTTGACAATAACTGATGTCCCAAGGCAGGAGACGTAATTCCATCCACGTCTCCCTTCAAAATTTCCTCACGGCATTTTTGACTCTTTGGCTGAAATTGATTTTAAAAAAATTTCAGTTAAAATTTTAGAAAATAATTGAAAAATTTACAATTTATAAGTGAAATAAAGTGAAGATTAAAAAAATAGCTGAATTATTAGGTCACAAAATTTACAAAAAAGTAAAAAAGGATAAAAAAAGTCTGTGATTCTTGAATAAATTAAAATAAGTAGAAAAAGTGTTGTAAAAGCCATAAAATCCAAGGCCTGTAAAATATCAATTGTCATATTTACCAGGTTTTTGAGAAGGGTTAAAAAATTCTGTCGATGATTTCTCAAGGCTTCGGAAAATTCATGAAATTGTGGGTCATGAGTACTTGAAAATGATGTAACATAATTTTCCACAAGACTTTGTAATTCCTTGTAAGGAGTCCATGTGTCCTGAATATTTATCCGTTCTGCAAAAATTCATTTTTGACAATCATACGAAATATTATAGCGAACAGTTTGCACGGTTTGCACAGTGTTGATGAGAGAATGTTGACACTTCTCAAGTGCATTTAATTGTAAACTTGTCACACAAAAATCTATTATCACCATAAATTAAATTACAAATTTTGAAAATTAGAAACAATTATAATAAAAAATCACAAGCACACAATAAATAAAATATTTATTATAAATTAACACACATGGAGTACTTGTAAACATTAAGAGGTTAGGAAATGTAAATCTTTGCCAAATTATTCTAAACATAAAAATCAATTGAATTCTTACCCTCCGTCATTTTCTAATAATCCTTAAATCTCAGAACAAGCACGGAAACGATATTTAAACACTTTTTTCAATGGAATATTGCATAAACAGCCGGTTTACGTTATTCAAGGTTAGTTTTAAGGCGGGAGCGAGACGAGCGTCCTCTCTTTCGATATCTCGAATGTGAATCGATTCGAGTCGAATCTTTTCGACTCCGACTTACAGACAACTTCAGACATTACAAACATGGATTGTTTTTTTTCTTATTATTAATTATTAATTAATTAATTAATTAAACTAATTTACGATCGGTTTTTCGAACAATTATATTATTTTCCTTTTTTCGTTATTCTTGAGTTGGTGTTTTATTAAATAAGCTAAATAAGTAAACAAAATTTATTATTCGTTGAAGCAGTGAAATTTTTGATTCATTTGTTATCATTCTTTGAAATAAAATTTCATTCTTTGAATAAAATATTATTATTGTCAATAATTGTATATTGAAAAAAAGGACAAAATTTGTTGGATAAATGTTAAATTTCCTATGGAAAAAATATGTGTCGATGGAATGAAACTCAAAATGAATAATGAAGAACTATAAGTAAGGTTATGTTTACCTTTGTTTTTTCGTTTATAAATATTTATTATTTAGCGAATTTAATATTAATTAGATTATAATTAGAAATTCGTGATATTTGAGAATTTTCATAATTTCAGGTAAATGTTTAAATAATAACGAGAAGGAATTGACGATGAAATTTAAAACATGGAATGTGAAAAAGAATTGATATGAAAAATGTAAACATTTGGAAGATGGTCATTTAATTCTGAATTGAATTACAGTTTATTTAGCCTTATCAGAATAATATATTATTTAAAAATTTCACTTTGACTTCATGGAGGACTCAGTAATGCTTGAGAAGGCGCTCTTGTCTATTGAGAGCCATGATATGGATTTCTCAGTAGTTGAAATGGTAAATTATATTATTTAAATTTATCAAATTAAGGAGGTATCATTCTATATAAAATTTTGAGAATTGGTAAATTGCTATATTATCTAATTGTTGTGAATTATTATTTTTAGGTTGAAATTTTTAATTTTAATCACATTTTTTACCTTTTTTCATCATTTCTAAATTTGCTCACCTATTCAACCATTTTCAATCCAATTTTAGTAAAATTTCTCGAAAGAATACAATTATTTTTTTCAAGAATTTTAATATAAATTCAATTATTTTCAACAATTTTGATAAAATTCTTTTTAAAAAATCATTATCTTCAAAAATTTTAATAAAATTCCTTAAAAAAATTTAATTATTTTCAAAAATTCACAAATTCAAATAAAATACCTCGAAACAATTCAATTATTTTTATGAATTGTAAAATCCTTTTCAATTATTCTTTTCATAAATAAAAAAATTCTTCGCAAGAATTAAAATATTTTTGTAAATAATAAAATTCTTATCGGGAATTCAATTATTTTCAATACAATTTTAATAAAATTACTCGAAAGAATACAATTATTTTTAAAAACATTATTTAAATTCAATTATTTTCAACAAATTCTGATATAAAATTCTTTGAAATAATTCAATTATTTTTATAAATTGTAAAATTCTTGGCAAGAATTCAATTATTTTTGTAAATAATAAAATTCTTCTGAGAAATTTAATTATTTTCAATACAATTTGAATAAAATTTCTAGGCAAAAATTCAATTATATTCAAGATAATTTTAATAAAATTTCTTTAACAGGTTCAATTATTTTTGAAAATTGTAATAAAATTTGTGTAAACAATTCAATTGTTCTCAAAAGTTTTTAATAAAAAATTCTTTGTAAATTTCAATTATTTTCAAAATTTTCAATTAAAATTATTTTAAAAAATTCCATTATTTTTACAAAATTTAATGAAATTCCTGAAAATTCTCTAAAAAAAATTTTTACAATTAATAATAAACACGATTATTTTAAAACCTTGAAAGAAATTCTTCATAAAATTCAATTACTTTCAAAATTTTCAGTAAAAATTATTTTAAAAAAACTCGCATTATTTCCAAGAAAATTGAAATAAATTCTTCAAAACAATTCAATTATTTGAAAGAATTTTAATAAAAATCTTGCCAAGAATTAAATTATTTTTAATACAATTTTAGTTACATTTTCTCGAAAGAAATTATATTATTTAAAGAATAAAGAAAATTGACATAAATTAATATTTTGAAATATACTTACTTATTTTAAATTTCGATTTCTCGTTTACTAAATTTAATTTGGAAATTCTTCAATGTAACTTCTCCAAAATTCAAATCTTTTTTTCGATTTTAACTAAAATTCTTCTTTAGATAAATTATTTTTAATAATTAAATATATATTAAAAAAACTCAATTTCAAAATAGTTTGAATTAAATTTTTTCACAACAAAAAAAGATTTTTTGAATATTATATTTTTTTATAAACAAAATCCTATGTAGAAAGATAAGAAAAAAAAATAAAAATCTTGATATTTTTTATTTAGAATAGCCTCCTGAAATATTCGATTATCAAAAAATGATTAAATATAGTTAAAATTTTCGAAATAATCGTAGGAAAAACTGGATTTGGACAATGAAAATGTGCATCAACATTGGGAAACAGATGCAAGTCTCTGCGATAAAGATGACACCAGTCTTCAACGATGCTTCATCAATGCCATTACTTTTGATTCGATACATCAAGAACAAATCGCCGAGAAATCACCACCTTTGCCAATAAATAATTTCCCACAGACGAAATTCTACAAAATTCAATGCTTCATTTGTCAAAAGTGGTTTCTAAACAATGACACAATGGTGACACATTTAAAACTCCATTGCAGTGGAAATAATTGTCAAGTATGTGATCAAAATTTTCCCGACTCCGAAACACTCTGTACGCATATGTTAATTCACATTGGAATGAATTTCACCGAGAAATCGTTCCCCGATAGGTTAATTTTAGAAAATCAGTTACATTCACATTCTAATGATGGTGAAGAAAGAGAAGAACGTGAAGAAAGAAGAGAAGAAAATGAAGAAAGAGGGGAAGGTGAAGAAAGAGGTTATGGTGAAGAAAGAGGTGATGGTGAAGAAAGAGGCGAAGGTGAAGAAAGAGGTGAAGGTGAAGAAAGAGTCAAAGGTGAAGAAAAAGCAGAAGGAGAAGAAACAGAAGGAAGAGAAAGAGCAGAAGGAATAGTGGGATTTCAAGGGCAATTCGAAGTGAACGAAAACATCAAGTGTGATAATTATTTTTGTGATATTTGTCAGGAGTCGTTTCAAGAAAGGGACGATTTCAACCGACATTGTTTGATTCATGGGAGCTTTAACGAAGGGGAGAAATTCGAGTCCGAGTTGCGCCATCATCATCATCATCAACGCAGGACGAAGCAATTCAAGTGTACACTTTGTCAGAGATGCTTCGCGCAAAGAGCCGCTCTAAACAACCACATGTTGTCGCACACCCGAGACAAGCCGCACGCTTGCAGTGTCTGCGCGAAGACATACAAAAGAAAGTCCGAACTCATGAGGCACTCGATGGTCCACACCGGCGAGCGGCCCTACGAGTGCAAAGAGTGCCTGATGACATTCCGCGAGAAGGCAAAGCTGAATTCGCACATGCTGGTCCACACCGGCGAGAAGCCGCACGCCTGCCACATTTGCCAGAAGGCTTGCGCGAGAAAGTCCGATCTAACTAGTCACATGCTCTCGCACACTGGCGGCCAATACGACTGTCACGTTTGCGAGAAGATTTTCACCCGCAAGTCAGATTTGAATCGACACGCTTTAATTCACACGGGCGAGAAGCCGTTCGCCTGTGAACATTGTGATATGGCCTTTAGGGAGAAGACGCGACTGAATTCGCACATCCTCGTGCACACTGGCGACAGGCGGCACGTGTGTCACATTTGCCAGAAGTCCTTCAAGGAGAAGGCCACGCTGAAGAAGCACTTGCTGACCCACATGGGCGAGCGGTCCTACGAATGCTACGTCTGCCAAAAAACATTCACTCAGAAGACAACGTTGAACAGTCACATTTTAATCCACGACGATGTGTCGTCTTATGAGTGCAGCACTTGTCAGGAGGTATTTAACGATAGAGGTCAGTTGAAGAAGCATTTATTGACGCACACGGGGAATAAATTTAACGACTGTCCGATTTGTTTGAAGAAATTTACGCACAGATCGGCGCTGAATAATCATATTTCCACTTCGCACAGATCCTGAGATGTAGTCTTATTGTTTTGATTTCTCCAAGAGCAACATTTCTCCAGTGGTTCAATCTAAAAAAATTGTCAGATCGGAGGTAATGTTTTTGTTGATAGAACTATGATAATTTTCCTAAATCCGACATGAGTCCTGATATCCTGTGGACTAACCATAAAATTTTATTAGTTAAAAAAGGATAGACGTATATCTACGTTCTTTTCTTGCCACTGGGATTTTCTAGTTAGTCCACAAGCCACCAGGACCTAGGTTAATTATATTAGCTATTATACCATACGATTTAACCATTTTTAGTCAAATCATAAAAAAATTCGAATAAACTGTCAAATAAAAGAAATATTGAATAAAATATACTGTTGCAACTACCCTCAATTAAATTTTATTAAATATTTCAGTTATTTGACCTTTTTTAAAATTGTTCTTTAATGATTTCTTTAATTGGTTAAATCTTATGGTACGGCTGGAAGAATTTTTTATAATTTTAGTTAATTTATTAATTATCTGTGAACGCGTGATTTGACCTTTTCCGGAGAACCATCCTTAAACTTATTTTAGTCCCAAAAGTCAGATTTTGGTGGTCCGAATCTAAGCTTCCCGTTTTAAGAGAATATATTATTTAAAAAATTGGCGCTTAGTGATTCTTATGAATTTTTGTATTCTCTTACAGAATCTACAAGAAAATTTGAATTTCAATTTAAAAAAGAAAAATGACCTAAACAAAGATAACAGTTTTTTTTTATAAAATTAAAAATGACTAAGGTCTCTGAAGTTGACGGCGACGCAAAGCATCGAAAAATATTTTTTTTCACAAAACCGAAAAAATGACTTAATTTTTTCCAAGGTTTAAGATTGAAAAAAGTACCTACATATAAAAATTTCATATGGAATGCCCCATTTTTTTCTGATTAACGAAATTAATATTTTGAGAAAGTGCATTTTTATTTTAATTTATATATCGTACGCTCGAATTACTTCCACTTTGAGGAATGGGACATAAATTAGATTTGTGTCTAGTTTAAGATAGAAATCTCTACTGCAATTGTACGAGAAAAAAGATGTAAACGTTCTATTTTTGTGCAATGTATTTTTTATGGTGTTTATATAATACATAGAGAGAGAGAAAGAGAGAGAAATTCCGTCATTTATAGGTTTTTCGATGACTTAAAAAAAATATGTAGAAAAATTATATTTTTTTAAACGTAGTTTATTATATATGGGAGTTTAAATAATAAAATAAAAATCAATATTTTGTTTACGAATGTTATACATATTTAACGATACATAACAATAATTATTATTTAAACATCTCTTTGTGAAACTTGAGGCTTTATTTTGAAAATGATAAAATATTAAAATGTTTATCATTGTTTTATTATATACTTATAAGTAACATAAAAATTATAATTTGATTATATATTCAAAAAATATATTTGAAACTGTATAGTATTGTTTTAAAAAAATTATATATTGATCTAGGCAATTATGCTCCTCTTCAAAAACGACGTTATGTGTTCATTTGCAATTTGAAACAATTTCTGAAATTTAAAAGAATTGTTTCAAAAATTAAGACTTGTAATAAATATGTCGAAATATTTTTAGATGTCTAATTTTCTTTCTACTGAAGAATTCAATTGTAGTTTTTTTAAATATGTCATGATCTAAATTTTTATTGACAAAGGATTCGCTTAGGGATTTTTGGGAAATCTGCATACAGATACCTTGGAATCGGCACTCCAAGGTTATGTGGGGTTAGTAAAATAAAACATAAAACAATATAAAATAAATAAAATAATAAGCTTAACAAGCTGGCGACCTACTACAAGCCCCGACCCACTAAAATCCGTAACCCTTCTTTTGGAGCCCTTTACCCACCCTCGGAACTGTCGTAAGACTTGAGCCTTCGTGGGCGGCGCTTTGCCCTGCGGATCTCCTGCGTCAATAGTTAAAATTAAAACTTCACAGAGTTACCCTCATCTATCATAATATTACCAGCTCTTGAGACTTGTTTTGCGTAACCATGGCATTTGTTTTGGCAAAAGGTATGAGAGGATTTGGTCCCGTAAGTGCAAAAGATCCGAGAGTCGATTGTAAATTTATTTGTAATTGGTGGAGGAATAGTTCGTTTGTATAGGCACATAATCGTAATATTGCATTCGAAAAGTCAAATCTTGTAAATTGATTAATTTTACTTTAAAAATAAATTAAGCAAAATATCTGACATATCAACATCGCAAATATCTTCGAAGATACCGTGCATTAATACATAGATCAAGATGCATATCCTCTATCAGTGATTGAAGTCGTTCTTTCACAGTTAGGAATTGATTGATTAGCGATGTATGTTTTGCTAACTTAGATGACAAATTTTTATTTTTGGATCTACATTAGAAGAACATAATAAAAATTTAATCAAATTTATGGAAAAAGTAAAAACATTGGGATTAAAATTACAACCTGCGGATAAGTGTGAATACCTTCGACCAGAATTAAAATATTTAGGACATGTTATCACGGACTAATCAAGGATAAAGGAATAAAACCAAATCCTTTAAAAATACAAGCAGTTCATGATTTTGTGATGGCCTTTTAAAAATGGCTGCTTAAAGGTATACTTGATTTTAAAATTTTAAATGATTTATCACCCAATTCGGACAGTTATTATTATGTAATAGCTAACTTGTTTCCTGTAAAGGCTAACTTGGATATAACTTTTACAGCTAATGATTATTAATTTGTATATATAGCAATTAAAGATTAGGTATACTATATAGCAAATGATTTGCTAACCCATCTAAATTATTAGCATCAACAGCTAATAAGTTTCAGCTAATGTAAATTAGATCATGCTGCTGTTGCTATAAAGTATTGTTCTCCGTGTACAGTATGTATTCTTTAATTTGATGAGACTTTACTGTATAAGGAAAAACTTGAAAAAGAAATGGTATAATGAAATTAACCTTAAAAATCTAAAAAAAAATTTTTAATTATTTAAACAATTAATAAAATATATTTTTTAAGAAGAAAAATAAGAAAAAAAAAATGCCCCGGGTGAGGATCGAACTCACGGCCTTCAGATTATGAGACTGATGCGCTGCCATCTGCGCTACCGAGGCGGTGAAATAATTGCAACATTATACATCTCTTCATATCATGAATATAAATTATTTTAATTTTATAAATTAATAATTGAAATTATTAAATTAGTGTTTAAGTAAAAAATAACCCAGGTGCAAGGTGACAATGCACCTGAAGAAAAGTTTTATTTAAAACAAATATATAATTTATTTGAGTTAAATAAGAGTATATTTGTCTCAGAGAACCTATACTAAATTATTTATTTATTTTATATAAAAATTTTATTCCACATAACTACAACTTTTATTTGAACAAAATAAAATTTTATTTAAACGAAATAAAATTTATGTAAAACAAATACAAAGTCTATAGTGAGCTCTAATTTAAATATATCATTTTTCTCGCTGTGGATTATCAGGCTGGGTCGAGGGCTGGGTTTATATAGCTTGGTTGAGGACAGAAGAATCTATCGTTCGCAGTCAAAATAAAAGTTTTGTTTCGTTTCAAATTGTTGAAAATTAAGTTCTTTATGCTTTGTGCTTCTACTAAAACGCCAATCAATCTTCTTCAATTTTGTTGAAACTTGTTACGAATTGTGATTTGCTCAAAGCGACATTATTACGATTTGTCACTTTTGCAAAAAGTAATTTGTACGACTTTTCATTTGTACGAAATAACATTTTTCCGAATTGCTATTATGTGATGTCATTTGTACGTATTGTCACTTTATTGAATTAACATTTTTTTTGAAAAGGAACTTTTGCAAATTGTTATTTTCACGAAAACTCGTTTTTTCGAAATGTTATATATATATTTCTGAATCGTCATTTATGCGAATTGTCATTTTTTCAAATTGACACTTTTGCGAAATGTCATTCATGCGAATTTTCATTGTTGCGAAATGACATTTTTTCGAATTGTCATTTTTACGAAATTGGCAATTATGCGAATTGTCATTTTTGCGAAAAAAAAGCTGTAGTATAAACTTGTATGCATATAGATTTATACTGTATAGCGATTTTCGCATATAATTGACAAATTCGTAAAAATGTCAATTCGTAGAGATGACTATGTTCGCAACAGTGACAATTCGTAAAAATGTCGTTTCGGTCAGATGACAAACAATTCGCAACAGTGACGATTCGTAAAAATAATTGTTCGCAAAAGTACAATTCGTAATAATAGCATTTTGTAAAAATGACAATTTGAAAAATATGAAATTTTGTAAAATTATTGACAATTCGCTAAAGTGGAAATTCGTAGAAATTACATTTCGTAAGAGTGGCAATTCGTATAAATGGCGTTTCGAACAAATAATAAATTTATACAAATTACTTTTTGCAAAAATGCCAATTTCGTATTAAATTCGTAATGATAATGTCGCTTCGAACAAATGACAATTTGCGAAAATAACGATTCGTTATAATGACAGTTCGGTCAAATGTCAATTGGGGAATATTTATGCACCTCCATTTTTTGTTCTTGCGCGCAACCGCTTAAAGGTTCGGTTACACCTCATCTGCATTGTGCATCGTGAATTTTTAAAATTTTCTTATTTGTTGAACCAAATTATAATTGTTTATTGATTTCTAACATTTAAATGAAATCTATTTTCTAAAAAAAAAGTTATATATGATTTCTAATATTTATTTTTTTGAAATTTGGACTAAATTCTATAATTTTGATATAAAAATTAGAAAATTGTTAAAAAATTAAGATTAGGAAATAGAGACTATTTTGCATATTTTCTGCTATTCTCAATCACAAATCTGTTCAGAAAATTATGAGTTTTTTTTAAAAAGAAGAAAAAATTTTATAAAATTCCTATATTTCTTTTATCACAATTTTTAAAAATTTTTTGAAAATTTTAAACTTCTTTAGGGAAAAAATTCCTATAACTTAAATCTTGAACAACTATCATAAAATAAATAATGAATAATTTTACTTAAATACTTTTAAATTAATTCAATTTTAATAGAGTTGCGTTTACAATATTTTCATAAATAAATAAAAAAAAACGGTTTCAATTTGAAATTTTATAAAATTTCGATATTGAATGAATTTAATGAAAAATTTTAATGAACTTAGATTTTTGAAAAATTTTAATAATTCATAATCTTTTAAAATTAGTTAAATTTGTCAATATATATATTTAATTAATTGTTAAAAATAATGAATTTGTAGAAAAATTTTAGTTAAGAACACTAAAAAAAAATTGAATTTTAAAGAAGTTATACAAATAATTGCAGAAATTCAATTATTTTCAAAAATTTTTTTAAAATTCTTGTCAAAATTTCAAACATTTTCCTCATTTCAATGATACATTTAATTATTTTCATAAATAATAAAAATATCACAGGAATTCAAATATTTACAAATTTTTTTTTTAAGTTTCTTCTCAATAGAATTTTTAATCAAATTCCTTGAAAAATGTAACTATTCTAAAAAATTTTATTAAAATCCAAAATTTTAAAGAATTCAATTATTCAGTAATTTATTTGTTTTTGTATTTAAATAATTGAATTCTCGAAGAATTTTTTAATAAAATTTGATTTAAAAATGAATTTTATTAGTTTAAATTTTAAATAATAATAGAATATGGAAATAATTTTTAAGAAGTTAATTCCTATGGAAAAATAATAATAATTAAATATTTAAAATACACTGTAAAAAAAAATTTCTGTAGATTTACAGTTTTGTTTAGAATTTTATAAAAACTTGTAAAATAACTTCTTTAAAAGTAGTGAATTTAAAATCCCTTCTGTAAAATTAATACTTTTAATGTGTCAATTTTACAATTTTCTGTAAATTTACTACTCTGAATGTAGGTAATATTTTTGTCTTTTTATTACCTACATTCAGAGTAGTAAATTTACAGAAAATTGTAAAATTGACACATTAAAAGTATTAATTTTACAGAAGGGATTTTAAATTCTCTACTTTTAAAGAAGTTATTTTACAAATTTTTATAAAATTCTAAACAAAACTGTAAATCTACAGAAATTTTTTTTTACAGTGTATTTAAAAAAGAAATTATTGTTTTCGAATAATTTTACAATTAAAGAATTGTATTTTAAAAACACGATTTTAAATTACCGCGGTAAAACTCAGTATTACCAAGTGTTTTATATTTTTCTCTTTTTTTGATAAGTTGTCGGCTTGCTCATTTCCAGTAAGCAGCCAACTTCATTGGTATTACTGCCCACAAGTGTCAAACTTGTCAAACTTTCTATTTTTGTGTTTCTGTTTATTCAAGTCAAAAAAGAAGTCCAGAAGAGGAATTATTGATAAAATACCTTTTTTTAAAGGTAATTATTTAGCGATTATTTAATAAATATGGCTTCAGCTGGAGAACCACTGACGTTAGCACGAGGTAAGAAAGAAATTAATTAAATTTCCCTTTACCTAGATAACACCCATAATTGATCGATTTTGATTCATTTTATTTAATTAAATAATCTTCTATTTAGAATAATTAAAGAAAAATAATTATTGTCACTATTTTAATAAATAATGTAAATTTTCCTTACAACTGTCGAAGAATTTTTTTTATAATTTCTTTTTTCTAGTGGAAAATAATATTTTTTATGTACGTTTTGTGTTTTAATAGTCTAATTATTTACTGTAATAGAAAATAAGTTATAAATTGTGAAATTATTTTTTTTAGATATCAAAAGATCCATTGAACTTCTTGACAAACTTCAAAAAGGTGGGAATACGTTTTATTTATATATTCATAGGCGTTGTATTCGATATTCTGGTTTATTCAGAGTTGATCTACTGACACATAAATAATTCGCTCGTTGTTGTGATTTATTGAAGGTGGTGAAGTGCCTGCTACAAAATTAGCAGCATTACAAAAAGTACTTCAAAGCGATTTTCTTAATGCAGTTCGTGAGGTTTACGAACATGTTTATGAAACAGTCGACATCCAGGTATTTATTTTCATCCTTTAACTTTTGTAGAATAAATAATATTTATCAAAAAATGCTTTCTATTTATCAAAAAAGCATTGTATATGAAAAAAAATTATTTTTATAAGTAGAAAAGGAGAATTCTTTATTATAAATAAATCTGTTCATTTAATTAACAGAACAGAATCAAAACCACTGCCAAATTATTTCTAGGACTATAAATAGTCTGCTACAGGTTGCTTTACTTTCAATAAGGCAGAAAAATCAAAAAATTTGCGAAAATTCGTCAATTTAAATATTTTTAAAAACTAATTCTTAGAATTGTTATAAAAAAAAATTGATAAAAATTTACTTTTTAAGATTTTTTAAAATTTCGGAGAAATCTTCAAAGTCTTCAAAAATTAGATTATTTTTATTTAAATATTTTTCAAAACTTAAATTATTTTTAAAAGATTTCACCAAATTTCAATTGTTTGGAAATATTTCAACTGTATATAATTGAAATTGTCTTTTAAAAATTATTTTGAAATGTTTTTAAAAAATTAATTTTAAGAATTTGTTTATTATAATTCTTTTAAAAAATTATATCATAGTAACTTTAAAAAAAAACATGGACAGTCAGAATTTTTACAAAAAATTGAATTTTTGTATTTAAATAATTGAAATCTCGAAAAACTTTCGGAAAATTATTAAGAATAATTGATTTAGAGTTGAAGTTAGTTACAAATTTTAGAAAATAATTGAATTTTAGAAAGGTTATAAATAATTGAAACTTTTTGAAATTATTAAATTTCAGAAGATTTTAAATTGAATTTTTTATTTCTATTGGAAAAACAAGTACAAAGTACTTATTTAAATATTTATCTCTAGAACTAACTTTTCAATATAAGAAAAAAAACTTTTATAGTTTTTTTGAATTATTTTTAACTTATAACAAAAGAATATTCAACAGGTGTTTGTTCTTTAGAGTAGAAAGCAGTTGAAAGTAATTAACTGAGGGGTTATAATTAATATTAATAAGAATAATAATAATTTGTATTTTAAAAACAGGGATCTCAAGATGTAAGAGCATCAGCCACTGCAAAAGCGACTGTCGCAGCTTTTGCGGCAAGTGAAGGTCATGCTCATCCGCGCGTTGTAGAATTGCCGAAAACGGAAGAGGGTCTTGGATTCAATGTGATGGGCGGAAAAGAACAAAATTCACCAATTTACATCTCGAGAATTATTCCAGGCGGCGTGGCCGATCGACATGGTGGATTAAAACGAGGAGATCAATTACTCTCCGTCAATGGAGTCGTAAGTTTTCTTTCGTCTCAATTTCAAAACGACAAGAGTCTTTGTTTTGAAATTGTAACTATTTACAAATTTAATTTACTATTTATAAATTTACAATTTATACTTTTAAAAGTGTTATTAGATTTTATTAGATCAAACTTTATGTAAATGAGCAAAAACTTTAATTTAAAAAAATTCATTACAGTGCGTCGAGGGTGAAAATCACGAAAAAGCAGTAGAACTTTTGAAGCAGGCCCAAAATTCAGTGAAATTGGTGGTTCGCTATACTCCGCGAGTTTTAGAGGAAATGGAACTTCGCTTCGACAAACAAAGAGCTGCACGCAGACGCCAACACATGCAGTAAGCTTTAGGTGCTTTTTTTCTACTAGTTCGTTATAAACAGAAAATAAAATAATAATTCACTGCATTTACAATAGTGGCAATCGTTTCAAAATCCAACAATTGCATAATAATTATTTACCATTTAAGTTATCATGTACTGCAATAATAAATCATTTACAACCAACTATATACTCTCTTTTTTATTTCAAAATAAACATCCTACGATAATTAAAAATTGCAAAAAAATTGTGTGCATTGGCCAACAGATCTCGCATTGATGGTTAATTCCCATGTAGATATCTCAGAAGTACAATTTAGAGCTCGACTTGTAGCATAAATAAGAAGTTTATTATAATTAAATTCTTAAAAAGGATTCAATTATTTTCAAAAAATATTCGAAATTCAATTATTTTCAATATATAGTATTTTCATAAAATTTCGCAAAAGAATTCAATTATTTAAAAAAAAAAATTGATAAAATTCATCCAAAATTCAATTATTTTTATAAATAATAAAATCTCCACAGGAATTCAATTAATTTTGAATAGAATTTTCAAAAAAATCAATTATTTGACAAAATTTTTTACAATTTCTTCACAACTATTCAATAAATACTTTAACTAATAATACTTTTCATGGAAATTCAATTAAATTTTGATAAAATTCTAACTAAGAATTGAATTATTTTTATAAATAATAAAACTTATCGAAAAAATTCAATTATTTTTAAACATTTTAATAAAATTTTTTGCAAATAATTCAATTCTTTTTATAAATAATAAAATTCTTTTCAAGAATTCAATTAATTTCAAAAACTTTAATAAAATTCTTTGCAACTATTCACTTATTTTCATAAATAATGAAATTCATCGCTGGATTTCAATTATTTTTAATACAATTTTACAGGAATTGCTCAAAAATTCAATTCCTCAAAAAAATCAATTATTTACAAATATTTTAATAAAATTATTCGAAAGAAACCAATTATTTTGAATAAAATTTTAATTAAAATTTTTTGAAATAATTAAAAATATTCAAATATTCTATTATTCTAAAAGAATAATTACTCTTGAAAGAATTCAATTATATCGATAAATAAGAAAATTATTCCCGAAAATTCAATTATTTTGAGGCATTTTAAATTCTTTGCAAAATTCAATTATTTTCATAAATCAAAATATTCCTCATAAGAATTCAATTATTTTTGAAAGTATAATAAAATTTTTCGCATGAATTCAATTATTTTAAAAAATGTAACAAAATTCGTAATAAGAATTCAATTATTTTCATAAATTAAAAAAATTTTCACAGGATTTCAATTATTTATAATACAATAAATTTTAAATAAATTTCTCAAAAAATGTGATTATTTTCCAAAATTTTTTGCAAGAATTCAATTACATTTCACAAAAATAAATAAATTCTTTGCTGAAATTCAAATATTTTCAAAATCTATTATTTTAATAAAATTTTCTCAAGAGAATTCTTATTATTTAAAAAAATGTAATGAAAATTCGTTGCAAGAATTCAATTATTCTCCTAAATCTTAAAATTCTTCCCAGGATTTCAATTACTTTTAATACAATTTTAAGTAAATTCTTCGAGAAATGTAATTATTTTCAAAAAGTTTATTACAATTCTTCGAAATAATTCAATTATCAATTATTTTTAATAATTTTTGCAAAAGTTCCTTGAGAATTTTTTAATCTATTATGACAAATGTTTACAATTCAATTTTATGAAATTTCAATTATTCGGAAATTCTTCATTTAAATATTTAGAAAATAAAAACTTGAAATAATTTCAAAAAAATTAATTATTACAGAATTTTGAGTTAAAATTATGAAAAATTTAAATTTTTAAAGATTTTAATTTAAAATCTTTTCAAAATTCAATTATCTTAGAAAATTCATCCAATAATGTTTTTACAATTCATTTTTAATCTAAAATTTCAACTGAAATTAATTTTTAAATCAATTTTTATTACAAAATTCTACGAGAATTCTGTTATTTAAATACAAAAATAAACAATTTATTGAATAAATGAATGTTTCTCAAAATTAAATTCTCATAAAGAATTTTATCAACATAATTGAATTTTTTCCACGAATTTTAATAAAATTTTCAAGAATAATTATATTTTTCGCGAAATTCGATTATAGGTAATTGTAATAAAAATAATTGAAACTCTATGAAAAGTTTTATTATTCATAAAAATAATTAAATCTCTGTAAAAAATGTTATTATTTTATAGAAATAATTTAATTATTGCGATGAAATTTATAAAAAATTTATAAATAGTTGAATTCCTGAAATTTTTTTATTATTTATGAAAATAATTTAATGTTTGCATAGAATTTTGTCAACATATGTTTCAAATAATTGAATTTTTTTGAAAAATTTGATTAAAATAGTAGATATTAAAAATCATTGAATTGAGGAAAATTTTTGAAAATAATTAAAATTATACCAAGAATTTTATTAAAATTTTTGAAAATAATTTAATTTTGGAGAAGAATTTGATTAAATGTTTCCTAAAATGTAATTCTCATAAAGAATTGAATTGAAGAAAGTTTTTGAAAATAATTGAAATTTTGCCAAGAATTTTATTAAAATTTTTGAAAATAATTGAATTTCGGAGAAGAATTTTATTATTTTTTAAAGATAATTGAAAGTTATACTTAAAACCATAACTTTCATCACATAATGAATGAAAAATAAGATTTTTCATATCTAAAAATATAAAATGAAATTCTCAAGGATGAGAAATAAGAAAAATCGCATCAATCATCTATTAATGAATATTTTAATAATAAAAAACTTAAACAAATCCAAAAGGAGACAAACACATAATATATATAATATATAAAGACAAAAATTAATTTCTTTTATGTAATGTTCATTAATTATAGAGTTCTGTTGTGTTACAAACTAAAAATATTATACACTTAAATTTTTCATCTTTTCTTTTTTTTTATAAGCAAGGCCACAAACTTAACAAACATTTTACATATGTGTGATTTCTTTAAAATTAGTCATAGTAATGATTGTTAGTTATCATAATAATAAAAAATCAGGCTTCGGGCTTTTAATTTTTTTTTCCTCTTTCCACACAGAATATTAATCAAAATTCACACACGCAATGAGACAAAAAAGGTAAAAATAAAAATTGAATTTAGTATTTTGGAAAAAAAAGCAAAAAGAATAAAAACGCCTCTCGAGTGGCAACAGTTAATTATTATCAATATATCATCAAATAACAATTTTATAAGTTCTGTACAACAATCGGCAATACAATTTGTATTGCTGAAAAAAATATCGCATTTTTTTTTTTGCAATATAGAAAATTACATTATTTACACTCGCTATTGAAAGTAACGCTCCAAAGCCCTTCAATATTATTATGTTACTTGGATGTAGAATAAATTTTTCTAAGACTAAGATATACATATGTTACAAATTACAATAATAATAATAATAATAATAATAATTCATTAATCGACGTAACAGAACTTGAAGTTTGGCACAACATTCTCTGCGTATATATAAATATATTAACATAACATTATAATATGCGAAATCAGAAGAAAAAAAACAAACCAAGTGAATTAGAAATACTACACTTGTAATTTTACCATATTAAAAATTAGAAAAATAAATTTGAGAAATATTAAATTTACAAAAAAGGATAATTCATATCAAGTGTTGTTTTAGTAATCCACTAGAATTTATTTTGATTGTCTGTGGCTAAGGGGTGTTTTGGAGAGACCTTCAAATTTTTCTTTCTTTCTTTCTTTCTTATTTAAATGTTAGGCTTTTTATGATTTTAATTTTCCTATTCAGCCAGTTTTTTCCATCACTCGAAAATCTCGCAACAAAAACTTAATAATAATTTTAGTAAATTTAAATTTACACCAAATTGTAAAATTGATAAAAAAAAATGTGACGCACTAATAAGAAAGGTACCTAAGAAGCAAAATTCTTTAATCACTTTAAGGTTATTTTTATATCATTTTTACCTTAATTAAAAGTTTATTTTTAATTATGTAAATTTGATTCCTGTTTTTATTGAATATTTCGGATGTAAAGAAGAATTCAGAACCAATAATTCGTAATAGTAATTATTCCTCTTTCTGTATTTTTAATCCAAAAATTATAAACATAACCTAAAATTTTCTTGGAAGAACGTCACATATTTAATATCAACTAAAATTCCTTTTTTACACTTTTATCTAACAATTATAGATAATTGATTTAATTCTTCAATTAAATTTTAATTCTTTTTTTAGAATTGAAAACCCTTTTTTAAAATTTTTAAGGTACTTTTCGACTTTTTTTTACACATTTTTGATTAGATCTTTTTGTTTCAACATAAACTATCAAACAATAAGAGATAAATCTATATAATAAAAAAATATCATAAATAAATAAATAAATAATTTAAATATTCTACTCTTATTAAAATATTTTTTTTTGTACAAATTAGATAATTACTAAAATTTTCTAAATTCATTTTGCGTAGATGTCAGTGTTAAAAATTCTAAATATAGTAACCAAATTGTTAAAAAAATTTAAATAGTAACCAAATAATAAAATTTTTAATATGATTTTATTTTATATTTTAGATTAAAAGAAAAATTTGTTCTTTCATTCATTTTTGAATTGAATTTTATTATTTTTTTGTTATTTATGGTAAATAAATTATTGGAAAAAAGGGGAAAAACCTTTTTTTTAAGGCAGTACAATTTGTAGAAGCATTATTTTTGTTAATTTACTGAATTTCATCTGAAAGCAGTTGTGAACGTAATTATTTTTTATGGTATAACTTTCAAAATTTCTAAACTAAGACAATTTCAAAGTTTATTATAATTTTAAGTTTAACACAATATTAAAGTTAGAATTTTCTTTTATTTTTTCCCACAAAATAAAAGTGGAAATTTTATTATTTTTGCACAAAATTGAAGTGAAAATTTTTCATTTTTTTCTCGAAATTGATAATTATTCTTCTAAAAGTTTCAAGTTTCGGAGAGAATTTCATTAGTTCAATATAAATTTGGAAATTTTTTTTAATCGTTTTGAATAATTTTTCAATTATTTTAAAAATTAACGTTTTTGAATTATTTAATATTATTGTTTTTTGTGACATGAAATAATAAAATCTTTCAATTTCTGAAATTTTATTTTATT